TTTTGAGGTGTAAATTATAAAGGTTCTATTTACTATGAAGAAGTCATGTATAAAAATTCAAGAATTTCACATCTGAAAGTAAAGAACTTATTTTAGACCAGAGAAATAAAATAAAACAAAAATCTGCCATACAATTTTACTGATTGATTTTTTTTTATATATAGTAACTATCACTTTTATTACAAAAATCTAAATAAACAACTCTTAAAAAAATATATATAAATTTAAAAATAAATAAGTAACAAATATCTTAATTTTTTTATCTTAAATATTGATATAAACCTTCCCTGTGTATATCTATTTATAACTTAAAAATTATTACAATACATTTCAGAAAATCGAGTATACAAATAATCACAAATTTTAATGAATTGTACACAGCTATGACATCTATGTTGTTAATGTGTTGGAAAATTCAGAACAAAGTCTGTAGGAGAGGATGCAATTTTTAAATTGAATTTCTTTTATGTTAAGGGTATCTTTTTTTAAAATAATTTCTTTCAAAATATCACACATATATGTGATGTAGAATACTTGTGTGACAAGTATGATTGCTGTCTCCTATTTTTCAAAAACGATTGAATCTGAAGATCAGACTATGATTAAGTATTTATATCTGCTTTCTACAAACATTATGGATCTAAGCATTCTATATTTTCCTGATTCGCATACTAAAAACATGATAAGGTCGTCTGTGCAATGGTGGTCATTCTAGGTTTGTCTATGATGCCCCATTAGCATGCTAGGTTGTCAAAGACCAAATAAATATACTGCTGATGTTGCCACCAAATTAGTTTTGGAAATGAGAATGTTTAATAGTTTGAAAAAGATTATTTTATATTGAAACAATATTAGTTTAGCATGATCTAATAAGGTACAGGGAGTCAGCCTAACAAAAATTAGATGATTTTGACAATTTGGATTCAAAATGTCCAAATCCTATGATATGAAGAAACCCTGCCCATCCCTCCCTCCCCCAAGGTCCATTGCACAAGAGCCTGGGTCTCCTCATCCCAATATATTTTAATAAACCACTTTTCCTTTAAAACAAACTAGATAAAATGAGATTATGAAAAATATAAGTCATAAAAATACACCTTTTTCAGAAATTCAAACTCCGTTGAAATTGCCCCCTTAAAAAGTACAAAACCCCTCAAAATATGCACCTCTCAAAAATATTGATGGTGCAAGAATTGCCATGAAACCTCCTCTGGAGATACGTTTTTTATTTTTACCCCCCCTTCCTTTGCATTTTTTGCCATGTCGGGTTTTTCAACATTGCGTTGACACGTGGGATACTTACCACTACTGCTGCCAATATCTAATAATAATGCTATTAATTTTATTTTATTTTCACTTCGCGGTGCGCCCCGGTTGCACGGGTTTGCGCCTTACTGAAGGGACCGCACACTAGTCTCCAGCTGTTGCGTATCTTGCTCTCCTGGTGAGTTTCCTCCAACAGTCCCTATTGAGAAGTGCGAGGTTCCACTTTAGACTCATTTTCCTCCCAACGAACTCTACGAAGTGGGTATTCATTCTTCCATCAGTCCCCGATGAAGATACTCTTCGTCAAGGCGTACAGTCCCGTCCTCCCGCATCATTGCTCTGCGTGGCTCCATCGCGGTGCATGATATAACAACATGCTCAGCCGTACAGGGGTCACCGCAGTCTGGACATGAGGAATCAATGTTCTTCCCATGATGTCCTGATTTTGTCTCTAAACCCCCCCATGTCCCGTCAGGATCTGTGGAGGTCCATTTAGTCCGCTCGACCAAATGAGCTTTCCAATCTGGAATGAACGGTGGGAAAGTACTTTCTCAAGGTGGCCTCAAATTTCTCTTGCAATCACCGCCCATTCCACTCCTCCTAGTGTCGCCTCTCGGACTATGCCCACTCCATCTTCCTGGATCCTCCACGGACCCGCCGGTTGAAGCCCTCTGGGAGTGCCTCCAGTCCCTGCCTCTTTAGGTCATTCCTGCAAGCGTTCTCCTGAGGGACGAGATCCAGAGGCAACTCCCGGCCAGCACTTGCACCGCTTCGTGGGATATGGTTCTGTAAGTCCTAGTCGTCCTCATCAGGGAGACCCTGTGGATGGTGGCCATATTCTTTTTCTGCACCTGATTCAAGCGACGGCTCCACGCTGGGGATGCATACCTCAGTATACCCAGCACAACTCCCTTGTAGATGATTCTTATCGCTTGGTATCTGAGGCCCCAAAAGGCACCCCCTACCCGTGCCAGGCCATTTAGGGACAGGGCCACTCTACTCCGTAGATACTCTATCTGAGGAAAAATATTAAATTTTGACTTAAATCTCACGCCTAGGTAGGTGATCTCCTTACCTAGGCGGACTCTATCTCCTCCTACTCTGAGACTAATAGGGTGGGCCCTGTCCGTAGAGGATATGTCGAAGAGGACCGCCATGGCATATTTCTCCGCCTTGTCATTAACCTCCCCGCGTAATCTCATCAGGGCATCTCCGGTGCCACGCCCCTTCGTAGATCCGTATTGCCTCGGGTGACTCGCTGCCCGCAGGACTGGCATTTATAATGAGATGCTCCAGGACCTTGCTCATTACAGGGAGGAGGCATATGGGTCTGTAGGATTCTGCTAGCTGCTTGTCCTTGCCTCCCCCATTGTATAGCAGTCACATGTCGGCGATCTTCCAATGAGTTGGGAAGTGCCTCCCATCCAAGCATTCATCCATTATCTCAAGTAATTCTTCTTCAATATAGGGAGCACTCCTCTTTAAGATCGCCGTATCGATGGTGTCGAGTCCCGGAGCTCTTCCTAACCTTAGTCTGTCTATTGCCATCCGCAGATCCCACACGTTCCATGGTGGAATGAACTCCTTGCCAGGCGGATACTCCGTAGTTTACCTCAGAACCTTATCCTCTTCGTTGTCCTGGGACGAGTCATCCCTGGGGTAGGTCTAGTCCAAGTATCTTCCAACTGTTTCATCGAGGGTGGCTGCTGGTCCACTTGCAGATCTTATTGCCGCCATTATTTGACCGGGTTTAAGTTTATCCATCGCCACCCTATATGGAATTCCCCACGGATTCTTCTCACTTTCAGTTTTTATGAACTGGCCCCAGGAAACTCTCTCCTGGGTCGCGGACCAGTCAGTAATCCTCCTTGATATGACAGGAGTAGCCAGGGTTATATCAATCCAGCTCTGGCCCCTCGCTCCCACAAATGTGGGTGCAGAGGGCTCGTTCAATACGATAAACTGGCATCTGGCTAGGCAGTCCTCAACTCTCATACCCCTTGCATCTGTTCTAACTGATCCCCAGGCCGTGCTCCACGAGTTCGTGTCAGAGCAGACTATTACGTTCCGATATCGGAGTGCAACAGTCTCTAGAGCACCAACAGTGATATTCTGTTGAGGTGGCATGTATGAGGATACCAGTATAAAAGCGGTATTCTTCCATTTAACATAACATGCCGCTTGGTCTGCTGTCATGTGCTGCCCCAGCTCCATGACATCGAGGGCGGGTTTGAACACAATGATGGCTTCTGGGCATCACTGGAAGAAACTACTATTCCTATCCCTCCAACTCAGGATGAAACCATAAGTTCCTTTGTTACTGTAATCCTCTAGACTGCATGGCCCCAGTGGTAGTATAAAAATATATCCTAATCAACTTTACGCAGGAACAATAATATTCACACTTCATAAAAAAAAAAAAAAATTAAAAAAAAAAATATATCCTTATATGTTATAATAAACCTATAGAGGACATGGTGGGATATATATGGTAGGCCATGGAGATAAGATATAAAATAAAATCTGACCGCGGGAGCCATCGATGGGCCTGTGTTCATGACTGATTTAACAGGAGCACAGGCGGATCTACGGGGGGGGGGGGCAGAGCTTTCAGGTTGAAACCTACCTCCAAATGCTAAAATATAACCTTGTTTTATGAAAAATAAAATATTAAAAAAATACTTCTTAAAGTATTATCCTCAAAAAATATTATCCTACTAAAAGTATTATCCTATTACATATAATAGGACTCCAAGAATCACTTAAACGACATTTCATATAGGTAATTAATTTCTTTCTTTTTTTTCCAAAGTAATTATCGTTATATATTTATATATATAAAGCTTTTGGGCTGAAGCCTCCTCCAAAAACTTAAATCCTAGATCCAGGAGTGAACAGGAGGGTGACTATGAGCTGGCTAAAGAACCTCTTCCTGTATTTCACTATTACATTGCAGATTAAGAGTAGCTATGGCTGTTTTATCATATCCATACCTGATATAAGTAACTACTGTTTACTATAGTGATATGATAAACGTAGTCTCTTCTATGTTAATACATCCCTGTTAAAGTTTAAATTAATTTTTTTAATTGAAAAATTAATTTCGGCGTATCAATGCAGTTTTTCAAGTTTTGCGTACCCTGGCAGTTCCTCCGAAAAATATTAAAGAACGGAAATTCTGTATACATACAAAGACTAACAAAGATACGAATATATTAAAAGTTATATTTTAAGTTGTGCCGATCATCCAAGCTTGTGGTATGATCTCTTTTTTTGCACAGGTGTATCTTATAAATTCACCTATCTGAACCATAGCCAAGATTTTGAAGTAATAATTTAAATCGAGAATTTCTTGCGGTTCCAAACAATATTCCATTACATAAATTTTTAATCATTATTTCATTGAAAGTTTTCCTTAAATATTAACATTAGTAAAACTTTTACTTCGACTATGTACGTACGTACCAGTGAGATATGTACCTACATAACTGCTTTCTCTTAAAGACATTTCATTTATCAATCATTTTTGCATCCGTTCCTTGTTGCTAGATCACATGACTCCCGTGTCTGTTTTCTTTTAATTTTGACTTGATTTGCTACAGAATTTATCCGTTCCAAGCCTACGTTCTCCCGAACTCTATGTGCTCTAATAGAAATTCCTCTCGGAACTCTTCCAGAACAAGTTTTTTCTGTGAATCCTAACCATTTTAGCTGAGTCCAGTATAGTTTCTAATATAGGATTTTTATGAAATGAATTATCTGAATAAATGAGAAAAGTTAGTAGAGGTAAAGTTAATGTCGTTAATGATTCGAAGAACTCAAGTAGTAGAAACAGGATCCCCAAGGGTCAGCAGACTACATTTAAAGAACTTATGCAGAAAAACCTTTTGGTTTTCTATTATTTATTTGTTTTAATGTACTTGTTGGGTATTATCTCTTAGGTAAATATCAATTTATATTTTTCTACATCGATAGTTTTACCGCCAAATCAAGAAGAAGGTTAACTTTAAATTGTCAAACAAATTGTTCAAATGAATTCTCAATTGAATCCATTTCATATTTATTTTGGACATTATCCGTTAAAAGGTGAATTTGTATAGAATGGAAAATCTTTATAATCTTTTTCCTTGCCGAAAGGTGCAAATAAATAAAATACATCAGTTATTGGGTGAGGTAAATATCTGTTCAAACTTTTGTCAACCATTATATCAAACATATATATTCAAAGATGACATTGTACAACTAACTTATACTTGATTCAAAATACCATTTGGTGCTTATACAATATAAACTTTATACAAAGTTTATACAGCAAAATAATTTAAGCTAATTAAGGACCCAATTTTAACTGAAAATAATTAAGTTGGATTTTGTACCTTTGTACACATTGTTAGTGCTCTATCATAATTATGTTTCTGTTTATATTGTGATCATGAGATGTTACTACCCATATAAGTGGAGCTTGATTTGTTAAGTGGTGTCCAATTTTTTTCGAAATGTTAACCATTTTATTTTACAAAAGAAACCTTTAATTTCATGTGAAATACTATAACTTTCTGGTCAATTATTGTTCGTCAAATTATTTTGTATTCTTTGTCTATATACATTGGAGAAATAGTCTGTACACAGTTTAAATTAACACGATAAAATTAATTTGTATTACATAATTGATATTTATGTAGTGTCCCTTTTATATTTGATGACTAAAGTAAAGGGCTTTCATGGATCCTCTCAAATTTTGTCATAATTTCTCCAGGATTTTTTTACCCGTTCTGCCACAAGAATTGTACTCCCCTTCCTTACCTTTTAGGCTGTATGGAGTTTTCCCAGGCCAGAGGGTGAGGGTGGGGAAGGGAGGATTAATACCAGAATTAAGAGCCTCTCTGGCACCGGGACACGAACGTGTAATTATTTCTATCCAATTTACTGTCCATTAGGTTGCTGGGCAAAGTGGTGCTCTCCCTATCCAATTTCCCTAGAGCATATATGGGATGTAGTCAATCATCGAGTAAGAAAACAATGGATAATGAATAATAGGGAAGATTTAAAAATTATGGTGGTGGAAAAAATTCAGGAAAAATTAGTGCTTAGGTGGTAAGCTCCATGTTTTATGTATTTATTCTGTTCGTAGGAATTCGAGCCATTAACAGATGTAATATTCATATCTGGTCATCCTGCTGTGGGAAAGACTACTGTTATTCAAGAATATCTCAAACATTACAGAATTAATTATGCTTTTATTAACTGTGTGGAATGCTATTCGTATAGACTGCTTCATGAACAAATACTTGTGCAGTTAACAGGAAATAAATTGAAATGCGATACTTTCATGGAATTAATCCATCATTTAAAGTTATTAGTTTCAAAAAATAATGAAAAGTTCATAATAGTAAGTGGGCCTTACTTTTAAAATCATTAATTGATTTTTTTGATAATTGTTATTTTTATAAATTTATACGTTTCTTTTAGGTATTGGATGGTGCTGAATATCTTGAAGAACTGAATGCAAATTATTTTTCTGCTTTTTGTCGCCTTCAAGAATTTGTAAACTGTACCAATATCTGTGTAATTTTTTTAAGTAGCCTATTACCAGAAAAATTTAATTTGCATACTTCAGTTATTACAATTCATTTCCCACAGTATTCTAAAGGTAATTTTTCTGATTGCAGAAATATTTTAATTTGTAACAAACTGATGGAATCAATAGCATTTGGTTTCGCAGTCTGAATAAATTGTATTCCTACCTATGAAGTGCAATTATTTGTAATTCAAATCTAATTATAAGATAATTTATGAAGATTTTCTCACATAGTAACTTCTCTGACATCTTTAAAGTTCTCTTTCTATCAAGGCATATTTGTTAGGGATGTCTGGTTAAACATTGAATTTTTTTCTTTTTCAATCCCTGTTTATAAATAATCTCAGCACTTTAACTTCTTATTTTCTTTTTCTCATGCTGAAATCCACATGATCACACCTGGAATCACATCTTAGGCCAAGTGAAATAAAATTTAATACCACACGTTCTTCTAAAATTCCTTTGTTACTAAAATGTCTCATTTCTTTACTGGTTCTTTTTTATAAGAAATTTCACTTTTCTGCTTTGAAATTAATTATTATCATAGATCATATAAGTCTTAGAGGACTATGATTGATCTTTCTCTATAGATATATTTTTTAAAATAATATATTTTTATCCTTATTTATTTGTTTAAGATGAGTTGTTGGAAATCTTAAAACTCACAAAACCAGAAGACTGTAGTCATACTTTTTATGAAAATTATCTCAATTCAGCTTTAATGATATTTTTGAGAATGACAAGGGATTTAAATGAAATGAAATTTCTGGTGAGTGTACTAATTTAATATTTGAAAAAAATTATTTATATTTTAAGTGTTGAGCGTTTAATTTTAATTTAAGGTGTCTAATAATTTTGAAAAATACTGCGAACCTGTCAAAAAAGGGTTGGTGAATCAAGACGATGTTACTTTACTATGGCGAAATATTTTACCTCATTTTAAAGAATCATTAAAAAGTATTTATTCAGGATTGAGTACTCAGTATGTTTTTTTTTTTTTCTGGATATATAATTCTTTTTAAAGAATTCTTTTGTTAAAAGTTCAAATTTTTGTTTTACAGATCTATTGAAAGGTATTTGTATGACCCGAATATAAATGAAGTTATTTGTACTAAAGTTTCCTCAGTTCTCGATCTTCCATATTATGCAAAATATTTCCTAATATCCGCATATCTGGCATCATATAATGCTCCTAAACATGATAGGCGGTTGTTTATGAAAAATCATGGGAAACAGAGGAAAAGATTGACTAAACAGCAAGTCAAGGAAAAAATGACCCTTGAACTATTAGGACCAAAAGCATTTCCACTGGACCGTCTTCTAGCTATATTTTATGCAATAATGGAGGAGAAAGCTAGTTTAACTGTTAATCTTATGACCCAGGTTAGTGTTACTTTATTTATTTATTTAAATACACAATTTTATTAGTATCAATATTTTAGATTTATAAGTCTGTTGATTACATTTATTTGTTTATCAGTTGGTTATATTTATTTATTTTATTATCAGGATTTTGGGTATAGATTATAATAAATAGCAATATTTTAGTGTTTAAAAACCTATGAAATATGAATATATCATGGCACCTATAACACTTTCATAAAAAATTATGATGTATATCGAAAACCGTTCATTGAGGTCTTAAAATACATGGTATATTTCAAAGGAACTTTACTGGGTTTTGATATCCATGTTGAACTCTAAAATATAGTTTGACCTGTCTTAATCCATTGACTTACTAATACTAGTCATAGTCATAGTTTTATTATATCTCCTATATTTTGTATTACTTTTTTTAAGGTTAAGCTAATTAAGGAACCAAAATTAGAATTAGTCGCTTCATCACAAATATCTCTTTTTCTTTTGACATGTTGTTGGTCACAATTTAAGTTTATGGTGAAAAATATTTTATTCATTTAAATTCTATTGGTGGTTTTAATTTTTGTTGTTTGTCTTTATTTCACATTTACAATATTTTTGCTGCTATGCCTCTGGAGTATTCGGCCTCAGGAATATTTATTACATTTTATGCTAAGAATTTATGTACATTAAAACATTTTGTACATGGTCATATTTCTCTGACATAGATTATAACAAATATGCATGAAAATGACATAAAAACTGAAATGATTTAAGAATATAGTATAGGTAAATGGTGAAAGTAAAAAATGCTTAAATAATCTTAAACAATATCCATTTTTAAGACAGATTTGTAACATGTCTGAGCAAAAAATATATCTAATAATAATCATCATGCGGTTTCCATGTTTATTAATGTTTTATTCATTTTCTTTTTATCCAGATATCTACATTAGTGGAACTTAAGTTGCTTACAAGAATAGGAGAATCTAATCTGGAAAGGCCTAAGTTTAAATGTCTTGTAGGTTTGCAGTGTGTTGATACTGTGGCCAGGTAATAATTTATTTTAAATCAGAAGAATTATTATTAGTTGTTTATTTTGAATACTAGTTGATATGTATGCTCAGAATTTTTTCAAGAAAAGTATTGTAAGTCAAGATTTGACAATTTTAAGTTTTGGCCCTTAAAAAGTTCTTTTCTTTTCAACATTTGTTTTCCTAGAAGTATTTAAAACTCACCAAATAAGTATGATCTATCATAAAGTCGTGGCCCAGGGATGGATATTGGATATCAATAAGAAATTGTATAGCTAAGTTTTAGACTTTTTGAAGATTTTTGGGGTCTTTAAATTAGGCAATTGCTTAAAAATAAACCCATTTTTCATGCCTGATAAATGCGCAAGTGCTCCAGAAAATGATAAAGAAAGCTTTAGAGTTTACCTAAGGTCCATTTATAATGGAATGACCTAGAAATCAAACAAACTTGGCCTCTTATTTACCTTGAAAATCTCCAAATTCCTCAAACAGATATACTCATAGTACAATACTATCCTAAGAGTTGGACTGACATTTGACAGAATAATGACGTATCAATAACAAAAAAAAAACACTAAACCTCAGACAACTATTATACTCTCTCCTTTCAATATATTCGAATTACAAATAAACAGAAACTGGACTTTTACTTTTACTTATAAAAGGCCATTTAGACATGTGCTTCACAGACACAGGGAACATTCAAAAGACCCACATACATAAAATTTTCTGTCAAAAACATTCGGAACTATAACCAAAGCCACAATATGTCACCAACATTGCTTTACATAAAGACCCTCACATGACAGCCACATGCAGGTACACAATGAAAAATTCCACGATAATTTAGATGGACATACTATACTTATTCAAAGCATGGCCACAGTCAGTATACTAGATAAACACACCTTTAAGAGTCTCAAAAGGAGCTGCATGTAGCCTGTAGACTAGCGACAGGTAGTCCATGGACGAGAACCCCCTTCCGTGCATCCTCCCTCCACATCACTATAAATTGCATAGTCGAGGTCAAAAACTTGGATTTTGCATCTCAGTCACATCCCATTCAAGGAAAAGAAAAGAAACCTACCCCAATTTGATGCAACTTAGACCCTCCTTTTCATGACCTTGTTACTGGGTTAGTGAGGGATCTTCTCCCTTAAATATATAAATTAAGATAGGAAGGGATGGTACTGAGGACTCCTCTCCCTCACTCCTATCATTTTATTATTTGATTTCTCGACAACATAGTCATTTGTTGGCGGTATTTTTGACTGGTGTTAGTGAAAATATTTGGTTAAAAAAAAAATACATTGATATTGTTAATAGTGAATTTAAATCGAGGAAGTTCAATGATTGTTGTTCAGGTAAAAAAAATATTTTATCTATTTGGAAGAAAGACAATGTACTCAGAAACGGCAAAAATAAAACAGTAAAAAAATATTTACGGTATGTTAAAAAAAAAAAATGTCTACAATATTATTTATTTATTTTTTTAGCTGTCAATTACATTATTATTTTTTTTTTTGTTCTTGACTCTGAACCACGAAAATATCACTTGTTATTTCTCCATTTTATTTATTAGAATAATTACTTTTCCATTATCAAATTAATATAAGCAAGGATTTAAAACTCAAACTTTTACAGTTTTAATTACAACTTTTATAATTTAAATTGTTACAGTTGCTATTTTATTGAAATAAAATTTTTAACTTTATAGTGCTATATTTGTAAGTAAAATTTAAAATAAGCTGTGATGAAGTGTTTTATATTTCATTAAAAACAATGCAAATTTTACTTTATGAATTTTTTATCTCGTATTATCAATATTTTTTGTAGGACACTTGGTTTAAACATTCAGAAGTATTTATTGGATTGAGTCTACTGTGCAGTCAACGGATTGGGATGTAGGTATAACATTTTTATATATATTTAAATTGTAAAAAAGAAAGAATGTCCAAACCAGAAAGAACCTCAAAGGATCCATAACATTGGATTTTTAAGATTTATTAAAGTCTATTGAATCAATTTTTTTTTTAAGTTGGTACTAAAATAAATGAAAAACTAAATCAATATTGCACCAATCGTTAATTTTAATGGTTACTGAACTTATATTACCTTTACTTTATTTTATTTGTGTATTACAAACAAACAGAATAGTTTTGTTCGATTTGTGCAATATTCACTTAGCATATTCTGTTTGGCTGTCATTTTTCAATTTCAGTTATTAATTTTTTTTTTCCTGTGATCTATAGAAATAATGAAGATTCAAGTAATAATTTATAATAAATTGTAAGATATATCGCTCGTTTGGTACATCATATCTGAAAATTCCTGATTTCCTGTTTCTCTATGAAATCTTTCTCATCCACATTCAAAGTGACATTTCTGTAGATGTTTGTTCTATCATTCAGCACCTTCTCAAAGTAGTCCGCCTTACCTGTTCATTATTATCTTAGTATTTGTTAGAATAATATCTTTCTTGTTTTTTTAGTCTTTTATAAACAAATTTCTAAGAAATATTCTTTTCTTTCCGCATATTTCTTAGGTATCTATAGTATAGAACTTACTTACTTACTTACTCCATGGCGCTACAACCCTACAAGGGCCTGGGCCTCCTCTACAATCCTGCTCCACTCTTCCCTATCCCGGGCAAGTCTCCTCCATCCTCTGATTCCCATATCTCTCAACACTCTCTCTATTCCATCTGACCATCTCAATCGTGGACGTCCTCTAACTCTTTCTCCTTCAGGCTTACCATCTAGTAATTTTTTTGGTATCCTATTCGTCGGCATCCGCTCTACATGTCCCAGCCACCTCAGCTGATTCTTTCTAACAAAAGAAACCAGATCTGGTTCTTGGACCATTTCTTTCAGTTCCTCATTCTTTCTTATTCTCCAGTTGCCGTTCTCGCAGACAGGTCCATATATTCTTCTGAGTTCTTTCCTTTCCCAAACTTTTAACATTCTTTCACTTTCTTTGGAAGGTACCCAAGTCTCACAGCCATACGATACAACTGGCCTAATGACTGTTTTATATAATATGACCTTAGCTCTGTTGGTCAGGCCTCTAAATTTTAGTGGTTTTTGAAGAGCGTAATAGCACCTATTTCCAGCAACTACTCTTGCCTTAATTTCTTCTTGGTATTCGTTCTTTGATGTGACAAGAGCACCCAAATATTTAAACTGGTTTGCTATCCTGAAAGTGTGGCTTCCAAATTTAATCCTTTCTTCCATTCTTTCTGGTGGGTTTCTTGCTGACTTCATATATACAGTCTTTTCATCATTTACACGGAGGCCTAACTTTTTCACAGCATTTTCGAACTCCTCAAATGCTCCCAATAAAGATGCTCTTGATCTAGCCGATATTACCACGTCATCTGCATAGGCTAGATGCTGTGACAATATATTATATATCGTGCCATGAGGGCTTGTCCGAATAGCACGTACAGCATATTCTAAGGCTAGGTTGAAAAGAATTGGGGACAAGGGGTCTCCCTGCTTTAGGCCGCCCTCAACTGCAAACTTTTCTGACAGTGCTCCTTGTCCAGGATCTTAACTTTGCAACTACTATCAGTCAGTGTCATCCTTGTTAATCTCACTAACTTTTTCGGTACACCTAAAGTGACCATTGCTTTCAATAACTCGCTTCTATTGACACTATCATAAGTCTGTTTAAAGTCAATGAAAAGATGATGAAGATCTACATTATATTCATTGCATTTTTCCAACATCTGTTTGACGGAAAATATTAGGTCAATCGTAGATCTATTTGGCCTGAAACTGCATTGATACTCACCAAGAATACGTTCGGACCATACTTGTTACATTTTATTTAGGAGCGAGGAAAATGCCTTATATACTACCCTCAGGAGAGATATACCTCTATAATTTTCGCGTTTTGTTCTATCTCCTTTTTTGAAAACTGGACAGATAATAGCTACTGTCCACTCTTTCGGCATTTTTTCTTCGATCCATACCTCCAACAACAAGTTGTATACTTTCTTTAGTAGGTCCTCTCCACCATATTTCATCATTTCAGCGTCAAATGCCATCATTTCCTGGGCTTTTATTGTTTTTAAGTGCTTCAACCACTTCCACGAAATCCTCATAATCAGGAGGCTCCACATCATCTTCGCCACTCAGCAATTCCTCTTGTGTACGCCCATGCAGCACATTCCTCACTGTGTTTTCATCTCCATTCAGAAGTTCCTGGAAATATTGTCGCCAAGTATCCAATATCTCTGCAGTTCCTCCCACCATGTTACCTTCTCTATCTTTGCAAAAACCTCTCCTCGGTTGGAAACCATGTTTAAATTCTCTGATCCCCTTGTTAAACTTTCTGGACTGTTTTGTTTCCCATTCAGTTTGTAACATTTCCACTTTGCTCCTTTCCATCATTCTTTTCTTCTTCCAACAAATAGTCTTGGCAGCCCTTCTTTTTGTGTTATAGATTTCCTTGGTCTGCCTTGTGTTTCTCTGCAGCATCTTCATTCCTCTCCCTCAATGCCATCTGACACTCCTCATCAAACCATTCACTTTTTGCCGCAAATCGTCTCAATCCCAGGACCTCTTCCGCCATCCTCCTTAATGCGCTTTCAATTCTCCTCCACTCATTGTCCATTCCCCTACTTTCGCTTCCTTGTGTGCCCATCAAGGCTCCATTCAGTTTTTCTCTAAATGGATCTGAGTAGTTTTTCAGTTTGAGGAGATCACTGTTATATCTTGTGGACTTCTCTCCGTGTCCTCGAGCCCTTCTAGCAAGCTTTTGCCCATAACGTACTTAAACCAAAAAGTGATCACAGTCGACATCTGCGCCTCGATAACTTCTCAAATCCGAGATGTCTGAGTTATGTCTACCATCTATAAGAATGTGATCAATTTGGTTTCTTGTCTTTCCATCTGGGGATATCCATGTTTCTTTATGAATATCTTTGTGTGGGAAATGTGTGCTTCTAATTGTCATGTTCTTTTCCATGGCAAAATCGATAATTCTTAGCCCATTGTCGTTTGACACATCGTGTTTACTGTGTGGTCCAATTGTGGGTCTAAATGCCGCTTCTTTACCAATCTTGGCATTCATATCTCCCATAATTATTTTTACGTCATGTCCAGGCAGCAAATCATATTCTCTGGAGAGGGTATCATAAAAATTATCCTTGTCGTCATCCTCACTATCCTCTATTGGTGCATGTACACTTATTATAGATTTATTAAAGAACCTTCCTTTTAAACGGATCACACATAGTCTTTCATTAACAATTTTAAAGTTCAAAAGTAAATATTTCAGACTTTTCCTTATCATGAAACCTGTGCCCAGGTAGTTGGTGTCCACTATTTATGATCGTATACTTCTTAAGGTCCATTATCTCCGTTTTTCCCCATTTTATTTCTTGCAGTGCGGCTATATCCACCTTGTACTTCTCCAACACCCCCTCCGAGTTCTTGCTTGTTCCAGCCTATGCCATTCCTCGAACATTCCACGTCGCCAACATTAAAGACTTCGAAATTCCTTTGACTCGTCTAGGTCGCTCCATTAAATCTGTCCGGCTTTTCTTTGTTTGTCGTTTCGTAACATTGTGTTTTTCCAGGATAGGGGCGTTAACCCTATGCCCAACCTCCAACCTGAAGGGCGGGGATTTTTAATCAGGGTTTACTCCCTTAGCCTCTGAACTTTCGTTCTCACCCATAAGGCCGTGGGGGATAGGTATTCAAGGAATAAAAGGATTAGGATGAGGGGGGCTATAGGAAAGGGAGGAAAGATAGGATAAGGTAAGAGGTCAACGGTCAGTTGTCCCTTTAGTCGCCTTTTACGACAAGTGGTGAATACTGTGGGTCTACTCTATAGTTTAGAAGAGCTTCTGAATTCCTTTTGCTTCTTCCTCTAACATAATTCTGAAACCTTCCCTAGCTTTTCTCTTCGACTGTAGGACTTTTTCTCCACGTTTTGGAAAAAATTTATGATATAAAATGGCACTTCCGGTCTGTTGATTTTTACAAAAAAGTTGCTCTAAGTTCCCAGACATATATCTATTTTAAATGCTTAATTTAATTTCTGTTTTGTATGACTTTTCATTTTTTAGTTAGGCTGTTCACCCACACTTAAACCATTTGCGAAATTAGGTTATTTGGATTCATGGAACCTCAAGACGTGTATTTTCATTGAAAACTTAGATTTGAAATTTTTTACAATCATAATACTTTTCTTTTTCTAAATATTTCATATATAGGAAACTAGAAACTAAAAATTATTCGAGTAATACTCAACACTGGTATTAATTTCTGGGTAACTATTAGTTTTATATTATTACAAGATATTTTCTTTAATAATAAATCTCTCAAGCCATCAAATTCTATATCAGCAATATTTAACAAAATTTTTGGTTTTGGGAAACTAATCTCAGAAAATGTTTTAATCATTGGAAATATTCTAATAATAAAATGATCACATTTTTGCTATTGCTAAATAGGACTTGCTTTGACAAGTCTTAAGGCCAAAAAAAAAATCATTGCTGTTATCCTTATCATTAATTTTCGAGTTATGACTTAGTTGGAAATGAGTAGATGTGATGAAATTGAAAATGGAGGCATTTTATTTTATTCGAGTAATGGTAAGTTTTCTATGCCTGCTTCCTGCATCATATTCTGCAATTCAGTAACTTTTTTAGAAAACATATCTTCTATCTGTAACAAAAATTGATTGCATAAGTATGAAATACAATTTGTAGAAAAAGTATTAAGTAGTAAGTTGATCAGATAGTGAATGGATGTATAGGACAATTTAGAAATGTGTATGAAATAAAGATCTCAGCTTGCATTTATTGGCTTGTAAATGATATTATTAGATAGATTGTGTATTTAAATCACATAAGGATAATATTAAACTAGTTATAGGTTGTTACATCTTTGGCTGTACATGAAGAAATCTAATGGTGTATTAAATGAACTAATACTTTGTTGTCATGGGCTTATTCTGTTAATTTGATAGGTTACCTCAGCAATTGTATCCTCCAATTCTTTCTCAAATGTATTCTCAGGTTCTGGGGTACACATTTTTATTAGTTTTTCATTAAGACCATAGTTTTCTGGATGTTTTACCTGTAAAAAACATTTCTCTGTACAACTATCATTGCATTAATGTATAATATTTTAAATCTCTAATCAAATTAGTTTATCCTTCTATCTTTATTTTTCTTTTAAACAGTGTAATAGCTATTTTTAAAGCTGTTATCATTGGAATTAGCTTCATTTCATTTTTGAAATATTATATTAACTAGTTATCCTATGTGAACAATTCATGTAGAACAATCGAGACCTAATGGTCATACGTAAATGCAATCAATTTTGATTGGGAGGAATTCATTTTTCATTGACGTTAGTTATGGTTATTATTAATCATTATTGGTTATTATAAACCAATTATGTAATGGTTTATTATTGAAAATGATAAATAAAAACATGCGTAAAACTCCATTATGCTGTAACTTTGCTAATAATAGTCTATTTTTTTATGATTTTTTTATTTTTTATTATGGACTTTAGAAATCTTTGAAATTATCATGAGTACATCCAACCATAAATTGTTTACTCTTTGAGTTTTCTGTACTTCGTAGCTTTTTTTTCTGAGGAATTTGTTTATTTTTTGGCACTGACAGAGAAAGTAATCTTCAAAAATAATTACTTCCCAATACATTTGGTGCAATTCTATACAGGGTACTATCTTTTATAGGAACAAACATCCTTCTTAGGATTTTTCTCTCGAAAACCTGCATGGTGATGGCATCTGTATATAAGAGCCATGACTCTGGGGCAAGATTTTATTATTTTTTTGGTTGGGGGTTCCAGTCAGAGAAATAATACATATACAAATAAAATATTGTTGTATTTGAGGATTGAGGCAAATGTAAGTGGCAGGGAATAGGTGTGCCCCATTTTAAGTCAAACCAATGGGATATCAAGTTTAAGTATGACAGAAAGATTATTACTGATTGTCCGGCAACCTGATAATCGAAGTTAAATGAAAAAATATTATGAGTTCAAATCCCAGTACCCAGTGGGAATTTCAACTCATCATAATTCCACTGCCCTTTCCCCCAGACCGAACTGGGAGAAACTATGTAGCCTGAAAGGCAAGGAAGGGTAGAAAAAAAAAAATGTTTTGAAATTGAATGTTAATTATGCTCCTCTTCGTGAAGTTCCAGGGATTGGAGACTGGAGGCCAATGGAGATGTTGGACCCCTCTGCTTCAAATGTGGCCAAAAGTCAGACACCCCAGCTCATGTATTGGGTAATTGTCCAAACAACATGCTCCTTGTTCCCCATCGGCACAATAATATAAGGCATTGAATTTCCAAAGACAAAAATGTGTAGATGGTTCCTTGAAGTATATTGCCTTCATATGGAAGGTTCAGCGAGATTTGTAGATAACTTAGCCTTTAGTGCGAAAGGAAAAGAGGCTCTGATAGTTGATCCTACAATTAGATTCGAAACAAACGATGAGGATGAAGATTTCAAAATACAAAAACCTTCAGGAGAAATATAGAAAAGAATTTCGTGAGAGAATTTTCGGTTTAGAAGTAGAGGAGCGATTACGCTTTCAACTGCTGATTTATTGGAAAATGTGGGTGTGGAAAGGAACCATCTGCAGAGTATGGCGGAATCTATTATTTTGGACTCACAGAAAATTCTGAAACATCACTTATATTAATTCTGGCCACCACATTATGAGCTCTTTGGACAGAAATGGGGTAAAGGAAAAAATTATAGCAATGAATGAATAAATTATGACATTCGATACTTTAGATGGTAGTCCTGCAGGGATCTATCCCTTTTTTGTTCTCTCTTACTAAATATTGTCGATTAAGATTTATCAATATGATGGTTTTTTCAACATAGTTGAGCAGCTGTGCAGTTTTATTGTACTTTTCTCTTGTGCTGATATTTATCCTTTTACCGTAGTTGTTTAATAATTTTTTATTATCATACCTTTCCTCAGCCCTGATGAAGGCTTGCAACTTAATTAAGATGAAACATCGGCACAATATACAATATAAATCTTTTATTTTTATTTGTGTTTTCTCTGAGTGTAGCCCCCGACCATATTCACATCCATACTGTCTAAAATGAACAATTTTTATACCATTATAATTTTTTTTTTTATTTATAGTGTTTTTCAGTATATCTGATAATGAACTACTCAACCCAACTCCCGCCTCAAGACTCTTGCATCACATCGTTCCCTTTGGTATTATTTATGCCACTAGTCCAAGTTTCAAGTTGATCTCACTATGATTGCCAACAACTGTGGTCCTAAGTTATCTTCAGCAAACCCGACTGGTAGTGGGTAGTGATAATGCCGATACAAAGTGATCAAGCTCACTTACAAGAAATCATTTCTGACTGCTGTAGATTGGTGCTTTAATAAACTGGTATAAATGAATTAATTTAATTGTATGCTCAAGTTATTTCTTTTTCTCTCATAAGTGAAGCAGATCCCATCCTTATCTCTTATTTTCCTACCCCTGACAATGAGAGTAACAATGTATAAAAAGTATGCATGGTATGGAAAAGTCAGACACTTCTGGTTTACAGGAAGAATTCCGAAAAGTATAGGAAAGTTAACTGTTTGATATGAATTCAAAGTGACCTATGGGATAACACATGTTTCCAGCCCATTTGAGGAACAGAGATGCTAAGCCAGATGTGGAATTTAACTAACGATATGTATGATTGATGGCCATGCTTTTGTAGGCTATTCTGTATAATTTCAATTAAATATGTATTTCTTGTGAATATTCAGTTCTAAATCAAAGACTAGTCATTTACTTACTGGGAGGTATCTTGCCATGGGTTTTACATACTGAAAACGTGTGTAACGGCCATCTTCATTTTTTGGTAGACCACTAAATATCTATGAAAAATAAATAAAATTCAATGTTCAAGCTTTGGATATACCCTATTTTATTAGGTGAGATCATGGGTATCATACTGTTTGGCCCAAGAGCCACAGCTTGTGATGAAAACAAAAAGCTTGTTCTATAAATGACACTTCAGTTGTGAATCGAGCTTTTTAAGATAAATAGCTAAGGGAATAAAAGTTATAGTAACCTTGTGTTAGAATGATTACTAAATTTCTTATTTTTTAAACAATTTTACCATGTAATCTATGAAACTTTACTGGGCTGTAGTTTGGAGACCTCTGGATAAAATAAATCAACAATTTTGAAAACTAAAATGCATAGTAAAATTCTATTATATATTCTTAAGGTATCGAAACATTTTTTTTTTTTTAATTTGTAAGAAAATAAATCTTTTAAATATGTAATTGAAAATTGGCTTTGTTCTCTGTGTTGAGTTTTATTGTCACTTCTTATAGGCAGAGTTGAGAAAGAAAATAGAGTGGAAACTTTTCTCTGTATATTTGTATATGAGGATTCAAAGATGGGTTGTCTACATATTGAGGATGAGCGATAAAGAATATCCTTAATGAGTTATCTAATCACATGGAGAAATAATTTTATATAATTTTTTTTATTTAATGATTTAACGGTATACAAATATAACCAGTAAATATACACAAATTAGAAATAATGACATGAACAGAGTTGAAGAAATACTACCCAGTGGTAGCACTCCCTATTTAATTCTAGGTAAGAAGATCATGAGGTCATCTTCTTTTCAGGCACTTAGGAGGATCATCAGAAATCGAGGAAGAAACAAGGCTGGAATAAGTTGATTCGGATGGAACTGGAGTTTACCATGAAAGGATAGGTATCTGGCTCGGGCTAAATCAGCAACATATGGAACATTAAGGTCTTTATGAATGGTTTTATTTGTGACTAAATATGAGGTATTAATGTTTGGATTGTAAAAATAAAATAGGAATTTTATCGTTTATTTGAGCCCCAACCTCAACTCCGTATGTCCACATAGATTTTATTATGATTATATAGATGATTCTTTTGTGATTAATTGAAAGTTTAGAATGTTTGTCTATTGAGTATTGGAGCAGTCAGAAACATCGAGCAGTTTCTTGTCGTTTCAGTCTAGGATGCGGATTCCAAATAAGATGTTTATCGAAGTGGAGTTCTAGGTAGCAGATTTGTTCAACAGGGACAAGTGGAATATCATTGAAGGATATTTTAGGACAAGAAGTCTTAGGTTTAAGATGGAGGCTAAAGATAATTTGATGGGTTTTATTGGAATTTATTTTTATTCTCCAGTTTTGACACCATTCTTCAAGGTTTGTGATATGTGATTGGAGGGTTTGGGATGCAATTAAAGGGTCATTATTAACTGATAGAATACAAGTGTCATCAGCATAGGTGGTGATGACCGTGGCAGACCCCCTTACCGTGCACCCCCCCCCACATCCCTATAAATTGCATATCGTTGTGTTCCTTGTGACAATTTATTAAAAAAAAGCCAATGTTCCCACAAAAAAAAGTGAACGAACTGTCCCAAAATGGCGTCCAAACATGGCGGATTGACGACTTTGACTTTAGTTAGTTTTTTTGTTACTGAGAATCAGCATATGGCTTAATTTCATTATAGTTGGTCTTTTATTAAAGCTGGATAGTCATAGAATAATAAAACATGAAAAAATATTAAAAACTAATTGGATTAGGCATTAAAAAAAATCGGTAAAGTCAATTTTTTTTACGAAAAAATTTTCAAGTTGAAAATCAAGTGTCGTTTGTAATTAAACGGTCAACAATAATGCAATACGTGCTGAAATAAAACATCTGGAGAATACATTTCTCTTTCTAAAACACTGATTAGTTTTTAAAATATTTGAATGAGTTCCGTATAAAATGTACGTAAGCGGCAGAAAAGCGCTACTGGCGTGGGTGCCTACAGGCCTCTACCACACCACTCAGTACTTAAAAATGGCTTAGTTATAGTGCTATAATAACGTTTTTGTTATATTTTATTGATTATATTAACGAACAAATATTAATACAATAATTTAATTGTAAAAAATTATTTTTTTTTTAAATTTATTATTTTTGTTTTTTAATTTAACTTCATTTATTCTATACGGAGATCGCTTAAGAAGGCCTCTATTATAAAAATTATAAAATTATAATAATAAAACTTAATTCAAAAATACTTTGCAGAATATCTTGATTTTTTTATTTAATATTTGCAATTTAACATTTTGTTTTATATATTTACTGATTCTTAGAGGTAATTTAAATTGTATATACTTCCCTGGAAATGAGTCATATTAATATCTGTTTTATAAACTAAAGTAATATATACCTAATCTGAACTACTTTTAATGAATAGGTGATGGATTGTTTAGTAAAATTGTTATATCGCTATTAAAAAAAACATTTTTATTTCCTTTATTTTATTCGAAAGTTGGACCATATCATAAAAAATAGGAACTTTTAATATTAAAGTGCATTATTCCCTCTGCACAAAAGAAATATGGAAAGGGCGAAGCTATAAGCTCTTCTATGTTACTGGAACTGATTATTAGTATTTGGTCTCAAAATGAGGGAAAACGCGAAATTGAACCCAAAAATTGGAAAAATACATTAAGCGAACGACAAAGGAAGTGCAAAAATTTCGGAAAAGAAAACAAGGATCAGTATCCATTATATGGATACTGATCCTTGTTATATGTAGTAGACAGATGAACAGAATATTTCAAGATGCTGCTAAATGGAGATAAAAATGCTTGATCAGTTTGGATGATATTAAGCAGGTTTATTATGGTGAAGACCATTTCATCAACAAGAAAGATTTGTTCTAAGCAATTGGCAAGCAGGTCTGGAGGAAGTAACCCGAAATGCTGTGCTTATAAAGGCTACAAGTCTACTCAAGAATCGTAGAAGCTAAAATTAGAAATATTGTCGAATGCCTGAGCGATATGGATTGAGAAACTCAAGTTGCACATTTGAACATAAGTTGCAAATTGGTACTGTCTTCACTTTAAGGTAGGTTATAGAGAAGTCCACAGAGAAAGAAAAATGGTTCTCTATCTGCTTAGTGCCTCACACTTTGGATTGATCGAATATCTACTAGTCTTTCACAAAAGCTCGTTTTCCTTTCAGATTCATTCAAAAAACTTTTGCAATTGCACTAAAGAGGAGCAGAGCTATTTCCTTTTATCAATAGACCTCTGTATAACCTGCTTCAAAGTGAAGATAGTCCCAATGTACAACTTCAATAGCAATCTAAAATAAAGTGGTTTACACCATTATCAACCTCGTTTACTTCCTCCAGACCTGCTTGCCAATTGCTTAGAACAAATCTTTCTTGCTGATGAAATGGTCTTCACCATAATAAACCTGCTTAATATCATCCAAACTGATCAAGCATTTTTACCTCCATTTAGCAGCATCTTGAAATATTCTGTTCATCTGTCTACTATATATTCGTTTAGCCATATAATGGATACTGATCCTTGTTTTCTTTTCCGAAATTTTTGCACTTCCTTTGTCGTTCGCTTAATGTATTTTTCCAATTTTTGGGTTCAATTTCGCGTTTTCCCTCATTTTGAGACCAAATACTAACAATCAGTTCCAGTTACATAGAAGAACTTATAGCTTCGCCCTTTCCATATTTCTTTTGTGCAGAGGGAATAATGCACTTTAATATTAAAAGTTCCTATTTTTTATGATATGGTCCAACTTCCGAATAAAATAAAGGAAATAAAAATGTTTTTTTTAATAGCGATATAACAATTTTACTAAACAATCCATCACCTATTCATTAAAAGTAGTTCAGATTAGGTATATATTACTTTAGTTTATAAAACAGATATTAATATGACTCATTTCCAGGGAAGTATATACAATTTAAATTACCTCTAAGAATCAGTAAATATATAAAACAAAATGTTAAATTGCAAATATTAAATAAAAAAATCAAGATATTCTGCAAAGTATTTTTGAATTAAGTTTTATTATTATAATTTTATAATTTTTATAATAGAGGCCTTCTTAAGCGATCTCCGTATAGAATAAATAAAGTTAAATTAAAAACAAAAATAATAAATTTAAAAAAAAATAATTTTTTACAATTAAATTATTGTATTAATATTTGTTCGTTAATATAATCAATAAAATATAACAAAAACGTTATTATAGCACTATAACTAAGCCATTTATAAGTACTGAGTGGTGTGGTAGAGGCCTGTAGGCACCCACGCCAGTAGCGCTTTTCTGCCGCTTACGTACATTTTATACGGAACTCCTTCAAATATTTTAAAAACTAATCAGTGTTTTAGAAAGAGAAATGTATTCTCCAGATGTTTTATTTCAGCACGTATTGCATTATTGTTGACCGTTTAATTACAAACGACACTTGATTTTCAACTTGAAAATTTTTTTGTAAAAAAAATTGACTTTACCGATTTTTTTTAATGCCTAATCCAATTAGTTTTTAATATTTTTTCATGTTTTATTATTCTATGACTATCCAGCTTTAATAAAAGACCAACTATAATGAAATTAAGCCATATGCTGATTCTCAGTAACAAAAAAACTAACTAAAGTCAAAGTCGTCAATCCGCCATGTTTGGACGCCATTTTGGGACAGTTCGTTCACTTTTTTTTGTGGGAACATTGGCTTTTTTTTAATAAATTGTCACAAGGAACACAACGATATGCAATTTATAGGGATGTGGGGGGGGGGTGCACGGTAAGGGGGTCTGGCCCACAGACTATTAGGATGGGTTGGGATATCAGCTATATAAACTGAGAAAAGAGGTATAAACATGCATGATTGTGATTTACTTTGAGTTATCAATCAGTAAGTTATGAACGGATAATGAGGAAGTGTGTAAGTGGTAGGAATTTACGGAGTTTCTACAGCAGTTCCGGGTGCCAAACTCTATCAAACGCCTGTCCTAAGTTGAGGAAGATTCCCGTGCAGTACATTTTGTACTCCAATGCAGAGAAAACTATGTCTACTACAGGATGACATTGCTGGATAGTGAAATGGGATGTGCGGAATCCAAATTGATGATTATGTTTTTAGAATCTAGGATGGGGGACAGGCGTTTTAAGATGAGTTTTCCCAGTATTTTCCCCATGATAGGTAATTGAGAGATAGGACAGTAAGAGGATGGGTATTCAGATGGCTTTTTGGGTTTATGACAAGAAATATTATAAATATAGAAAATAGTAGTAGTATGAAAATATAGAGATATGGAAGACTTACTAGATGGTCAGGTATAGTTCGTTTCGTAATAACAATGCCTCCTTTGTTCTGAAAAAAACAATGTTTATTGATTTTATAAAGTATACTTTGATAATTATCAAGGATCTTTTCTTACAAATTCGTTCAAATGAAGAGATATAGATTTAAAATTTATATCCCGCTTAAAATTTATGACCCGCTCGGGTAGATGCGGAATGTAACAATAAATAAATAAATTTAAAATAAACAAAATTTGAATGAGGACAGGAATGTTTCATTTCATTGAATTCCAAGTTGCAGAAGACACAAAAATGAGAAAACTGACCAACTTGTGGAACAAAGTAAAATTTTTAATCTATAAAAACATGATCATTTTTGTGGACAGGAGCAGCTGAAATGGACAGCATCAGAAAAAACTAAAACAAATCAACATCAGTCTTAATATATTATCCCTTACAAGATATAAAGACAAAATTTCCTATATGCATATTATTAAAAGGTAATTTCACCAAAATGGGTCAGAAATTGAACAAATTTAAGTACACCTTGCATGGCTTATACCTTCAGGTGTATTGAAAGAATGTTGAAATTGTTTCACTTTACCGCCGAATAAACTATTAAAAACTTTAAAACGTTTTTGTGTGATTAGAAAACGTTTGTCCACAATGCATGGATAATGTGAAATCGTGCGAAATTATCCCGAAAATCTGTAAATAATTTTTTATATTCTTTCAGGAGTTCATCAGTCTGAAAAATATAGAAGTTTATCACTATAACAGTTCTAAATGATTATTTTTTTATTCTTCAATAGATATCTGTTACCATGTCTGTTGAATTGCTTAAGCAATCTGGTGAAGAAGTTCCAGAACAATCTTCTCATGGACATATAACAGAGGTAAGAACAGCCTGGTGTGTGGTATGAAAGTTAGTTATATGCCCCATATATAAAAAAGAAGTCCTAGCATGTTCTGACATGCTGGAATATCACTCCTTTTGACTTTAAGGAGTGTGTTCAGGAGACTCCTGTCCTTTGATCGGAGAATAATTGTTCTTTCGATTTTTACAAAGGAAGTCTATTATTAATTAGTTGTCCACTCTTAGAATCTCACTAGAGAGGACCGAGAGAATGCCAGGACTTAGGGTTTCCACTTGTACTTAATCGTCAAGTTGGCATGATAATAAAGGAAGAGAAGTCTCTGTGAGTGTTCAAGGAGGTAGATCAGAGAGATTTTACATACTCATAAAGAACTCAAGAAGGTGGATTGTCTTGTATGCTTTCTTTTAAACTTCAATCTGGAATTCAAATTGCCGAGAACAAACGTCCAAGTCGGAGGGACGATGTTCAAAAAGTTAACCATGATCCTAGGCTTTGCAGGGGACAGGCGAGGCAGTGAGATTGGAAAGACTTGGAGTGATGACTGCCTTCTTTGACCAATGAAGAGGGGTAGGTAGAACAAGACTTGCTATAAATAAAATATGCTTAGGAGCTCTATTAGTGAAATGTTCTTGAGTTTATTGGTCAGTTCAACTTTAAGAGGATCGAAATATTCATACAATTATAAACTTATGAAACAACATTAACTCTAAAATTCAGTGGGTTATGATGGGTGGTATTATAGAATCCATTAACCACCTTGATAACAGAGAAATTTTAGGACTACTATAGCATGATTGTATAAAACCCAAGAAATGGCCCTTGCGAAATGTGACTGCCGAATTATCCGCAGAGTCTACTGGGCAATCTTTAATGATGGATGCTGAAAAAACACTTTTACAGAGCTACTGGCTCTTTACAATAACGTTGACAGTACCACCGCTCTTGACTATGGTGGGTGGTGCATGTGGCAACAATGGTTGAAGACCCGACGAATCTGAAATCCAGTGCGGTGCGAGCAACACACTCCTTTCACATACCACCCTTCCTTTTGCTGAAGTAGGTGTTTTTACAAGGGAAGTGTAAGCAAAATTACAGACGGTTCGAAATATTGTTTAAAACAATTAATTATCTTATGTTTTTAACAGCCGTCTAATATATTATATTTATGATTTTTTTTTTGTCACTAACCATTTTCTTTTGCGACAGTGATTATAATAAATAATTTTGTTTCACTGATAAAGAAGGCTATATCTATTTATAGTTAATTGTAATTAATCTGTTTATAGTTAATTTTTATATTACTATAATCGATACAATGAAATATTAAAGAATACCAACGCTAACATTTATGTAAACCGCACATGTATATGTATCAGGGGTGTCCATTCTCGCCAAGGTCAATAGCACACTTCTCTCCTTTCAAGAAATTGTATTCCTCTTCTCTTCTTAAAAACATAGCAAGCGAAAGTAGGATGAGAGAAATGTTGATCTTGATGAGAGATGTTACACTCAGTTATCCTGTGGTTTGAAAGTTCCTCTTTTGAGACCCAACAAAAACATGGCTCTGATAATTCATAATCCCTTCTGAATGTACCCCCTCAAAAATTTTGATGGCGGAATTTGCGGTATGCAACTCCCTTTTGGACACTCCTGATATGTATATAATATTAGCGGAGCCCGTATTACATTAAGCACGTGTTACATAAGTAAGCCTTCTAACCTTTCAGCCAAGCTCGAGCGCTCGTGTTTCTTCGATCTTCAATTACGATTCCTTATTTCTCCTTTATTGAATTATGAAATTATTTCATAGTTTATATTTAACCAGTTTTGATTCGAGGTTGTATTGTGAAATGGTCAATTGTTTCATATAAATAAAATCAGAGGTACTTTAAGAAGGAAATTTTGAAAATTCGCTATTTAAATGTTGTAAGGCTGCATCAACGAGAATAAAACCTACCTTAAACTAAAAACTATTTAATTACAAAATAAGCATAAACAGTACCACCAGTAAACAGTAAGACCAGTGATACTGTGTGGTATGGAAACAGTCAGCCTTCCGAGCCTAGAGGAAATCCTAAAGGTTGAGAGGAAAATTCTGAGGAGGATCCACGAACCCAAAATAACGCAAGAAGGGTGTAGGCGAAAATCCAATGAAGAAATAAATAGGAATTGGGAAGATCTGGAAACAGTCATCAGGACCAGGAGACTGAGGTTCTATGGACACATTGTCAGAATGGACGACGAGTGATTAAACAAGAAAATTTCGAGAAAGTCTGCGGCTATAAAAGTATGGGGAGGGTTTGTAAAACAAATAAAAGAGGAACTGGGTATGCTAAAAATCACGGACAAGGACTGCTTGGATAGAGAGATTTTTGGGAAAAAACTAAAAGAGGTTGGGGTTCTTGTGGACAGGAGGGAGAAAATGGACTAAGGAAGAGCGAGAGGAACAGTCCAAGAGGATGAAAGAGTATTGGAGTGGAAGGAAGGCGGAAGGTTTGTAGAAGAACAAGAAATGGTATTCACGTGGTCCTTGCTGATCGATTCATGTAAAAAAATATATATATTAATGATATAAAGAGTTTAATAAAAATAGTTAGAACCATTTTCGAGAAAAATGTATAAATTCGATGATATAACGAAAAAGTTGCTTTGACATTTCAGACACATACAAACACTAAATACGCAACATCAGTTTCATATGACTTCCTGAGTTATACTGTTCACGGAAACATTGACCATTTTGTGATATTTGGTCATTTAAGCTCAGAACGTGTATTTCTGTTTAAAACTTAGATTCAAAAGTTTTCACGATCACAATACTTATTATATATTTGATACATAGATAAGCGAAAGTAAAAAAGCATTGTGATACCATCGGCACCATGTTGAAGTAACGAATGTGCAACGTTAAACAAACTCACATTCGCTATTTTAAATTTTTTTTAAGTCGACGGTATGATGAATATTTTTAAAGAGTTTTTTCACTATTTTATGAATCCCACGAGTATCGTTAATGCAAAAATTTCTCTTTTCATACATTTAAAAGAATTAACATCTTAAAAAGTAATTAAGATACTGTCAGTACCATGTTAAAACTAACGAATCATGTTGCCGACCAGGAGTCCCCAGAAGGGAGTTTCATGGCGGAAGGTGCGCCATCAATTTTTTTTTAGGTGGTACATTTTGACGGGGTTTTGAACTTTTGAGGGTGCACATTTCTACGAGATTATCAATTTTCGTCATGAAACGTTTTAACGGGGAGACAAGGGGAAAACATGTAACAGACCGCAACAAGTGTAATTGAATATGATGTACGATTTATTTAAAGTTTTCTTTCGCTTGGACCGTTTTTAAGCGGAATAGGATGGGTTGCCATAAAATAATAAACTTTAAAATGTGAGTTTTATTTTAACTTTTGGTGGGCGATTTTAAATAGAATGGTCCTAGACTTAACCCCTTTGATCAGAATCATCTTCAAATAACTGTGACACGGTAGTTTGTTGTGGAGTATGAAATGTATCAAGTTTTATGTACTTACCCAAGAGTCCAGGCAAAAAATGTCTTACATTAAATTATGTACTCCAAGTTTGATGAAAATATTGTTAATAGCAAACCAATATTATTCCAACTTAATATTAAAGGAACTACTTAAATATTGGAGTTTTTAATACAATTAACCTTTTTATGTTTTCTTTGAATCTCACTCTGAGATGATTGCATTTTCTACTAAAGTATATAATTTTTAATTATTAGAAGAGGAGAATAAATCGGATGTTTAAAACTACTCCATAAAATGATCTATTCATTGAACATATGGTCTACCTCTCCACTTTTTTGTTTTTTCTTCACTATAGACATCACGGAACAAAATCGGTTCCATTTGGTCGGTGTCTCAACCAAATCCATGTGAAAGGCATATCAGCCACTTACTATTGGTTTAGAACAATTTTTTCTAAAATTGTACATTTTGGTACCCAAACTATTCCCATATCAATTTGATCGAATTACATCCTCTGATATCGTATGCGGTATGCATAAGCGTATTTTTACTTATTAACTAAATATTTCAAAAACGGCTCATTCCATTTAGCCATCAGTTGGAGAAAAGTTAAATATTAGTTAAAAAAGTTATCCAGTATCAATTTTATTAAATCTCTTTTACCAATTTCGCCTACGATTGCGCAACCGTATTTTCCTGAATACACCTAAATTTATGTTTATATTACTTTATGCATATAATCCTGTTGCTGTGCAAAATAATTCCACCTTCCCACTCTGACTAGGATAGGCTACCTATAGGCACTAGCGGATCCAGAATTTAATTTTGGGAGGACTTAAGCCCGAAAGCTATTTTCTTCATAAAAATAACGATAATTATTTTGGAAAAAAAGAAAGAAACTAACTACCTATATGGAATGGAGTTTAAGTGATTCCTAAAGTCGTTTTAAATGTAATTACACGAACAATAATACTTTAAGAGATAATTTTTTTCCATAAAACATGGTTATATATTACCATATTGGGGGGGAGGGGTCGGCTTCAGCCTCGAAGCCCTCCTCACTTCCTTGTAGATCCGCCCGTGCCTATAGGTATTACCTCTCCTCTCCTTCCTAATCCTCCCGTTTACCAGACAGGAGGAAAAAGAAAAAATACGCCTATATTTCAAAAATGGCTTGTTCGATTCGGCGAAAAATTGAAACAAATTGGAGTGTTTGTGAAAAAATCGTTATCAATTTAAACTTTCATTAATTTAATTTCATTTTAATCAGTGCCGCTCTTAAACATTTGGTGCTATCATCATCTCCTCCCCCCTCGTAGAAAATATTTCTCTAATATAGCTGCTTTATTAATAGGCTAAAATTAATTATTTTAGTACTTTTTCCATATATTTTTTTTAAAATTTATAACAAGTTATCAGCGCCCGTCTAGTTCGGCTCCCCGGTGGCAAATACTCGGTCCTAAGGCATTGATTTTAATGTCAATTTAATCAAATTCTAATAGTTCAATAGATTTAAATAAATTAAAATTAGTTTAATTATTAATAACATAATGTCTGTGAAATGTGGTAGAAAATACAACATAAGATAATGGGAAGTTGTATACATTTTTAAACTGTTTGTATTCCTGTTGCTTAATGCATGATATAACAAAACCTATCCCTGTTAATTTTTCTTAATGAAATTTTTAGGGATTGTGAGGGTTACAGGATCTAAACTATAGGATCACGGGGTGAGGATATTGTTTGGAATATATCCTATATGCCCAAATGCAATCTATATAAATAAAATAAAGATTTTGTCAACCCGTTTTATGATATCTTTCCGTTTCATACATTGTAGACACCAAATCCACTTTTAAAAAACATTTGTCTGTATGTCCTCATTGCAACGAAATTTTGTCAGAGGTAAGCTCAGCAATAGCTTTATATAGACTTTTGAAATTTTTACATTATATTAAGGTTTGCTTGACTTAAAACATAGGCTTTAAATGAAAACAAAATATTGAGTAGAACCAAAGTTATGAATTCTTGAGTAATTTGTCTAGAGATCTCGGTGACTGTTGATAATAAATGTTAATAATAAACATATGTTTACAGGTTAAAGAACATCTATATAAATAAAATATAGGTTTTATCTGCACATTGAATAGAATCAACCCGTTTTATACATTACAGACACCAAATCCACTTTTAAAAAATTTTTTGTCTGTCTGGATGTCAGTATTGTCCAACAAAATCTTGTCAGGGGTAAGCTTGGCAATGGCTAATGGTAGACTTTTGAAATTTAGACATTACCTTTATGTTTGCTGGACTTAAAATATAGGTTTTAAATGAAAATAAAATATTGAGTAGAACCAAGTTATGAATTCTTGAGTAATTTGTCTAGAGATCCCGGTTAGGCAGTTACTTCGATTCTCATCCCAACTTACTCTATCGCGAGCCACATTTAAAAGTTGTGCTACTCAACTGATGGAAAAATTATCACAACCATGGGGGGGGGATCCGGAATACAGAACATCTGCAACGCGTTGTCACATAAAACGGGTAAAACGCACTCATTTTTCAACTTTGTCCGATCTTCCCGTTCAAGGTGTCATTTAATTCAACTTCCCGAGCCTAACAAATATTGTCGTATACATTTTTAGGATTAACCAAACGGATTAGCCGGAAATCAGGAAAAAAATCCAAAAATTTCACCTCGCCCGCCACAATATTCAGATCTAATTTTACACGGATGTAGGTGATTCAATGTCCAATATTATTTTGGTTATTTTGCCATTGATAAACTCAGCAGAGTTTAAAGAAGTGGAGAAACTACAACTCTTTTTGATTAAGTAATCGACCCCACAATCTCCTCGCTTCATCATAAATGAAAATTAAACACAACAAATTTTAATGGATCGGTGGTGGTCGGTTTTGTTTTGTGGTACCTAAACAAATAGCCGAATAACAAAGTTTTTGTTATGATTATTGCGAAACCTTGACTTCCATAAGCTCCACCATAAAAAATTCTAAAATAACCCCTCTCCCACCTCCCAATTCAATTTTATGAAATTGAATATGGATCCTCTTCCCCCCCATAATACAAAATTCATCTCAAAAAAATATTCCCAAATTTTAACTATACACCCGTCAACAATGGGTACATCAGCTAGTATATAATGTATGCTTATTACCATCTCAAGCCCTTCCTGATGACAAAAAAGTGTTAAGTCACACAAATACTTTAAACTAAAACAGTATAGTATTTTAATAGACGGTTCCTTTTACAGTTTAGTTGAGTTTATGAATCTAAAATAGGACACCATTAAACCTGCTATTAGACAGATACAGTCCTTTGTAATGGAATTGTACTGTGTTTATCTTTATGAAGTTCATACTATAGCAATTTGTTGTGGGGCTAAGTCGCCACTACGCAAGCATTGGGGGAGGGGGGGAGAGGGATCAAGCCTGTCTGAGGCTTTATCTAAAAAATGAGATAAATAATAGATCTTGAATTATACGTAGTTATTTAGATTATAAAAATTGTGAGGAAGGTATTAGTGACCACATTTAGCATACTTTTTCATTTCCGGGACCTGAGAATCAAGAATAAAAGTCCATTATCATTTAAAACAATGTATACAACTATTTATCTTTCTATATGTTAGGTTTTAAAAAATATTTTGAGCTGTCAGTTACCAAAATAAAAAAAATTGTGAGCAGCATAGAACCATCACTAAGATTGTACTAATATTTTATGTGATTTGTTTGAAAAACAGATGAATTTCATTTATCCTTTCTTGGATCAAATTAAATAGAATTTTAAAATCAACTGAGCAGCTTAATTTCTTTTTGTGTCTTGTTTTTGAACACTTTTTATTTTATTTTTTTTCTATTTTTAATTTATAACAGTGGCCTGTGTGGGAGGAAAAAGTTAATAAAGGCAGAATGTTAGGTAGGCTATACATATTTTGTTAGAATTAAAAGGAAAAAAATATATATAGTAAAATACTTGGTTGCTTTAAATGTAATTTATTACACAAGAAAGTACAATATATAATTAATGTGGTTTTTCGACTCTGTTGGAAACAGTTGGTAATTATTGATAGATAAGCTCAATTTTGTTTTCAACACTAAAAATCTGAGAAATTATTTGGGGAAAAAAAATAATAATGAGTTTGACCAAAGAAACAAATATAACAATCTAAAATACAAACATAACAATCTAAAATACAAAAGAAACATCTTGTTGCAATTTTTACTCGTGTTGAAGGATATATTTAATATGAACATCAACCACACCGACTACATAGAAACCAGAGGTTAGAGCATACATCTAGAAAACAAATATTTTGTATTAACTTGCTTAATTAGTTATACATTTACTCATAATTAGAGTATTAATATACAGCATATTTTAGAATCAAGTGTCCTAAGTGAAAATATGAATTAAGGATCTCAAAACAAGAAAAAGATTCCTATGAAAGTAAGTTCGTTAACACTTCGTTTAGAAGCCATTGGATAGATAAGATAGAATACTAATGTGACCTTCTTTTCTGCACATAAAATATTGACAATGTAAGGATTACCACTGTTTCAAGTTAGCATAGGGCGTTCTCAATAACATTTATCAGTTTATTTAATGTTTTCAAAGAGTACTCAAACATTGCATTTATACTAATAGTGAATATCAAATGTGCAGACTTTGACGGGGAGGTGTGAGAGGAAGGAGTCGCCCCTCTACCCATACAATAAAAATTGAGAGGGGATCAGAATACCCTTTCGTTCCCCGCAATCTTTTTAAGAACAAAAATTAAAATCAATAAAAATAAATCAACATGATTGTATAAAAAATGCTAACCAAAGTCAATTAAGAAAATAGGAAAAATCATTCAATGGTTAAACTAAGGCCTAGAAGTAAGTAGGCAAGTATTTTATCATGCCCTATGTTCCTATTATTAAAATTTTAGTTTATATTAAAAAATAATTATATGTAGCAACATATTCTGCCTGCTGATGGTTGGAACTAGCCAGAGCCCTCTTCTCTGGCAAGTAGGGGAATCTACAAACGATGGCCAGCACCCTAGGGAAAGATTGGGTAATCAGCAGTACGGTAGTCAGGCGACAACAAGGGTTGTTCAGGTGGCTCTCTACTAAATGCCTCTTCGGCCTGCATGGGACTGATGAGGTAGACTAGAGCATGGTAACTCTCCCACGAGCATGTCAGGAGGCTCTGAGGAGGCAGCCTCTCCACCTGACTAGTAGGCAAGGGCTGATAACCCTCCCCTCTGAAAGCAGATCCATTACCAGGGGCACTAAACTAGTCATATACAAGACTCTAATACGCCCAGTTCTTACCTATGCTTCCCAATCCTGGACCATCTCAAGAAAAAATGAAAATAGACTTTTAATTTTTAAAAGAAAAATCTTTAAATCTTTAAAAGGGGCGAATAGTTAGCCCAGTGAGAGATCGAGATGGATGGAGGATTAAGAGGAACATGACTTTATGACCTTTAGGGAGATATGGACGTTGTAAAGTTTACAAAACTGGTGAGGCTCAATTGGGCTACACATGTTGCAAGGATGGAAGCAGAAGAAATTCCTAGAAAAGTAGTGGATACTGCCCTTCATAGGACATGATGGCCTGGTAGGCCGAGGCTTCGATCAGTTGATGGAGTGGCAGCGGACGCATGAAGTCTGCTACGGATCAGAAGCTGGAAAGCGGCAGCACGAAATCGGCACCCGAATGGCGGCGGCTCAATCAAATTGAACGACATTTAATATGAATGTTGATGTTTACAATTTATTAAAAAAGTAGCTGGAACATATTTTAGTTCATTTATCACAACCTAAATAATTCATAACAATGAAAATCTTTAGCTCTGAATATATCCTAAACACAGCATTAATGGGCAAATCTTAAAAGAAATTTGTTTTCTTGCTATGAGATACATAATCCATATTTTCTATAAAACATTTTCTGAAACACCCTGTATAATTTTATGGTTTTTAAATCTAGATAGCTTATACTGATAAATTCTTCAGTTAAATAAAAACCATCATATACATATTTAATAGTCTTATCTAATGGACTCAATCACCACAGTTGACTCATTATTTAGAATGCTATAATTATATTATTTTTGAACAACTTTTATTTCTAGTTAATATCGTATGAAAAGATATATTTATTTCAATAAATTAAAGAAATTATTGTCCTTTGTTCTTCAAGTCATCTTCTAATTTCAAAAGATCTAGCAATTTTTTTATATCGATGAGGCTAAATCTTGTATCTTGGGTTGTGGTAGAAAGTTTTTCATATTCATATATTTGCTGTAAATATAAAAAAAATATAAATTAAAATATTTTTTAATAAAGAATAAATTATAAAATATTTCTATTATAACCCTTCTCCTTTTTAGATTAATGTATTTAAATATTGTTAGTACTAGATTGATCTGATTTCAAAGTTCTTAGATATTTTAAAAAGAAAAGTTAAATATAAATAAGTTAAATCTATATATATATATATATTTTTTTTTTTAAATATGTTCAATATAACTTATAACAACAAATAAGCATGAAAGTTAATATGGTATCCATATAAAAATGCCTATAATAATATAGATACAGAATTTTTTTTAAATTTAATTTAATTTATTTAGAATTGTAATAATCTGTCACGTGGACAATAATTATAGTGAGATATGAACACCTACAGAATTAGAATCATTATGTCTATATGACAATATTAGTAAATTATGGTGCACAATTTTAGCTGTAATGAAGTGCCAATAATTGACAAGTAACATTAATTAAATTTAAAAATAATTTAGTTCAACTTTGTTTGATTGAGCATTATTATATGTTTAAATTAATTGAAAAAAAAATCATTTTAATTAATTCAAAATATTCATCATTCGATATTAATGTTGTTTAGTACTGTAGTGGAGTTTAAAGAAACAATTTTTTTTTTCAGAATTTTTTGTGTACATCTGCTATTTTCTGTCAAATTTTACTCCTTTCTATCTCTCTCTCTCTCTCTCTCTCTCTCTCTATATATATATATATATATATATATATATATATATATATATATATATATATATATATATATTTCTAGATTTTTAATGAATAGGTACAAATTAGGTATCATGCATTTATTTCAAAACTTTTAGGCATAAATATTTTTTAAAAATTTAGATAATGTTTCCTAACATTGTTGAATCTTCTATTATTTTCTATTCAATTTGTATATAAATGTTCATATAAAATTCATTTGATGTTTGGACATCAATAACGGCATAAATTGTTTTAGATTCGATAATAAGCAAGCTAAGTGCTATTGCCAATACTATTTAATCGTTAAGCTATCTGAACATTTATTTAGAACATTTTTCAGGTTGTTGGCGATAGTATTTAACTTTCTTTTTGAGGTCTAACTCGATTTTTATTGTTTGGCACTTAGCCCCGTTATTGATGTACATCCTTTATTTGTAAATATAAATTAAATCCATAGTATATCAATTAATCTTTTCAAAATGTGATTATTCGATTTATCTGTTTATTTTATTTAGTTCATTTTAAAAAGGAAAGCATGGTGTTTGTTTTCTCTAAAAGGTAAAATAAATATCAACTGGTACTTACGGAAAAACCAACTCTCTGTACTGAAGGTATAGGGTTTTTCTTGTAATTCAAGAAATCAATTAGCTGGCAGTATTCTACTTTGCCGTCATCTCTCCCCTGAGATTTAGCTATCCTGATTAAAACATTAAGAAACAACTTATAAGGACAGTTGGCACTAATACCCACTTGGGTAGATACAGATCATAATGGAATAATTAAATTAAGTAAAACGTTGCTGTACAAATGTGACTATTTGTGTTAATGTACATGTCACATAAATAAGTTTTATATTTTATTAAACAGTTTATTTAATACAATAAAAATAATCATTATATAAATAGGCAAAGACTCAACTGTTTTGTACTGCTGTCAACTCTGTTTCTGAACCAATTTTCTATTTAGCATAGTAGCTATCAGAGGTGGGCAAATGCTACTCTGAGTACTATGTACCAACTATTTTACTCAAATACTGACCTTACCTTTTTTGTGCAGCAAAAAATTTAATTACTACTTCACTTGATGGCAAACAATCAGCTGAAGTAGTGATTGAATTCCCAATAGAGATTCTATCTGAGTAAAATACTTGGTATTCAGTACTTAAAGTAGCATTTGCCCATCTCTGGTAGATATTGACAAGCTTTATTGTTATTAATAAAAAAAAATTGGAAACATTGTACATAAATATTACCCAGTTCTAGACCAAGTTGAAGTGGCTTTATCTGTCCTACCGCCGTCAATATTTCCTGGCTACCTTCCTATACCGAGCCATTACAACACGGCGAACTGCCTATATTCTACAGATCCTACAATTCAAACGCTCCTTTCAATCCCGTACACCAGATCCGGTGCGTCCGACCTCTAGCCTCCTTCTCACCGAACTGCTGCATTTGATAAATCCTTTTTAATACAAGTTGTCTCCCTCTGGCACTCTATACCTTCAAATATTCGACATGCAAAATCGATATCCTCTTTCAAATCTCTCCTCTTCGAACACCTACTCCCTCCATTCCCAATCCGATTCATCACGAAATGCACTTAAAAACCTAAGCTGTAAAAACCTCAAAGTACACCCAGATACTCTGATTATTTTGTAATTCATCGATATTTCGTTTACTTAATTACTTTCTCTGTATATTTTATATTTACGCGTATTTATATCATTTTATCATTTATAACTTTATTGTACCCTGAATCAACCTGTAAATATTAAATTGTATTTCATACACACCAAAATATTAATATATATTCTGTATTTGTGACTTGTTCTAAAGGGACACTAGTCCCAGAATAATAAAATTATTTTTATTCATTCAAAAATTTAAAATGTAAATGTTAGTTTGTAGTTGGTAACATAAACATTGCACGTGAAATTATGCTTTATCCCAAATCACGCACCTTTCAATCACCAAATCACCTTAATACAGGATCACACTTATAGATATATTTAACCAAAGAGAAAAATTAGTTTTATAAATTCGTTTGATACTTGATATTTTCTCTTATTTGATAACGTCATTATTATTTATAGGAAAATTTTATTTAAATTAAATAAAAAATAATTGTAATGAATTTACAGGTCAAAAAAGATGATATTTTGAATTTGAATACATTATACTTTCCAATAAAAAAAAAATTGTAATTAGAATATATTTATGATTGATTTTTTATTTATTTATGTTTTTGGTAAAATACATTTTGCTTCTTTGTTAGCAGTTAACATATTTTCAAATACCTTGTTTGTTTTATTTATATTTTTACCTGTAAATAACAATGTATTATTAATGCATATGAATGTGTCAAAATAAAAAAAAATAAAAAACCCAGCATTAATGGAAAAAACTTTGTACCTATGGCAAATAGAATGTACTGAATAAAACATAATGCGAAATATGTACTGACATCTCAATTAAAAGATTTATGAAGTCTGGTGCGAGTGGTAGCCTTGCCCCTCTCAAAGTAGTGTAGGCATTTGTCAGAGTCACAAGACCACTTTTCTCTTTGTCGAAATGTCGAAAAGTTTCTTCTACTCTTATAAAGTCATCATAAAGAAACCTCTTCAATTCATCATGTACCAAACATCTAGAAAAGTCATCAATAAAAATATAAATAAAATAAACGAGATATAATTTTAATTTTAATTTTGGGTTTTTAAAATACCTTATGTTTTCTAATGACACATTTTCCCGCATAAATGGGATCTTGAAATATCTGCCCAGTGCTAGTATTTCATGCTCTGTTATCTTGTTTCCAAGCTCTCTTATTAAGTAATTTCTTAAAAAAAAATATTGCCTTAGATATCTTCTTAAATCATACAAGTACTTAATTATAAAATTTATCAAAGGTTATTTATTTAATACAAGAAAAAAGGGAAATGAAGTGTTACAATTAAGTCTAATTATATGTATAAGAATTTCATATTTCATATTAAAAGATATGAATACCTGAATTTATAATAAGGTAATGGTTTCAATTCCGATTGGTCGAAAAATTGTGCAGCCCACTGCTTGTAATTTGCTCTGACACCTTCTCTTAGTTTATCAATTATTAGCCTTAAATTATTCTTAGGAAACTGTAATCCACAAAAAAAAATTCTGATTTGATTTAAAATAAATGTTATTATTTTATTTATACTTTTCTGAATAATATTAATTTTAAAATTGATAAATTATATGGTTGATACATGATCTTGGATAGTAATTACCTTTCTATTATTGAGTTTGATCAAGCAATATTTCAACTATACATATATTTATTTCTGATAATCAGTAAGGTTACCTCATTTGGATGAAGTTCCATGTACTTCATTGAATATTCATCGATATCATGCAAATAAAAAATCATGTTATCAAGATTTATTGTATTTCCCAGAAAAAGCTCTTCTAAACTTATTTCTTCAGGAGGTTTACTAGAAAATTTTGAATATCCTGATTTATATATTTTTCTCTTTTTAATAATATACCCACCAGATATTCCTTTGGAAAAACAAAAAAGCATATAGGTATAACAAGCAAATAAACATACTCTTGTTGTATTTATAGATAACTAATTTTATTTTATTGTTTTAATTTTATCATTGATCTCTGTTGTAAGTGTTGGGTGTTTGATATCCTTGCAGTACATATAAAAAATGACAATTGGTCAGAAAAATATTTCAGATTATGAAAAAGTTATATGTTATCAGATAATAAATTAATCAAGAAATAAAGATTGATTAATACTGCATTAAAAATAATGTAGCAGTGATCTAAATAACTGCTACTGAAATGAAAAGAATCTACAAATTATTACAAAATGGTGTATTATTCCCTCTTAGATTAAACTGAAAAGCAATAAACAAGCGTTTTGGAATTACCTCCAACCTACAATAGCTTTTTTTTTTTTTTTTTTTTTAATTTTGATGATACCTAAATAGTTTACACTTTCACCCTTCTTTCATAAATGTCCAAGATATGGACATTCGAAATCTCTAATCAGCCACCATCTTGTTATAAATGGCTAGTAATGTCAAGTTTCAAGGTTCTTTCTGAGGTGACCTTTGACTTCATTGTCAAATATAAAGGAAATCAACTTTTCCATCGTTTCCAAACTTCCATCGTTCGTCTTAAAACTAAATGGTTGAATATCATATTTTTGCTACTTTTAATAGAAAAATAACTGGACCAAACTTAATGTCCTGTTGTTACTTAGAGCCGATATAAGAGCTAAAGAAGCTTTGAAATTTTTAATCATTAATAAAAATATCTGAAATAAAAAGGATTTTTAAGGGGTCAAAAGGCGGGGTAAGAGACCAAACAAGTTCTAAAAATTAAAATTCATTTCATAATTATTTGTAATGGAAGTGTTAATGTTTATTATCATGTAATCCACAATTATTACATACAGTCTTCTACCTACACTTCTGTTATATAAATCTTATTAAAAAGTTAAGTTATTTATCAATTTTTTTTTTGTTTTATATTTTCCAGTTTGTTTTATATTTTAAGATTAAATATTGATACTTAGGAGTAATAAAAAAAAATTAATTACCTGAATTAACTTTTGGAATTTCATACACAGATAAAGCATTGTCCTCTAAATAGTAAGAAATTATAAAATCCCTGGTTTTTTCTAGTTCTAGATCTTTTTCAGCAACCAACCCAGCCAGAAATCTCAAAATCTTGCTATCATAACCAACTCTACAAAAACATAAAATATACATTAGCCATAAAAATCCTAAAATTTTCTTTGAGGAAGAAAATATATTAATAAATATCTCCATTCCCTCCCCATTTATGAATCATTTAAGCAATTATATTAACTAGTGCATTTATGAGACATGGGCAGTACACCTTTTAAATGAGAATAACACATAAAGCATTCAATATATTATAAATTTTTAAGATTGTATTAAATTAAAGCTCTAATAATAGTTTCATACTTAGGATGAAATCGTTGAGACACTAAAAACATGCCTAAATTGGATGAATCTTTAGATTTTTTATAATAATGTCACATTTAGGAATAAAGTTTTATTTTGACAATTATTATTTTATCTGATAGCGAGACTGACCGAAGGAGAGACTGTAGTCAATGAAGGATTATAGAGAGAAGAAACAGTTTTTGATTTTAGGACTTCCAATTACTCTATACTACCTTTTTGAGCACTCATGGTTCGAAATGGATGGAAAATTCAGACCATTAATTATAAATGTCGATCTAGCTGTTGTCTCAAAAAATCACCTTTTAGCGGAAACCCAAATACATAACCCTCGTGCCTCTTCGCGTTACAAAGCGGGTGAATTGAACCTAACTGGTATTCGAAATATTCACGTGGATGGAAAATTCAGACCAGTAATTATAAATATCGGTCCAGCTGTTGTCTCAAAAAATACCTTGTAGCGGAAAACCCCAATACATAATCCTCGTGTCGCTTTGCGTCACAAAGCGGGTGAACTCACCTGTTAATTAAAATTAAATTCATTTAATTAAAATTTATGTCATCAGACTTGAAAATCACTGTCAGGTAATCTCATCGAATAATTTTAGAGATCAAAATTAAAATCATTCTGGCCGTTCGCTCAAAAAAAGTTACATACCTTTTTGTGAATTGATTAAACACATTTATTTTTTCACGGGTCAGTGTTTTTTATTCAAATTGTTTCAAAACTCTCAGGAGATCTCAGCAAATAATTTTAGTTATCAAACTTAAAAATCGATTTAGCCGTTCGCTCAAAACAGCGTTATACACCTTTTAGCAGACAACCCAAATACATAATCTTCGTGTCTCTTCGCGTTACAAAGCGGGTGAACTCACCCGTCAATTAAAATTAAATTCATTTAATTAAAATTTAAATCATCAGACTTGAAAAACGATACAGCCGTTCAGTTAAAAAATCGTTACACACCTTTCAGAGGACAATCCAACCACATAACATATTTACATTTTCAACAGAAATCTGACATGTAATTTATAATTGGGAGAATTATATAAAATAAAATAATACAAAACGAAATACATACGGTTCTGTGGCTATATTCCGTTTCCAGGACTTGACGTACGATGATGGAACGAGGTAAAGGCAATTAATAGCAGAATCTTCAAATGATCCAAATCCATTATGAGGAGGCAGCTCTTCTATTGTTTCCTTAAAATTTTTAATTATTTTTGTTTCTCCTTTAGTTATCGGGATTTCCAAAGGGTTTAAATCATCTAAAATTTAAAATTAACAATTGTTAACAGTATTTGAAAACAAAATTAAAATGACATTTTATAACTACAATAAGTACTATGACCCTTTTACGTGAGGATGTGCTGAACTGAGTTGTTAATTAGAGCCATAAGGTTTTCAGCAATATCAACCTTCCATCCTTCTTCTTAAAACTAAATGGTTGAATATCATGAACTTGCGTACTATTTTTGCTCCTTTTAATAGAAAAATAACTCGACCAAATTTAATGCCCTGTTGTTATTTAGAGCCGGTATAAGATTTTCAGTAATATTAAACCGTTATCCGCAAACTTCAGACAAAAAAGTGATTCAAATAAAAATTAATTTTATTTTACTTAATAAAAAATTTCATCATCAGGCTCCATTTTGACTAGGGGTTCATCATACATTTAAAATAACTTTTTGTAAATCATAGTTATATAACATTATATATATATATATATATATATATATATATATATATATATATATATATATATATATATATATATAATAGAATAGAAAATTTAACTTTAATCTGGGACTAAGTCCCCTTAGGATAACAATTAACGAGGACAAATAATAATATGCAAGCACTAAAAGAAATAAAAATAAAATCTCAGGAATACTTGTAGTGTAATGAAAAAAAAAAGAAATATATATATACATACAGATATTTATATATACACAGAGAGATAAAAAGTATAACCTGGATAAATAAAAAATAAAATAACAACATAATAAGATAGTAAAAGTAATAACAGGATGGCATTGATTTAGATGTTAAAATACAAACAGTAGGCTAAATTAATAAACTAACACTATAACATAATATGATAACAGTTATACAAAAAAAAAAAATTCTCAAGCGTCATTATATTTGAAATGGAAAAATAGATAAAAATAAAAATAAAACTAAATAAAAAATATAATACGTACATATAAACATATGTACCCAGAAAGAAAAAAGCAAAACCTGAAGCAATGAGAAAAGCAAATAAATAGTAAAAATAATATCGTCTTATTGGGACGTAAGGAGGTATTTAAAAAATGACAGGGAAGAGACATGACGGATGTTATGTGGCAAGGAATTCCATAGGATATATATATACTTTTTTTTGGCGGTACGTTGCTATTAAAATAAAAACCTCTCTTGCCTACTCCCTTATTTCCGGCAAGCATTCGCCATTTTCTGATATCCATCTTCTTCAGAATATTCTCCTCCTCGCCCGGCCACTTGAGGCGTATTCGTTCTATACCACTTCTTCCAAGTGGTTATTTCTCTTTTGAAATATTATTTTATATTATTTCTCGTTCTATTTGATTTGGTTCAACATAACAAAGGTGATAAAATGTGATTTGGGATATATCTGGCGCAGTTTCTTATCGGAATTCTGCTCTCCCATATTCGTCCATAGCTAACCAAACATCCTGTGGAGAATCTTTCTATCATCTTTCCAATGTCTTAGGTGTCATTCAGGTTTCATAGAAGAAAAATAAATTTTATTCTGGGACATTTAGTCTCCTAAGAATAATATGATGAATAAAAAGATGACAATGGTATGAGATTATAAGAAAATCAAAAAATAATTAGTTAACATACCATAATAATTTGTACATAAATATATATGATCGTGTTCACATATTTGATCTGATTAACAATATTGATAATATATAAGTAACTGTAAGAAAACCGTCAAATGGAGGTGATAGCTCTTATACAAGAAATTTTATTCTTTATACTTTATTTCAATAATTTAATTACTACTTCAGTTGATGTCAAACGATTAACTGAGCTAGTGATTCATTTCCCAATAGTGATTCAATTTGGGTAAAATACTTGGTACTTGGTACTTGGTACTCAGGGTAGCATTTGCCCATCTCTGATTTTCTAAAGTAATATAAAAAAATTATCATCGTAACCAGCACTAATGATTTCTGCCTAGTGATTTATTAGCCCCATAGTGATTTATTCACTAGGCTTCAGCCCGAAAGTCCCCCAGTACTCCGTAGATCCGCCTGTGTCGGAATTTATTCTGAGTTGCGTTTTTTCTTCGAGGACTCAGTTCCAACCTGCAGGGGTATTTATATAAATCTGTCTCAGTTTTTGACGAATTTGTTAAAAGTCAGCATTCGTTGACCGTGGTTATCGACCACATCACTTAATCAAATCATCAAGTTTAGATACTCGTTCGACGCACAATTTCATTGACGTTCTTTAATTTTTTAAAGAATCCGTTTTTCACTTCGATGCACTATTAATAGATGAAAAAAAAAGTCGGATATATCTGGCTTTTCTGGGTGTAAAAAGTTTTCACTTGGTGGCCGATGTTAGCAATTTTGTTTTTTACATGTCTAAACCCATGTACAGGGTGTCAAGGAAGTAGGGAGAAATGTTTAAAGGACTGATAGCAGATACCAAGAGTTACAAAAAAGTTTATATAAACAATGGTTCGATTTTCATCAGTAAAAGTAGAAAATTATGTGTTAAAGTTATGTAGTTTTTTAAGTCAGTTCCATTTTTATTTTAATAGCAAGTGCTAACTTAAAAACTATTTAATTTAAATTAAATTTACTTTAATTTAAATTTACTTTAAATGAAAGTAAAGTTTGCTATTGTTAAAAACATTTAAAGAGGACTTTTAAGCGGCTAAACTCAGCTAAGGAGTGGGGAAGATGGGTAGTAGTGGGGGAACGAGTAGTTGTGGGGGAAACACCTGGTGTGCAAAGGTGCGAAAAATTCCTGGATCCACCACTGCTTAGACCTAATACCGGCATACTCAAATAAATTTGAATCTGGCTAAAAATAAATTTTATTTAGAATAAGATGTATAATTCTTACCTAGTCCGAATTTCTGAGCGTAATATTCTTTCGTGAACTTATCCATATCATAAATTACAAATCGGCGGCCATACGAGCAAATTACAGATCCGATGGTGATATCCCGATCGGTGTAGTATTCTTTCTCCTCAAGCCCAAGTCCTAAAGGGTCAATAACACATCTGCTATTCTCAACTGTTGGTCCTAACACATTTAAGAGTGTAACGTCTTCGTTGTCACCTGGCTGGGAAATACTCATGTGTCCATCCTAAAATCATAAGAAATGTCTTCTTTAAATGATCTATGTTACCTTTATTTCATACTATAATCTATAGCCAGCATCATATGTGACAGTAATCATAATATTTTTAGTCATAGACGCAGACTATAAGGGAGAGGAAGAGAGTGGAGGACAAAAGCCCCAATAAAATTAGAGAAGGAGCGAGAATATCGTTTCGCCCCCCTCAATATTTCGAAGTTCAAAAATAAAATCATAATCAATAACAATTAATCTACATGAATGAATAAAATATATAAACTAAAATTGGTTAAGAAAATTGGAAAATCAACCAAATGGCTAAGCAAAGGCCTAGATGTAGATACGCAAGTATTTTCTCACTATCTTCATGTTATTGAAATTTTAGTTTATATTTAAAGATAATTACATTATGTAGCAACATATCCTAGGATTTTATGATGTATTCATTTGCAGCCTACCATTTTTACGGAGAAGATTATGTCACATTTCATACGGTAAATTTTAAGCATCAGAGAATTGAGAGTTAATCTCACAGTCTCCAAACTTTAAATATAAATAACAATATGTAATATGTTCAATTGCTCTGTTGAACGCAAAAAAAAAAAAAATTAAATTAAAAAAGATAATACTAGTATACAGGGTGTTTCAGGATGAAGTGGCCATACTGAAAATATGAACTATGGACCTCAAAAAAAAAATAAAAAAAAATCCTCTGAAGGTATTTATGCAAACGCTTTGTTTAGGAGATATTCACAGCTAAAGATTTTAGTTGTTATGAATTACGTTATATGAAATAAATAAAACCTATTTATTTGTTCCAGCTAAATATTGTTCAAAGTGATTTCCTTGAGCATTATGACAGGCTCGGCATCTTTTTTCAAAAGCAGCAGTGGCAGAATGGCACTGGATATGTGTTTTAGTATTTTATTTTTTTTTTTTTTTTCCTCCCTACCCTGCCTTTAAGACAATACGGGAGTTTACAGCAGTGACTTGATAAACATTGTATAACAAATCACTGTTGCAAGTTTTTCTTAACTAGCTTAATATAATGACATATTCAATTGGATGAAAGATACCTTAGAAATTTTGGTTCTCTTAATAATGTAGTAAGGTTTTTCACTTTCAGTTACATCTTTAACTTCGATAGTATTATCGTTGAGAAAAAACAAGATTCTTAGCAGGTGTACGTAACCGCCTTCTGTATCTTGATCGTCCCAATAAGCTTTGAATGTTAAAATTCTATTATCCATTTCCATCAATTTTCTAACAGTGTTGTGTTTCAATACTTTTCTCTTCTTTTTCTGTATATCCTAAAAGGGGAAACAAAATATATATATATCAAATAACTGAACATGCATACTACATGAAATATGTAAAATTATGAACTGACCATAATTCTTTTCTCCAAATATGGGTCCTGTGGACTTTTTGATCCTTCCGGGACAGGAATGCCTAAACGATTTAAAAATTTTCTTGTGAAAGCGTCACAGTTAGTGATTTTAAACACTTTTCCGTAAAGTTCTATTTCTCTCCCAATATTTAGGTCTAATATTCCGTAAAAATCAGAATTAGTCTCCATACCAGGAATTTTAATCTTCTGACGTTTCATTATCACTCCTGAAAACAATTATAGTATAAACGCTTCAGAAAATTAGCTTATTTTATTGGTAATTCCAGGGTAGCCCAGAAGAGTGTTTTATGGCGCAAGTTGCGTCATGACAATTTTTGAGGGGGTACAAATTTTGCCGGGTTTTGAAATTTAAGGGGGCACATTTCAACGGGCTTACGAATTTTGGAAATAAAAATTTTCAGAATAAAGGCCAAAGAGAAAACATGGGACAGACCGCAGCAAATGTAATTATGTATGATCTACGATTTTTCTAATTCTACTTTTATCTGTTTTTAAGAAAAGTGATTAGTAAAATATCTTCGGAGGGGAGAGGGTAGGTCCTTGCGCCATTGATCTTGGAGTCACGGGCGGATCTACCGTGGGGGGGGGGGAGGGCTTTCGGGCTGAAGCTCCCCCCAAAATAGTAAAATATAACCATGTTTTATGGAAAAATATATTAAAAAATTATCTCTTAAAGTATTATTGTTCGTGCAATTACATTTAAAAGGACTTAAGGAGTCACTTAAACATCATTTCATATAGATAGTTGGTATCTTTCTTTTTTTCCAAAGTAATTATCGTCATTTTTATGAACAAAGAAGCTTTCGGGCTGAAGCCTTCCCCCCAAAATATTAAATCCTGGATCCGCTAGTGCTTGGAGGAGATGGAGAATTCAACTAAAGAAATTTTAATGTCTGATTTTTATAACAACCAAAGAAAATTAAGACCGACAAAGGGAATTCTCACTTAGTTGGACACCGATTTTAACCAAATTTCTTTTGGTGGTTCTACATCGAAAAATGTTCCAGCGTTCGGTACATTTGACCTTAGAAACGGAGAAAAAAAATGTCCTTAACAATTTTATGTTATTTCTTTTTGTCTTAGCTTTACCTGGATTTCTAGGTTATTATATACCTGGTGTTTTTTTTTTGTTTTGTTTTTTGCATGTACAATAAGAAAACAATTATGCCAATAGCATTTAATGAGCCATAATGTATCATAAATTATAAAAAAAAAAAAAGACGCTTAGGATTTGAAGGATTTATCCTTTTTTTTTCTCCAAATATTTTCAAACGTCGTGGGCTACGCAATCTGCCCACCGTAGTTTCGGCCTTCAAACTCAACGCTCGATCATAATTCTCTTAGTAGGTAAGTCGTCAGACATTTAGGTTATATGTCCAGCCCATCTCAGTCTTCCAAGCTTGATGACAAAAGAGAAAGCCGGTTCTTAACATAGATCATATAGCTTATGACTGTTTCTCCTCCATTCATTCATTATTCTTATATGCACCGCCGTAAATTCGCCGTGACACTTTCGATTCAAATGTGAGGAGTTGGTCTTCAGCCCTGTTTGTAGTCTATGTCTCAGAGCAATAATATAGTACGGGACGAATGAGAGTTCTATATATGATAAGTTTTGTTCTCCTGCTTATCAAGTAGTTGGAGAGATGCTCCAGTAGTCCAAAATCGCACTGATTTACAGCAAATATTCTTCTCCTAATCTCCACTGCAGTATCGTAGTTGAAGGTAGACAAATTCGGTGCCCTGCTCAAACCTTTAAGACCCAAAAGAGACATTTTTTTATTATATATATATTTTATGATTAGTGGTACCTTGAGGCAATCCGCTATTAATCACAGGTTTCTCTACAACTTGCATTGTCCCATCTTCTAAGAAATATAATATTCTACAGTTGCGGACCATATAGTTGCAATACATCCCACTCTCTATCATAGACTCTAGGTAATAAGCCTCAAAACACAAGATCTAGAAAAAAAATGTATATGTAATTTAATTTAATACCATTTATAGTTTTTAATAAGCATAAGAAAATAGTTTACCTGTTTATCGTAAACCAGCCAACTAGGAACATCAAGCACTTCGCCTTTGGCATACACGGATGGCATCTCATCAATTTTAATGTAAGAGAGCGGAACACCTCCGATTCCAGGAACCAGTTTTTCAGCCAAATATGGTATTTCATTGTCCAATCTTGTGAAATGTTGTGACTTATGAAATTTCGTTTGCCCCACCTGCAATATTTAAAGGTACATACATTTTTACCAAACACAATCTATTTATATTTACAGAAGCCTATCAGAAATTCGGTAGCCAATAGCGAGTTGCCCGGCAACCAGATAACCGAAGTTATGAGATTAAAAAAGTACAAGTTCGCCCCCCGGTGAGGGAGGAGATTTTAAATTCCCCGCCCTCACCCTCCGGTCCGGGAAAATCCTGTATAGCCTATAAGGCGAGGTAGGGAAAAACAAAAAAATCACTGGTGTTATATTGACATCCCGAAAACCATTCCAATTCCTTTTATTTTAGTAGAGGAAGTAGGGTCATCAGTTCTACGTCTGGTTAGTCACAAGTTGCTTCCAGTAGGCTGCCAGGCTTCACACCCTCGGGTGGGAGGAATCTCGAGCAGCATGGCTTTCTCCTGTGGATGGTCACTTATCACGCACGACGTTTTTTACTTTGATTACCTATAGCCCGGTCAAATTCCACCTTTTGGACAGGGTAGCCGAACGGGCTAACGCGATTGCACGGCACCCCCGTTGCTCTGCAACCTGGATAAGAAATAGTCACGAGTTCGCATCCCGGTGCTAGAGTCTTTTAAATTCCCGCCCATTCACACTTAAAGGGAGGACCCAAAGAAAAAAAAGTCAAATTAGACATGTCTTGCAAAAGGCCAGAGATATAAATTTCTTCTCTAAATAGTTAGGTTTGCAATGAATATACAAAATCTTTCGCTTTTGAATGACTTCATGGGTTCGTTGCAGTGCTCCAAAAATCTTTGAAATTTTCAATTTTTTTTGTCTTATTCTAAATATCGTTTTTTAAAAGCGAGATAGATAAAAAAAAATATTATATTTAATCTTTAAGCCAACGTTTTTTTTCTAAACCCAACAGTTAGCGAACTATAGAGCTTTCGAAATAGGTAAATTTTAAAAATTCGCAAAAAAACATGCATATTTTTTGTTTTAACTAATTATCTGTTTTATTTGTGACATAGCTCAAATTTTTAAATTAAATACTAAAGCAATTTACTTCACCTTTTATAGGAAATATATTTTTTCTAAACTTAACTTAAATACAAATTGCTAAAAAGAAATTTATAATTTGAAAAAACAAACTTATAATTTTATTGTTTTTCACATATTTTAATGAAATTGGTCATCAAAATTAGTTTTTCTTGTAACTTTTAAATTAGTTTTATTTTAACACATTTTTTAAAAATAATATTATATAAGCTTTTGTTGTTTCATCACAAAACTGATTTCTTCACTACAGTACTAGGTTTTGAATGGAGGAATTCTGTAATCCCAATTTAAACCCCATCAAGAGAATTTGGAGGTTTCTTGGAAGATAATCACCCATTGACTGGAATGGTAGACGGAAGGTGTTTTGTGAAAATATTTGGTATGTGTTTTGAAAAAGTATGTAAGAAGAAACAATCCAATTCTGTTCTTAATTTTTTCAAAGTACAGAATTTTAAAAAATTCAAAATAACTTCTATTTTGTCTATTTAAAATAATTAACCATTCTATATTATAACTAGTAATAAAAAATAGATCAATAAAAAGTTCATAGATGAACTATGAACGAATTTGATAACCAACTAAAGCGGAAATAAGTCTTAGAGAGAAAGTGATGCATCAGGAAAAGGCGAGGGCACCCGATTTTTTTCTGATCCTCCTACATTTGAACTACTCCCATCTGCACACAGCTTCTATATTGTTATTTGTTGTTAGTTTAACTGTTCGCATACTCATAATTTTTAAAATTAAATTATTTCGAACACTCTGAATGCTGAATATTTACTAATATATATATATATATCTACTTGTACTAACAAGTTTTTGGTGGTTGATGTTTTGGATAAAGCTCGGAATTTTTACATTTCATTAATTTAAACATTTTTTTTATTTGTCTTGTGACAAGCAATTTTTTACTTTTTAATATTTCCTTTAATACTCTGAACCTGGTAATTAACTTTTTTAAATGAATATGTTATATTGTCTATGTTTTACTCTCACTCTCCTACATATGAAAATACCTATTTCTGCTCAAAGTAGGGTGGTAAGAGTAAGTTGTGTGATGCTGTACTAGATTTTTTTTTTCATCTGACAAGGATGCCACAAAGATTTTTTGTTGCAACATAAAAGTTTGAGAACCACTGCTCTTCAATTTCCTCCACCTTCTAAGAAAAACTTTAATTTGAACAGACAGCATTTTATGAACTATTAGCAATTCTAATTATAGAAAAGGTGGCTAATTGTCAATGACAGTTGTTATAAATAAATCAGTTTAAAAATAAAGTTAAACAGTTAGTTATCCTCATATTGCACTAAAATAAAAAATTACACATAGGTCGTCTATGCTTGCTTATATAGTATTTTTTGTTTTAAATGTAATAATCAAATTTAATTTATGAACTTTTTTATAACATAAAAAAACAAGTAATTATCAGATAAGAAAATAACTTACTGTAATTAGCATAAATCTGAATTTAAAGGGGAATATTTACTACATAGTAAATAAAACTGCATAAAATTTGAAAAGGAAGCAACTTTCACTATATTATTATTAATTGTAAAGATTAATACAATTACAGATACTAAATAACAATAGATAATGAAGTAATGTACATAGAAGAATCGTAATGAAATTTGGTCTTATCACCATGTATGACAATAATCAAAGGTTACACAATATTTACAAATCCAACATCAATATTGTACAATAAAAAAAATCAAGAGAGCAAGAGTACAAAAGAACTTACATTGTAATTGAAAGAATAACCTGGTAAAAGTGGAAGTTCAGTACTTCTAATCATTTCTCTTTGATATAATCAATAATAATAATTATTATTACTATGAAGAAATTACTATATTCTTCTCAAAAAAACTAAGCTACACACCAGTAACAAACATTTTATTGATTAACAAAATTACATCATGTATTAGATGTTGCTATGGATACATCTATTTCAAGGCATGTTTTTATTTTAAAATATTACAATTAAGATTTGATTGAATATTGGTTTAATTAAAATAAATAATTCATATAAAAATTAAAATAATAACCTTCCTGTAATCTAAATCATATTAAATTGTAGACACTTCAGAGTGAAGTATGGAAGATAAAATTTAAAAATCGGATTAATAATAAGTACAGATTTTAACATTTCAAGGTAAAACAGTTGAAAACTATTATAAAACATAAGTTATAGATGGGAATATTGTATCACATCCCATCTAAATGATAATCACAAGACTTATTCAGAAGTTCAATTAATTTACAAATTTCTTATCACAATGAACAGATTTTGATACTAAGTTGTAACAACTTTAACAGTTTTTTTTTTTTTTTAAATCAATATTGATTATTAGGATACCTAATCAATATATTGTCCAATATATAACCGTGATCTCAGATCACATATGAGATGAAACAATTTTGATTCAATTTCATTTGAATATTTTAAAAAATAAATTAAAGCAATTAATAAATTTACTTCACCAGTAATAGATATAATTTACACAGTAAACAAATACAATATTCTATTTTAAAGTGGATCCAAACACAAATCCTGAAACAAAAAAAAATATATATATATTGGTAAAAAAATAAACATAATTAAAAAAATAATACAATTTATTACTGGAATTTACAGAAGTTTCAGTTATAATTAAAAAATACTCACTAATTTGAACGACTCAACCACAAAACAGTTTTGAAGAAAAAATATGCTAAACCAACAGCAAACACAACTTTGTCTCTAGTTTGACGCTGCATATTTTCTAATTCTATAGACATGATCCTTCGGTTCAATTTTGCCAACTGTCTACGTAAATGAACAACTTCTTCATTTAAAGACATTCCCTCAGCTGCAGCGATGCTTTCACTAGATTAAAAAATATAAATAGTTATATCTAAAAAACATAAATAGTACATTATTTCTAAAAACATAATCTTAATCGATTCTGATCAACTACTAATATGCTCCAGCCCCACATCAGATAGCAATTCTTCTCCCTGATGCATTTGACAAATAACCAACATCAGCAAACATGTTTATTCATTGTAAACATATGTACACTATAGACATAATAAGCTTCATACTTTGCCATGACTGTTAGAGTAAGAATTTACTGCTTATGTGATCAACTTGTTCCACAGTAAAATAACCCTCCATTTTAATAGTTAAACAATAAATCACAGCTGTCCCTGAACTTACAGTGATCCATTATGGTACTTTCTCAAGTTCTATTTGCATGGTGCAGAAGCAGAAGGTATGGCTGTTCAAGTGTGTTGAGTTGCCAAACAAGACAGTATATTCATCAATCAATAGATAATATTATAGAATAGAAAAGAGAGAGTTAGGTCGAATCATCGGAATATACATATCAGATATGCCAAGAAAGCTTATAAAATTAAATAAGCGAAGGCCAGATCAATTATGTGATAATAGAGAATTCCTAATGAGTCTAAAATAATTGTTTCTGCCATGCTCTGCATCTGCTCCCTTCCAACACCGAGCCTCTGCAAGAAATTACTTGTAGTAAGAGGAATTCTTCCCCTACTTCCGAACCGTAGCTCTTTAACTGGGAATTCTCTCTCGCCGAATTCATCACTATACTTTTCCTTCAGATAAGGTATGCATTTCGTATAAATATATCAACTATAAGCCATATCTGAATAGAATTTTATTTATTAATAATATCAAAAAGTTTTGTTCTATATTATTTAAGTACCCAAGATATCAAAGAGCTCATTATTTTCTAAACACATTTTCAATCAATGTTTAGTTCATCGAAGAAGACTAGACTATCATATATAACTATATTTTTCATTTTTATAACCTAAGCATACGATGAGTATTCCATTGCAATCATAACCCCTAAAAGGCTTTAGACAAAAATTATTAAGAATTAGTATTCATATTAAAAACAGTACATTTTAGCATTTTTAAATGAATTTTCCTGTGGGCCTACACCTTGGTCTTGATGACTGCATTTAAATATTTAAAACATAATTTTTCCATCTGAGATTTGAAAGTTACTTTTAAAAAAGGATTCATTAAATTTGTAGAAGGAATTTAAGGATCGAAATAGGAATTCGCCACTTCTTTAGGAAATTCCTTTTCAATTGATACCTTATTTATCAGACACTATCACTAAGAGCTGAAAAAAAAGCTGGAGATAGATAGATATAAAATAAACTTTATTCTGGGACAAGGTCCCTTGAGAATAACAATTATGAACAAAAACCATATCTGGCCAAAAACTACATTAATAAAAATTAAACAATATATATAACATCTTCAGTGGCAAAATATAAACAACAAAAAATAAAGCAAAGGTCAGAAAAAATAACAAACAGAACATTATAAACATGAGTTGATTCTTAAAACTAAAACAACCATTCACATCAATCGAAATTTATAGAATTTATTTCATGAATTTACATTTGTAGAGCGTCATTTTATAGGCATACAAAGGAATTGGTAAAGAAGGTATTTGAATGAGGACGAGGAAGAGGCATGGTGGATTTCAGATGGCAAGGAATTCTAGAAGGCAGTGGATCAGGCAATAAAGGAATATACAAATGTTTTAGTTCTATGATAAGGGATATAAAAGTTGGAAACATGGGATCTTTTATTCTGGAAGAGAACTACGGGTTTGAACTGCAGGTGACTATAAATATAGGAAGGGTGCCGGGGAGTTGGTGGTACCGCCTCGAAGTACCAAAGACAAACCTTACGATATTTTCTTTCCTGTTGGCATTACAGATCATGTAGATCTTTTGCCACCTTAACAAGCCTACTCCATCTATGCCTGTCATATAAAACCTTAGGATATATATTGTTTTAATTTAAACAAGTTAAACTTAATAGACAGATTGAAAATAAAACCAAGCAAACATACTCACTTCAGATTGACACTGGCAGTACTCAAATCTAGTCTGCGGTCACCATCCGAATGAGGTTTTCGATGGTTTATTTCAACATATGCTGGTGGAGGCTGATATGCATCTTCCGGATAATACACTGAATCAATGGTTATCACTCTTGGAGGTGTCTAAAAAAAAATGAATACATATGATTTATATTTTATGGTAATTTATGATTTAAATAATTTTTAAAAAATCAAAAAAAATAAATAGTCCATAATAATAAAAAAACAATGTTTATTCATAAAGATATTCACAGCTAACACCTGTGCACAGCACCGCTGCTGTCCGGCAACCTGATATATGAGATAATTTTTTTAAAAATAATTACGAGTTCGCCTCCTGGTGCAGAGGAGATCTTTTATTTAACAATTCCCCGCCCTTACTCCCTAACAAGGAAAGGACAAAAAAAAAGTTTGATGAAATTTTTGTTCATACATGATGTAACGCCATAAAAAATTGTATGCATTCAGTAAGTGATTGATTTCAATCATACTAATGGATAGGCTGTAATAATAAATGGTTTTTAGGATGAATATGCATTAAAATAATATAACCTATAATATTTTGGCATTATCGTTTTTGTAGCCTAACCACCCCTAACCAATTCTTGATAAATGAAAAGCATCTCTCTGACCATGACCATCTACAATCTACGTTAAAGTGAACATTGATAAAAATTCACCTAGAAGAATTGAAGAAGTCGTTCAAGTTGAGAAAAAATAGTGAAAGTTTATTTTATTTAAAAAATAGAAGTGACTTTTTTTCTCTATTGTTATAAAAAGGTAAATGGATATCTAATGTGTACTTATTCACAATTTTTAAGTTAATGAACGAATGCTATTAAATTTCACTTAAGGAAATCTAGTCCCCTTAGAATAATATAAATATAGAATAGCAGAAAAAAATTTCTGGCATACGATAATTAACAAATGATTAAATTTTAAAAATATGAAATATGTATATATAAAGTCATCCATAAGTAAATAAATTAAAGCATTGAATAGAAGTAGTTTATCCATGAATTATTTAAATATAACATTTTATGATCTAAATTACATTTCCATTTCTAATTGATTATTGATAATTAGTTATTATTTGCCAAATGTTAAAATCAGACATTTCAAAATAACTACAAAGGAAGAATCATGACTTTAAATATATAACACCTTAGTGACCGCTCATACATGTGTGTGAAAATAATTAAAATGCTACTGCTATGCGTTATTGATAAATATTTTAAAAATTAATTCTTCAAAAATACTGTCAGCTCCTGGCAGCATTTGACTGTGCAGACATGTGGCCATTTGAGTGCTAATGTATTTACAAATTTCTATATATACACTGATATAAACTTTAACTATACATGAAAATATTAAATAGTGGGCAAGTGACTCAAAATGATTATAAAATTAGAAATAAAAATAAGTAAACATTTTATTAGTGAAGATGGAAAAAAATACAAAATAGCATGAACAATATTTATAATGAACTTAAAATCTTCTTTGGATAAATTTATGCTAAAAATGGGGGTCTGTACCTAAACATTCTTGTTAATCATAATTTACTTTTTGTTTTTCACTATGGCCTAATTATTTTTGTAAAGTTAGAAATTCTATTAGAGGATTTAAGGGTAAGTAAACAGAAACCCCAAAAAATCAATATAGCACGTTATTGCAATGTCTAGTTAAGACAGAATAGTTAACCTCTGAGGCATGAAATCTTGTTTCAATAAGAAACTAATGTATGTATTAATCTAAAAGTATATTAACATCAAAAATACAATTTTTTTTTATTAAATATTTAAATTGAACTTATCAACTACTACCTGCCTAGTTTATTGCAGAAATAGATCTACACGAATTAATTGGGTACAACAACATAAGTGAAGAGTCTACACATCAGTTCTTAGTAATACTTTTTCTTGGCCAACTGTTATGCAAGGAAATGATTTGACCGATATTATGCTCGAACGACAGATTTTTCCTCTTAATCAATTATTTAATTATGAATATTCACATTACAGAGGCTGGGTGTGCCCCTGGAGGACTTCAGACACTAGGACTGATCCACAGCTAGACTCAAACTGGGCCCAGGAGAAGAGATGGTGTTTACCAATTTGGGTAATAGAGCTTCCGGACTAATTCCCAACTTTTTCTAGAATTTCCGAATTTTTTATAAATTTTTAGAAAATTGACGACTAGCAACATTTTCACATACATGCAATAATAAACTAAAAAAAAAATATATAAGACTGCAGATAATTACATAATGGCTTATTTTCAAATATAAATTTTTTTTTTATTAACTTTTAATTTTTTTCCTTTTAAAAAAAATATTGTCTTAATTTTAAATAACTTTTTTTTAAGGCTTGGTATGATTAAAAAAACATATTTTCCTTAATCTTCACAAATTCATCACAAGAGATGGATGGGAATGTGAACTTATCAGCAATCATTTAAAAAAAAAAAAAAAAAAAAAAACAGCAGGTGGTATTACCAAGTTCCAAAGATCAACCTATCATCTTGTTGCCAAATCTAAAAAAAAAATCCAGTAGTCTCGAAAAAACAAATGTGGGCTTTGACAAATAATGCCTCTAATAGGCCCCCGTTTTGGAAAGAAATATCTTAAGTGGCAATGCTAAGTTCTGAGCATCTTCTTGGGGTAATCTATGATTTAGATACCACATCTAAAAAAAAACAAAAAAAAAAAAAAAACAGTAGTCCCAGAGGAGAAAAATCACAGCATCATTTTTTATTTTACTCTAATTTTGAGAGAGGAAGTGGGATAAATTTTTTTTCATGGTTGATGATAAAAGTTCTTTATTAAAAACATAAAACTGTAATCAATCCATCAGTAATAAAAGAAAATAATGCATAAAACCTTAACATGCAAGGCTTTATAAAATTTACAGTCAATTCCCAACTTTTCATATTCAAAATTCCTAAATGGTACATACCATGGAATAGAAGTAAATTGATAAAAATTTCTAATTTATGTTCTGTGTGATAAAGATATTTTTAAAAAGTCTTTGAGGGCCTGTTGTTAATGAGACAAAAATGGTTTGTTTGATCTGAAGGTCTCACCAACTGAATATAAATATATTTTATAATTGTAAATGTCTACCTTTGAAGCTAAATTTTAATTGAAAAACTTTTTGAACAAGAATGCTAAGCAAGCAATAAAATCAGTTAAATCCATAAAATATGATTAACCACAAGCGATATTGGAAAAAGTTGTCATATTCAATTCCACTGAATGGAAATCAATTAAATTATTGTCATTATGACATATTGCTATCAGAAGAACTACAGATAAAAATCTGTAAAATTAGAAACTACCTTTATTTGCTGAAAGAGCTATAATATTACTCCTTATTTGAAGTCCAATCATAGAATGAAAATTTGAAGACAACACTGGCTTCAGAAACTCTGAAAATGCAAATTGGTAGATTTGTAGAAGCAATAAAAAAATAAAAATAAAAATTTGGCAAATTTAAAATAACTTATTTGATTTTTTCTCCCAAAATTGTTGTAAGTATTCAAAATTCATCAAAGGTATATTGAAGCAGTTACTAACTTATTAATTAAGATTTTACTCATAAAAAATAAAATTTCCATAAGAAAAAAAAACCCAACTTATTCAAAGCAAAATTTCGTCTAACCAGCTTGAAGCATCAGTTGAGAAATGAATTTCTTAACAATAGAACATTATTGTAAAAGTTAAGCCACAGTGTTTTTATCAAACAATCTTATTTTTGAATTACAAAAATAAAAATATATCATTAATTAAATGGTAATAGTTATTTACAATTAATTTTGATGTGATAATTGGTTTTAAAGACATTTAATAGTTATTAAGGAACTTTTTCGACTTCCTCTCATCAAAGAATCCCTAATTTAATTTATCAATAGAAGTTAATAAATTTTACTAAATATCATGTGTGATAAAAAGGACTAAATCATTTTGATAATATTTTAATTAAATTGAATGTTTACTTTTAATTGTAAATCAATTCTGGAACACAATACTATCTTTACTATTATGGCAATAGCTCTTGGTATATTTGTAAAAATGTCTTCTATAAATACTGTATGAATAGAAATGTTTCATTTAAGTAAAATATCACTAAAATTTATACATCAAAACTAATATATTTGTAAATAATTTTGTAACCTAATTAAATTTTAGTCATTTCCAGTCAATATTGGAACACTTATAATATAAGAAAAACATTATGTACATTCATACTGTTACTTAGATTAATTATAAGGAAGCGTTAAAAGTGGTGAAAAAGAAAATTTCATTCTCCTTGAATTTATTTTTTAAGAAGATCAAGAAATCAGTTCCCTAAGTATACTTTCCAATAGTCCGCTACTTTTAGTATTTAATGCAGTGTGATTGATGTCATCTTGACACATCCGCCTAGATATGTTAACCATGAAGTAATATCCAATAAAAATTGTTTGAAAAAAAGTAATCAAGAATGATATAGTTTTCAACAATATAAGCAAAAAAGAAAAGTTTTTTAAGTCAAGAAATCTACTAGACTTATTCACTCTTTAATTACTTGATGTACATCATTTAGATGGAAAATGATATTTCCAAATTTCTTAATATGGAGCTTTTTTATTATTTAAAATCTCTGCTACTACTCATTAAGTTTATAAATATGCGACAGCAATATCCAACAAGTTGAATTAATAGGCCAACATTAAATTATTTAATTTGCTGAGATGTATTTATTATTTAAATTAAAATAAAACTAAAAGTTGTATTGCAAATTTCTATTTCATATAAAAGATAAAACAAAAAATAAAATAAAATAAAGTAGCCCATCATTGCCCACTTAAAAATACAGACACACATATAATATATATATATACACACACACATCGATTATCAATATTAATAATAGTAAAGTTACCTGGACTCGAATTATACCCGGATCCGGTGGCATAATGGAGTTATCAAGTGCCATTTCTCTTGGAATCGTTCTAGTTCCAAAATGTTCGTCATGACCTAAACAAGAATCACTTACTTAAAAAATAAGAAATAGATGCAATTTTGCTGGTTGATATTAATCTTTAAATAATAAAATAAAGTCTACCTTACCAATATAAAATATATTATCATCCAATGGCTCATCTTAGCAACACAACAAGAAATGTTTTTAATTATCATTCTGTTGTCAATACTTAAATAACTACAAAAATATATAACTTATAATATAATTTAATTAATAAAAAATAGTCACCAGCAACAACAATTTTTTCTGGCACATGCATTTCAAGTTTCTCAGCAGGCATCCAAGCATTGAAATCATTTTTATTTACATTCGGCATGTCACAAACTCCATCAACATTAATGCGCTTAGGTACCCTCATTTTCTGGCTTATTTCAGCTGTGAAATTAGGATCATAAAAATGATCTGTTTCACCAGAAAAATGAGTGGGAGTGCTGGATTTAGACATCCTAAGGTATTGCTAGAATAAAAAACATTGTATCAAAGTATAGTAGTAGAAAAGTATAGATCATCATTTGATAAATATGATAAAAGTTTAGATGACCAGAAATTAAGTATTGATTCCAATGAATGAATAATTAAAAATAATAAATATGTTGTTAGAGAAAAAGGACTAAATGTCATTCAATGTATTGTATCAGTTAGGTCATTTGCATACCTAATCTGGTTATCAAAGGAAAAATATTTAAAATCTGGTGAAGGATTGTATCTTCTGATGTCAATATACCATTTTATTATAATTTATGTCAGTTTCTTTGCTATAAATGTTAGACGTAGTTTGCAACCACTCCTACCAAAAATGAATGTCAGTGTAAGGATTTAAATAATTTTTCACTACTCAAAAAAAAAAGGTGATTAAATTTCTTCAAGAAAACACAATATATTTCACTACATAAGGAGTACAAGAGTCCATTCATTCATTTTCTTTTTTAAATGTGTACTATAATAGTAAGCATAATCAAAGATCATAGTTTATTCTTCATTTTGACCGTTAGTTCAGAACTATTTTTTAATTTCAAATGGTCGTAAATATTAAAATAACTATTATTTGACAAAAACAATAATCTCTTACAAAATACTAAACTAATAATTAAAAGCTTATTTTTGAAAAGACTGAATCTACAACAAAGTCATTAGAAAATTACAAACCAAAAAATTTCGAAAACATCAGCTACGAACCTAGAAAACTGTTTAGTGCACTTATCAAAACAGCAGGTCTTGCTAATCAGCTGTGTACCACCTTTTCGTTCCGACAATAAATTTTATCAAAAACGTTCTTTAAAAATTCTAACCAACTTTTTTACGTTTAAAAATTAACTTGTTTATTTTTACTTACTTATGGTGAAATTCAAAATCGTCGTATATTCACATATAATATGACATGGTGGTCTTTGGTATAGGCGGGACGGGAGTTAACGATGGGGGTGCGATGAATGTTTTGTATTGATGATCTCAAGTCCGTAGTCCTGTCAAAAATTTGAATTCAAACTGGTTTTTTATGTTATTATTTGGAATGAGTTAGTTTTTAGCATTTATAATGTTTAATAACGATGAAAGAACGATACCTTCTTATTACCCAACTTTAAAAGAGTTATGTTATCACATTTGCTCTTCCCTAAGGGAAGGTTTGTATTTTTAGCTTGTTTTGGGTTGGAAGATTGTGTGTATTTATCTAATCATTGTGTGTTTACATTTTTGTAGAGGAAATAAAGGATATTGTAAAAAGTGCAGTTAGAGAAATTGGTGAAAGTAAATTAAACTCTTCTATTGATTCTATTGAAGATACTGATGAATTTACATTAGCCCAAAATATTGAAAAACAATTAGTGTCTTTGGGCAAACAAAAAGATATAGCAAAGTTTCGCCATCTGCATAAAAAACTATGCCATAGTAATGTAATTATACTTTTTTTTATTAGTTGAGAAAGTTATAAGTTATTTTATTCATTTTTTTATGAATGACAAGTCATTTACTTAATGGAATATGGATTTGAATGACAACCTATTTTTCACTGTGTGAATAAACTCTTCATTTGTATTTCACTCCTTAAGATGATTGTAGGATATTTAAATGTTTACCACTTTTTGGAATTTTGAATTTGATTTAATTGGTAAGATAAACCAGCTAAGTTTTCTAAATAAATTGCTTTTGTCACCTAATTTTTTAGTATTTAGATGTACTGTTTATCTGATAACAATTCATTTCCTGAAAAATGACATTACTACAAAGTATTTTAACTTGATTTATTTTTAATAGTTATGCAGAAACATCATTTATTTTATGTTCTAGTATCATTCTTTATTGACCAACCGTGAAGGGGTGCTTTCGTTTTTTCTGAATGTTAGTGAAAAAAAGCATGTTAAGAGAGATAAAATACCTGTCTTCCAAAAAAGAAGTTACATCTCTTCAAGTAATAAGTATTATTCAACATCATCCGCATTAAAGGTATACAATTTATATATGTTGTGGTAATGAAGATCAATTAAAGATAAAACTTAAGAGTAAAATAATATTTCTTGTCCGCTATGAGAGACAAATTATCTTCACCTGTTGTCCTACCAAATTATTATCGTTATGCTGCCCTTTGCTGTTAGAGATAGTTTTATTGAATCTTTTATCATGCATCATTATTATGCTATCACTTGCTGTATTTGAGGGTAATAGATACTGTAATGTGCAGTCAGGAGGAATATGGGCTTGAGATTCTGATCCACCCTAGCATTCCAGATCTATATGTCTCTTGTAATATTAACAATGGTAAAATGGTCAGATTCAGATCTTTAAAAAATTACTATTTCACAAGAAGTTATACGATCGTTGTGCTATTGTGGCCATCGATTATGTCGGAGCAATTGTGGATCCATGAATGTTCTCACTTGTGAAACAGTTGAATTCATACACCAAAGCTGTGTATATAAATACTGATCAAGCTAATTTATTCATTTCATATGTATATATATATATATATATATATATATATATATATATATATATATATATATATATATATATATATATATATATACACAAATATACACACATATTCTACATTTTTATATATATGAAAAAATGTATATTTTAGTTTTTTCTAACGTTTAGTATTTTGCCATAAAATGGCATCCAAAATTTCCTAACTGGATAATTGACATTCATGAACCAAAACAATATTATTGCATGATTTGTATCACAAATTCAATTAAAAATAGTTTCCAAGGGATCAGAGCACTCTTGCAACTACTTTCAGCTGCAATATTGAATATTCGGATATTTTGCCAATAAATAAAGAATTTTTAGTGTACATATTCAGACTTTTTAAATCATTCGTTGTTTATAAGTGCAAAGTATAAATAAAATGCATTTGTTTAATACAATTCCCTTTTCAATTGAACTAATAACAATAAAAGTTGTTTAAGTTACTTTTTCTAGATAAAATTATTTCTTACTTCCAGGGAGGGCACGTGCCTCTGTTGTTTTGTGTAGTAGTGACACTTTTGTAGTTGTAATTGACGTTTTACTAGATATTATTTTCCTTCATTCAATTAAGAGGAGTTTTAGATTCATCGAATGTGTGTATCACCCTTTGTCAACTGTCAGTTTATTTATTTTTTTTTATGAACTTACTATGTATCTGGTATTGGTCTCAAGCCTTTTCTCTCTCTGTATCTAATAAAGTATAGTGGTAATTTCATGAATCACATCATAGAAAAATTTTATAATTTGAAATAATTAATATGTAATTAATTAATGTATGAGAATTATATTAAAGGTGAAAATTTTAATTAAAAGAAATTATTTAGATGTATCAGAAGTTTGGTTTAAAATAGTCTATCGAGTGTCAACTATGCTATTCAGGAATCATGATAAATATATCATAATTTATCAACTATAGATTTTTATGTTTTGTATTTGCTGTATATAAATCATTTTTATTTTTTCTAGGGTGGTGGAGACACACTATCAGACAGTTCTATATTATCAACCAATGGAGATAATTCTGGACAGAATTCATTTTTATCACGCCCTACAACATTGTCAAACAATGTTTTTATTAGAAGAGGTAATTTTAATCTTATTTTTATCTCAAATCGATTAAGTATAATTTATTTTAAAAAATAATTTTCATTAAATTAATTAATTTAATTTTAAAATTACTAAAACTTTCAATTTCATTAATCTTGTTATTAATGATTTTCATTGTTATAAATGATTCTTAATAGTTATTAAAAAAATTATTGATTATTTAAGGAATTTCAGATGCAGGAATCTCAAAAAGCCCTTCGAGACCGATATTGGTTCAGAATCACAATAGGACAAGTTCGTTTATTTCAAGAAGTGCCAGTGATACATTTGTGACCTCGCCACAGTATTCTAAATGTAATTTAGTTTTTATTACAGTTTTTATGATATTTTTTTCATTTTATTTTATTTTTTCCTAATTTTTTTCTTTCTGTAGATAAAAAAAATGAAGTTTCAAGCAGTGCTGTGATTAAGGAACTACTGTTTTGTTTTCAAGGAATAGAAGGTGCTCTATTGAAATTAGATCATAATCTTGGTTTTAACATTGACCCTCAGGTTTGAAGCATTCATAATATATTATATAATACTTTTTATACCATTAATTTTGAAAAAGCAAATGAAAACAATTTAATTCAATAGTATATTAAGTTGTTACCTAGTGCATTAAATAAAATATCTAATGATTACAAATATTTGAGTTTTGATATTTGGTTATATCAGTTCTGACATTGCCTTTCTCAGTTTTAATGAAAGTGAGTTATGTAGCTCATTGGATTTGTTTCTATGGCCAATCAAATAACAACCATGCATATGTAAAAATATATGTTTTCAAGGCTTTTTGTGTTATAAGTATGCTATATTTTTCACTTCTTAAACTATTTCATTGCTTAATTTCTTATGTCATTTTTAATACTTTAGATCTGTAATAATCTTGAAACTGTGTTCTTATTTAAAAACAGTAAATGATTATTTAATTTTTTTATTAATTTGAATTTTTTTTTTTTAAATTTTCCATACAATGTTAGGTTTATGGATGTGCTGTACCTTCAGCAGGTGTTTGTATTATTTGATGTTGATCTAAGATATGATTTCTAATGATTAAATTAATTAGTATAAACACATATACAGGATGTTTTGTAATTGCATGGCACTATTTTAGGTATGTGTTCACTAACACGAAATAAACAAAAAAGTTCATATTAACATATATCTCAAACTCATTTATTAAACAGATATCAAAGGTTAAAGATTTATTATTTATTTATTATATTAAGACTGACTATACAAAATAACGTGTTTAATATCAAATAACAGGTTTTAATCACCTGATAAACAAATGAACGATAAGCAATGAAAGTAGTTGCTCGTCTGTTTGTTTAGTTTTGTGTTTTAGTGTGAGTAAATACTGTAACACAGTTCAATTTATGATTATCATGGGAGATACCATAAATTTACTCACTTTTGCAGAACAAACAGACATGCTTTTAACTTATGGCGAGGTACCTAGAAACAGTGCTGCTGCTGTCCGAAGATATGAAAAATTTCCTAATCGAAGAATACCAAATTGTAAAACTTTTGAGGCCATTGAAAGATGCCTAAGGGGTAATGGCACGCTTATATGAGTAAATGCCGGTCGACAAAGATTTTGACAAACTGCAAGAGTTGGAGAAGAAATACTCGATGCTGTTCAGTTATCTCCTAGTACTACTACTACTATCAGAAGATTTTCACGTCGTTTCGATGTTTCCTCTTCCAGCGTATGGCGAACGTTATGCGAACAACAATTGTATTCATTTCATGTATCGAGTAGGCAAGATTTTTTACCATAAGATTATAACATGCTCAGAAATTTCTCCCAGTGGTTAATTCTAGAATGCACGCGAGATCCTAACTTCCTGAACTGCATTTTTCTTCTTTATAAGAAACAGGATCCTTAATTTTCGAAATATCCTTGCTTGGGCTGAAGAAAACCCTCATACGACTGCTGTTGGATATTAGCAGTATAACTTTTTTTTAAATGTCTGGTGTTATCTTCTAAGCAACAACATTATCAGCCCCTTCTTTTTACCACCTAGGCTGTCAGGTATATCTTACTTGCATTTTTTCCAAAATATTCTTCATGAAATCCTAGAAGATGTTTCGCTAGGCATTAGGCAAAGGCTGTGGTTTATGCATTACGGTGCTCCAGCTCACTTTTCCAATAGTGTCACTGATGTATAAATGCAACTTATGGAGACCGATGGCTTGGTCGAAACGGACTTGTTAAATAACCACCACAATCTCAAGATTTAATACCATTAGATTATTTTGTGTGGGGCTGGAGGCAGTCTATGGTTTATTCTGCAGTTAGCACGCAAGGAGAGCTAAGAAATCAAATTGTGGAAGCCGCAGTAACTATCAAGCACCATCCTGATGCTATACGAAGAGCCAGAGAAGCATGGATTGGTTGTGCTAAATGTTGCATTTAATAAAACGGAGGCCCCTTTGAACAGTTACTTTAAATGTTGTAATAATAATAAATAAATAGTAATAATCCCCACATATATTATTACAGTATGACTCGAAATCGGTTTTGTACCAAATATAAGCTGTCATGGTCATATACCATAAATGGAGTACCGTGGGCTTTGAAGATTTTGATCCGTACAAGACCCGGATAGTTCCCTCTGAACTATCGGGCCCTGTGTTTTTATGCACAAAAACGTACTACTTTCAAGATAATAACGCAAGGCATAGGGTTCGCATCCACACAACCTTAAGTTAATAGTTGTACTGTCATTGAATACATGTCTCATTTCGTCAACTTGAGACCCCTATGATCGAAAGAGGAGTTTATATTATTTATCGATGGTGTTTTTAATCGGCAAGCCACATGATCGTTAATTCTTCACCTAATCCCAAGATTGATCCACTAATTTGGAGGCTTTCTTCTCCTTCAAGCGGGCAAAATACCCCAATTCCCCTGAAAATTCAGGCAAAAAGTTATGAAAGGAAAGAAAATTTATTTGAGAATAACTCAAAAATTACACACTTTTCCCTCAGTTATGTCCATGATTATACAAAAGATTACTAAATTCCCTACAAAAGAAAAAAAAAATCATCAAAATCGGACAATTTTTAGCTAAGATACAGATTATTGAAATTTGTAAGGTTTGTTGGTTTCAAACATTAATGCAGTTTTAAATTAATTTTTGTTTCCTTTGTTGATTATATTTATCAATAAAGTAACAATTGATTTCTTTATCTTATGATACGTTGCATTATTTTATTTTTTTATTAATTTGGCATTTGATCACTTAACAATATGCTGTGCGGATTTTTAGCACGGGCCTACTAGTAAATAATAAATCTTTAACCTTTGATATCTGTTTAATAAATGAGTTTAAGATATATGTTAAAATGAACGTTTTTGTTTATTTTGTGTTAGTGAACACATACCTAAAATAGTGCTGTGCAATTTCGAAACACCCTGTATAAAATTATAGTTACTGAAAATGCCTCATGGTTAGAAATTATAATTTGATTCAATAAATGTACAAAATAAACAAATATATTAGTGAAATATATTTACTATGAAAAAAATTATTGACTAAAAACTCTCCTTCATCTATTATTATTATTAACTATTTATGAATAAATTGATTTATAATTTATAAATTATAATTGTTTTTGTTTGCTTAAAGGTCCGAGTACCTCAGTGCCCATTAGTTGAAAGGTTAATGGAACTTGGCTTTCTTCATAATAACATTGTAAACCAGTGCAAAAGCTTAGAGAAAGGTGGATCTGTTGCTCAAGCCATTTTAATAGCCATAAGGCAAAAATTGATCGATTTTTATGGATTCATTGGATCTTTCCATTCAGAGGTAATTTTTAAGCTTATACTATTGACAATTAATTACAACCAATGTGAAAACTTTGGTTTTTGTTGATATTTTATAATTTTTGTTTTGTAAGACACTAAAATGTCTGTCAAGAAAATCTTTTATTAACAAGTTCAATTACTACCTGCCAGAACTGGGCAAAATGATATTTTAAAATACTAAGTATTTTGTGTTTCTAAAATACAATTTTAATAACCAAATATTTAAATTGTTTACATAATTAATATTTTATATTTGAACTTTAAATACTTTTTGAATTAAATAATTAAGAGAAGTAATTTAAAAGTAAGTAGTAATTGAAATAATCGGTGAATAAAATTTTGTTTTAGAAGAACCGAAACACTTTATATTCTTAAATACTTTTTTATCAGGTCTGCAACAAATATTCACTTAAAATATAATGTTTAATTATATACAGTTATTAGTTAGTTGATTAATTAACCTTAAAGAAAATTAATAATCTAGTTTTGTAAAATAATTATAATGTTATAAAAAAAAAATCAAAAAGGTTTAAAGTAAACATTAGTAATATTTAGCAATATTCTAATATTTTTAGATAAAAGTTACAGTAGATCTGTGTTTTTCTATTTCAATATATCAAGAATCGAAATGCAAGATACTGTAAGAACAACTTTATTGGAAGCTAGAGTTTGATCTTTTCTGACCATTCTTGGCTATCTACATAGTTAGAAATATAAAACAAAAAAGTACTCTTAACATTATTCGTTTCTCTTAATAAAATAAAAATTGAAAGTTAATGAAGTAAAAAACAAATTTTTTTTTCCCCCTTTTCCCAACAAGTTTTATATCTTCACTTATAGACTTTTGTAATGTGGTTGTCAATATACTTTGTGAATGAATTTATATTTTTATTGTCTAACAGTTTTGATTTATAACCTGATTAGTTTTTTATTTGCATAGTTTTAATAGGTAGTGATTATTATTATTTTAATTCATTATCATAAAATCATAACTAAGTGTATGATTTACGTAATAAGAAGTATTGGTTGTTAACAGTTGATTCTTTTTATTTCTATATCAGTATCTGAAAAGCAGCAAAACGACTGATGATACTCCATTGCGTGAATATGGTTGTGATGATAATTCACTTACTCTCAGAAAACTATCTTTCCTTACGGAGGAACCGATGCAGCTTCTCCAGGCAGTCTGCGATGCATTAAATGCTGTACGAAATATCAATTCTGGAACTGCTACGACAGCTTTAGATCACTTCCGTCACCATGGAGACGAGAGATACAGAGACGTTATTACATCACTTATAATACATGTATGTTCTATTCTTACATTTTACTTTTTTTTTTAATTATATTTTAAATTAAAGGATCTGGAATATTTTCCATAAATGTGAATAATAAGATTTTAACCTGTTAACTGGTCATGACGAAATATTTTGTCATACATGAACTAATACTGCAGTAGGCGTGACTACATATTTCATCATGAAAATTTGCTGTAATATTTTGAACGCATTAGGTTTTACGTAGTTCTTATCCATTAAATCCTAGCTTGGTTATATACAAGCAAGTTGTTTACGTTTTCGCAATCAGTCACATATTTTCTCCAGTTAACAGGTTAAAATAAAATTTTTTTTTGTCTATTTTCCTTAGGAAATAATAGACTATTTGCACTGTATCGAAAGTCATCAGTGGAAGGCAGGGTTGCCGTTTCTTTCCATTTTGGAACCTGTAGAACACGATTCTGCAATTTTTAGAGATGTCAATTTTATATATATGTAATTTCCTGCTATATTTCGGGTTCCTCAGTGGCTCCTGGTTGACTGAATAAGCTGAAACTCTGTATATATAGTTTGTTCCCAGGCGGAACAATACTATTAAACTTTCGAAAAATTTCGGCATATAAGAATGTTTTTCCCTGTTTTTAAAGTATCGCACATCTCCACAGCTCCTAACAAAGTTGGAAGTTTGAAATTTTGTAAATATATTAAGCTGGTGTTGGAGAGGTGCCTTTGTGTCTCATCAGCAGTCACCATTTCATATCGAGATGGTGATGGAAAAATCTGTTTCTCTATAGACTACTGCACTAAAACAGCTGTAACGGTATTGATAAAAACTTTCCTAAAGTATTCTCTATGAAACACTGTAAATTTATGTACATGTACATCATGATTTACTTTCTTGAAAAAGGACTAGAAAGGGAATTTTGACGAATACAAAACTTTATTTGCGAATAACTCAAAAAGGGTGCACTTTTTGGTTTAGAGCATATTTTAAACACATTTAAATTTCCTAAACGATAAAAAAATGTTGGTCGAAATCCGTGCAGTAATTACAAAGATCCGTCATATAGTTTCTTTAAGACAAAATAATGGTCAGCTTTAGAACATTTGGTAAATATTTGGAACAACATTTCTTTTTACTAAATCGTCCTATTTTAATGTGTTTTTTTATTTTTATTTTGCAGGTAATTTAGTTTACTTTCAAATGACCATATACGTTATCCAATTATATTATGCCTATACAATATACAAAGTTAAAACTTTTTGTGTTTTTCGGAAATCCCATATTAATATCGTAATTATTTTTTCCAGCTTCTTTTGGGTGAAGTTTATTATAGATGTAAATTTAAAGTTCTTTGAGTAAATTTTAAAGTAAATTTAAAGTTCTTTGAGGTGAAGAGTTATGCCATCTTTCATTAATATCCGTTCATCGTTTTTTTTTTATTTATATCTCCCTTGTCTTTAAGAGTCCTGATTCTGGTATGACAATTTTTATAATTATATACTCAACTTATTTAAAAGATATACTATTAAATAATTATTTTTAAATTCCCTAATTATTGGGTATATATGTTTTCCAATGTGTTAGTTAAAGTCGTTCACTTATATTGAACTTATAACTATTTGAATATAATAAACCATTGGGTAATAATTTGCAAAGCTTTTATTTCTCTGCTTAACGTCAATGAAACAATTTAATCCCTTACTATTTTTTTTAAATTAAAAATAAGTGGGGAAAATAGAACCTTAGTGAACCTCTACTCCTCACGCCTTTTTTTTTCTAATCAGATTTAATCCTGACTTGGGCATATTAAATTTTTTTGACTGAGAGTTAGTAGTTTGTTTTGGGATGGAATTAACTATTATTTACTTGTAAATGTTATGTATTTTGATGTTTTTTAAGATACGTGTTTCATATTACGTAAAGATAGTGAAAAATGGCTGGTCTTAATTTTACTGATAAATCATTCAATTTTTTAGTTTAGTTTAAATTTTCTAGATTTAAAAAATAATTTTACTTAGATTCTGTTTATTTTGACTTTTTACATTTATATAAACTAATTTAATCTTATTTTTATTTTTTGGACAGGCTGGAAGACCTATCATAAATATGATAATTAATTGGATGGTTGAAGGAGAGCTATTTGATCCTTATAATGAATTTTTTATATCGTTGAATACCAACTGCCATGACAGAGATATATGGAGAGATAAGTTTGTACTTAGGTATGCATACATATGTTTATGTAATGACTGTATATTACATTTACAATACAAATTTGTTTCAATATTTTATAACTGTCATACAAATGATTCACTTATAACTAAGATTCCAATTAATGTAGCTATTATTAGGTCTGATTGTTTTTTTCTTATTACTGCAATGATTTTTAATTTTAGACAAGATTTAATACCAAATGTAATGTCAGAAAAACAGGCACACATGATTTTACGGTCAGGAAAAGCTGTCAATTTTCTTAATGTTATATGTGAAAAGAAAACACCTATTGTAGGAGCTAGAGAAAGACTCCACAATATGAAAGGTATATCACTTACATATAAATTTAATACTTTTATATGTGACATTAATTGATTCTTAGACTAAATGGTCTAAAACATTAAACAGACAGTGCTATTTGAAAATTACTTATGGAGAGAAAGAAGACGACTCACCCCTCCTACCATAAATATATATATTTTTTGGAATTTTGGCATGCTATTAAATTCTTCATTTGGTACAAAACTGATTTTGAGTGTTACTGTAATAATTTATGTGGGGATGAGCATTGGGATGTAATGATAGGGATAGGGATAGCAATGTTCTGTTGACCGCGTTTCCATAGAAACATGGTTTGATTTTCTATTTGATTTTTCCCTCTGCTATTCAGTATATAATTCACAACTCCTCAGGATTCTCTCCTAATTCAATGTTTCTATGATCGTTGGAAAGCTGAATTGTTACTTTTCAACACCATATCATATCAATAACTTTTAGATTTGATGCATTTAAAAATAATAAATATAGAAAGACTCCTTACAGGCTTTTGTATTATATCTCTAGTTCTACTATATTTACAAGGGTCTGGTTTGTGTCACTTTGTGTAGCTTATGTAATTCTAACTTCCTGTAAATTTTTGTGAGGATAAGTGGAATCGTTTTTATGTTATTCCACTTTTTGTGATTTTCCAAAGAAAATCGAAGGGGGGAGGCTTAGTTCTGATTTGTTTATTATTTACAGTTTCTTTCCTTTCATAACTTTTTTTGCCTGAATTTTCTGTATTGGACTATTTTTCCTGCCTGAAGGAGAAGTAAACCTTCAAAATTGATCACTCAATCTTGTGGATTTGATGAAGATTTAACGATGATATGGCTTACTGACAAAAAAGCATCTTTGATAAACAATATAAACTCCTCTCTCGGTCTTAGGGACCTCATGTTGACGAAATGAGACATATATTTCATGACAGTGCTACAATTAATGTAAGGTTGTGTGGATGCGAACCCTTTTCCTTGCATTATCTCGAAAATAGTACGTTTTTGGGCTTAAAAACCCAGGGTCCGATAGTTCCGAAGTAACTATTCGGGTCTCGGTGTACGCATCAAAATCTTCAAAGCGCAATTTGTCCCATATTGATCTGCAGACTTACCACCATTCCAGTATTGAAGCTTAGCTAAAAGCCTAGAAAAACAAATGGGGAGAGTACGATTTGCTAACCCCCTTGAAATTCTGAATCCAACAGTACCCCATTCATGGTATTTGAGCATACAGCCTACAGGAGCTGTTAGATATTAGTTAGAAAACCGATTTCAAGTTTTACTGTAATAATATATATGGGGATTTTAAACTTCAGTGATCAGGTTGCCGGGCATTACATTAACGCATGCGCTAAGCTAAGTGGGCTAACTACGTGTTAGCTCGGTCGGCAGCTCTCCCTTTCCTCTCATATCTTTTCCATCTGATAACATTAAATGTAAAATTATACTGAACTACAAGGGAACAGAATGACTCAAGGAGGGAATAGCTTAATAAGCAAAAATAATCCTGGCTTAAGAAAAAAAAATTTCAATAGTCACAATTTTTAAAACTATTTGTAGTTAATAATTTTTGCAAACCTATTTATATTTCATTTGTTCTAGATGTCAATATACTTGATCTGACAGATCCCAGAAGTAAACTCTCAGAAACTATATTAGCTATATTTGAAGAAACATCAAAACAAGTACTGGATACTCTAGTCAATGAGTTTAAATTGTTTCAACACTTTCAAGGGTTGAGGAGATATATATTGCTTGGTCAAGGAGATTTTGTGAATTATTATATGGAACTTGTTGAGTATGTACTTTAAAAAAAAAAAAAACAACTATTTAGAAATATAATAAATAAGGTTGATGATTAATAATGAAATTGTTTTAGACCTGAAATGCGAAAACCAGCAAGTAAATTACAATTTCATGAATTGATGTCTCTAAAATCTTCAGCCGAGAGAGCTACGTTAGCTAGATACGAAGATCCTGAAATACTTAACAGGGTGTCTGTTAAATTGTTAGTTGCTTCCGGTGGAGACTGGGGATCTGATGTGTTTGGACTACAATATATAATGCACGATCCTCTTGATGCGGTATGTTTTTTTTTGTTTTTGTAATATTTGTGATATGTAAAAATATAGCCTTTTCTGGCTTGCTCTTTTCATTTTAACCATGAAGAGAAGGTATTTTTGGAAACTTAATACTAAAGTTTTATCAATTATTTTAAATAAACAAGAAGTTGAACTACGTTCTCTTGGGATATGATAAACGGCACTTTATTTATGCTATAGGATCCTACTAAGTCTATATAAAATACTCCAGAAATTGATAATTGTTTTTTACCATCAAGATCTGGAGAAATTTTCTACAGTTTAAAGCAGAAATTATATTAAAAGTACACAATTTATAATGAAATGAAAAATAAAAATTTTCATATTAGTCATGTTATTAAATATGGGTTTACAATTGAATAGTTTCAATTAATTGATCGATTCAAGAGTAATTTTTAAGTAGGAGTATTCCATATTTGTTGGTTTAAAAAGCGTTTTCATTTCTCTCATTGATTCAATTAAATTTAATCTCTTAAGCTCATTCGGATCACCTGGAATGTTATATACCTGAATTGTATTTTTTTAAATATTAAATGATATAATCTTATGATTTTAATTTGCAGGCATTGAAAATCAAAGAAGGTGCTTACAGTCACATGTTCAATTTTTTATGGCGTACAAAGCGTATGGAATATATTTTACTAAGCTTGAGGAAAGAAAGATGGGCTAACAAAAACTCATTGAATTGGTTGTCAGATAGAGTTCCTGGTATTTAAAATGTTTTATTTGATTGCCTAATCGGTTTATAAATTCTGCCTATACTTGTTCACGTTGTTTTCCTCTTTTTTTCAGAGATAAATGGTGTCCTGGTTTTAGCAGATAGGTTGTCCCATGAGTTGTTACATTTTGCTCAGCATTTTCACTACTACATATTATTCGAAGTTGTTGAGTGTTTGTGGGAAAAATTTCAATTAGCTTTTACTAAAGCTAAATCCTTTGACGATGTAATCAAAGCTCATGATGAATTTATCATAGAAATGCAAATAAAAACTTTTCAAGATAAAGATTCAAGGGTATGTATAATTCATATTTTATTTATTCAGGAGGATTTAACCATTCAAAAGAATTATATATGATCAAAAGGATACCCGTATTATTTCTTAAATTTAACATTATTAAAACAGTTTTCTTAGTATAATGAACTGTTTCTGAGACCATATTTTCATTTAGTAAGGAAATCTAAACTATACAGTAAAAACTCATTAATATTGTCAAAAGCATTACATTTTGCATTTAACCATATCTAACAGCAAATTAAACAAAATAATTAAAAAAGAAATTATTATATTTTTTATGAGTTGTAAATATTATAAAGTTGGTGAGCATAAAGCAAAGTTTAATGTGTATGTGAACAATTATTTAACTTTTTTTTTTTTTTACATTATTAAAATAGTAACAGCAGAGAGAGAGAGTGAAAGGGAGGCAATTTGAAAAAAATAAAAAAAAATGATATGTCTAATGTAAAATAAACAAAAAATATACTTGAGTATTTTAAAAATTATTCAAAAATGTCTGCAATAAAATCAAAGATAGATGATAAAGGATTAGGTATGAAACTAATGTAAGCAAATACTTCTGAAGAAATCATCAACACTTTATGTTCTCTTGTGGTGTTTTCTGTTTAAAACTGATTGTCTCTATTTAAGAATTGGTTTATAATGATATATTGTTTAAAAATAATATTTTTTTTTTTTTTCAAAATACTTAAATATATCTTTGCATTTGTCCATAAATAATTAATGAGTATATTTTAGCAACAATATTGAATGATAATATGAAACTCAGGTTTATGTATTTTCTTATATGTAATTTCATATTTTTTAGTTTTCAAATATTATTTTCTCGTTTCTTTTTAGACATTTATAAATGAGTTACGACTAGTATGGGATTTAGTTTTTGAATTGGAATCGTTAGAGGAGACATTTTGTTGTCATGTAGCAAAAGAGTATGCACTGCGAGTTGAGAGAGAAGAACATATTAATATTCACGGTAGCAACCATGAATTAGAAACAGTTATCAGCCAATCCAACAGAAAATTCAGTACTTTCTTATCGTCTACGAGGGCCCAATATAACATACTAAACAGAAATTACCAGGTATAACTAACTAGTAATTTTATAATATTATATATATTTATTAGACAGTTGTGGATGGAGTAACTGAATAAGCAAAGCTCTAGGTTCCAAGCTGGTTGTAATGAGATAATTTATTGATCAAGTAGATAAAGATATTATTGACATTTTAAGTAAAACTGAATTATTGCTTATTTTAGTGGTGTGAAGTGATGTTTTAAATATTTCCTCCTTCCACTCTTAAAAATTCAATTGTTTCTGTACTGATTTGATTGAAGCATAGATGGGCATAATCATAATCAATGATCACGATTACAGTGATTTTGATTATGTGATTACTTTCATAAACAGGATTCTGATTATGATTGTAATCAAGTCACATTTTTGCTACATTTATAGTGTATCGACGTGGCCATTCAGTTGTATTTTCAGTTATAATCATTTATTCTGATTTTGTCCATCTCTGGATAAAAGTGATTTGAATTCAGTGTCCTCTGGACTCGAAAATGTTACCTCTTTCAATGTTTACTTCTGTTGTTCATTTGAAACCTTCAAGGATATACAGTATTATTTAGTATTTTTAAAATTAGAAATATCAATTTTTGTTTCAGGACGTTTTGAAAAAATTTCTTTTGGAACTATCTTCAAGTAATAAACATGAATTAAGAATGTTAAGCAGTCGGATCGATTACAGCGGTTATTACAAAAAAATGGACATCAGATTAACTGAATCTATGAAGTACAGTCGTTGCAGCGATCTCTTCAATTAGTTCATAGTTATTTATAATTTATTAATATTGTTTTGTTTTTCTTTTAAATAAATGCTGTTAATATTTTAATCTTAAAAATATTTGCCAAAATATAACTTCCTGTTTTATGCTATTAAAATCCTTGAAAAGACTGTTATGATATTAATAATTGTTTACTCTTTTTCTAATGGCTTTTATGATATATTTATTTCGTCTCGTCTAGATTATTTTATGTTGTTTCATCAATGTTTGTAAATTGTTTATTAGAATTTGTTAATTGTATAGTGTTAAATTTAGTCATAAGTTTATTTATTATAATTTGTTTAATAATTGATTATTTATCTATACCATGTAAAAAATCTTGGAAATTCTTTTACATTTCAAACATAATAAAATGTTATTTTAAAATCACATCTTTCTTATTAATTACCTTGAATTATAGTAATTAAAGTTAGGTTAGAAAGTTTCGTTTTATCGGAATGAATGATATAATTTGTCTATCCATTTAAATCGCCGAAGTCTGGATCAAAGTATAATTTTATTATTTCAACTTCACTGTCTTTAAACATACCTTAATATATTTTTTTCCATGATTTCATCTTCATTTACCATATGCATTGTGGCACAAATCGAGATTTGCAATCATTAACTTACAACTCCGTGTTTTTTAGTTTATACCTTTTCATAAAGTAAGTTTTCAACTTTATACAAAACATGAAGTTTAATCAAAACGACTGCAATTTAGGTAATGGAAATTTTAAAACATTTTAAGGCAAGTCATCCAAGCTGTATTTTGTTGATCTTTTGTCAACTTGATATAAATATTTTTAAACAACAAAATTTAAAATTTGATGAAATTTTTATTATGCTGTTACAATTGATATTGTATTTAAATATTAAATCCATGAAAAATGGATTATTTAATAATTAGTTAGTTTTAAAACAATTGCAGATATAAACTATGATATATATTATTGGTTCAATAGAAAAGTAATTAACATTTATAAAGATATATCAAACAAGAACAAGAAAAGACTTAATAAAAAAATAGTAACAAATTAATAAGTTAAATGTCATAAATAAATAATCTATTTTGATAATGTTTAATATTTTACCTCAAAATAAAAATGTACATTTTTGATTAAAAATCCTTCAAAAGAAGTGGTGATACATTTAGTTCAAATTGATATAAATATCATTTCCACCAAAGAAATGCTTTATAGAACAAAATTTGGCTTTAATATATCACTAATTAATTTAATATAAATAAAATTCACTGGCGCAGTTGATCTATGAATAAATTAATCAATATCACATTCCCGGGCTAAGGATTATCCACCTTCATAAAAGGAATATAAATAATTATATAGACAACTAGAGTATGTATCATGGCGTGTGGCGTCACACTTAAATTTATGTTCATAGCGGCATTTCGAAGTTGACGTCAAGGTGAGCTGCTCGTGCTAGACCTACTATAGATGACAATTTTACAGCTAAACGTGCTGCCTCATCGAGGTTGTCGCAAGGAAGAATTTTCATCCCAGAATGAGCAATCAATATTTTAGCATCATCAACATTGGTTCCCTGTTAACAGAAAAAAATAATAAGTTAAAAGACAAGAGAGCTAACAATAAGAAAATTTTAAAATCATTGGCTACTAGGGAAATCAATCAAGTGATTTTTTATTCGTTTTCTATCTCTCTGTTCTTGTTGAAAAAGTTAACGCAATGTTTTGAAAAAGTGTGCTATCACAAATCAGCCAAATTATTATTTTATTTTATTTTTCTATAATTTTCTATAGTAGACAATACTAATACTTCAGATAAGCAACTTATAAATAAATGTATAGTTATAGTAAATTGTATTGAGCAGAACATATGACGGAAATCATTTCAGGTGATCACCTCCCAACAATGGAAACTTCATAGAAAATGTTTCAATTAGAGAAGGGGATATATTTAAGATAGGGAAAAATGTTAGAATAATTTTCCATAATTATATTAAGTGAATCTTTATTTTTATTTTCCTTTTTTTTTTTTTTTTAAATAACTACAATCATGTTCCAATCAAAGGATTTGTTTCTGAACACTGATACTGACTGAAGATATTGAAATTTAAAAAAAAACAAAAAAAAACAGAACAGATGTGGATACAGAAGAAGAGACTGCTGTAGAAGCATGCATCATCAAAAACACCTTTTCCAAGAGGATTACGAGATAGGATGCTATCAACATTAAAAAATCCACTAACATGGATTGGTAATAACTGTTAGATCGCAGTAGCTACTGTGAGCGAAGAAGGAATATTATTTATTGAATAATGTCTGCCTTGTATGAAATTTCCATTGTATGTTATACAATTTATATTTAATTTAAGCTTATATTTGAATTTAGGCAACATTGATCTTTCTTTTAAAATCCTTGTTACTGTTCCTAAGTGATATATACATTATATTTTCGCCATTTATGACCAATAATACACTCAAAAGCCTGAAAAAGTGAATAAACACCTCACAGATTCTTGCAACGTGTGAAAAAAACACATGTAAAAAAAATTGGTAGGTTAATACAATAACATCTTTTTTTAATAGATACAAAACAACTTATCATAATTATCACATACCTGAAGTCTACAGATAATCGGTATTTTAAGATCAAGTTCCTTCACTGCAGCAATTATTCCTTCAGCAATGACATCACAGCGCATTATGCCTCCAAAGATATTGACCATGATTGCATAAACCTATAAAAGATAAAATAATTGCATATAACATAGAATAGCAATTTATAAAAAAAATGCCCGAGGGTTGGCCAGATAGAGATTGGCCCTAACTTATTCCACTCTGATATGGGTCGAAATGTCACAATTGACTAGTCCGCAATTATTTGATAGAATTTTTTACCAACATCCAGATCATCTCTTTCTTGAATTCCTAAATCTTGATTTCAATAAAACGACTAGTACCGTTATTAACAGTCAAAAGTGGATGAATATAGCGACCGTGGTCGTTTATAAGTTTATCTCTTCAAAGTAATTATAAACAATATCCACTGTATATTTATTTCCAATTTGAAAAAAATATTTACATTCTAAAAACGATTCTGACTTTTCCTTGTTTAGAAAATTCCTGGACTTTTGCCATTTTTCCAGGTCAGTTTCCACCCTGTGTAAGTCTATTGTAGATACATCCAAAGTTAAAACATAAATGAAAAATTAAAACTTACTTTAGGATCGGCAGTAATAATTTTAAAGGCTTCTTTCACTTGATTAGCAGTGGCACCACCACCGACATCCAGGAAATTAGCTGGTTCTCCCCCGTGAAGTTTAATGATGTCCATTGTAGCCATAGCTAAGCCAGCACCATTTACAAGGCAACCAATATCGCCTGCATAAAATAAAATAAATTAACAATTTCAATTATTTCATCCCCAAAAATATTCATTTCAGATAAAAAATCAACCACAAACATTTTATAATGGTATGAAGATGGTTGACCGTAGATTCTAATTTCAGAAGAAATTAGTCAGGGGTGCGGTCAAAAAATAGTATATTTATTACATCGTTCAATGTTTCGACCTATGTTGTAAGTCTTCTTCAGTATATAAGATACAAACGATATATATAGCCCTGAAGAAGACCTACAACATAGGTCAAAATGTTGGACAGTGCAATAAATAATATTATTTACATTACATATATAACAGTACTACTATATAATATAGTACTTTTTGACCATAAACATTTTAGTTTGAAATCTAAACAACTTAATTCGATTTTTGACTTCTGCCATTAAACAGCAGATTAAGTCATTCTGGTCAACAAAACCTTCCCTCTCCCTCTTCAAGGTATACTATATTAGTATACTAATTAGTATATTATACAGGTAAACTAATTGTCATATGTTCTGAATTATTAAGAGATGACTTATTTTCAAAAAGAGCAATGAAATAACACATTAATCTCATTTATCATCTGGCTGAACTTAATTCCAAAGAAATACCAGGACTCGAAATAAGTCAGTATAAATTAAATTGAAATCTTATAACAATATTAGAATTTATCTAACATAAGCAGTTTCCCATTATGCAGGTATGATCTTTGTTCTTTTAACAGTGAGCTATTGCCTATTTGTCAGAAATAAATTAAAGACTAATTTAATTCTGATCAATAGGCAAATGACTCACTATAATAAGCAGTTTTTTCAAGAATGAATTAAATTATAATTATAATTATATAATTAAATAATTGAGAATATAGCTGGAAAAAGGGTGTTCAGGTGAAAAGCCATCCGTTTGGATATCGCATTTTAAAAATCCTTGATATTATTTCGTCTCTTACAAGAAGTTTTAAAGATGTATCATAATTTACTTAGTTGGTAGAACTGTTTAAGTAAAAGAAAGTTACATGCTATTTACCCATAGATATTCTTTTTGTTCCTATACATTTATATTAAATGAAAAATATTGGCAAAACGTTAATAACCTCAGAATAATTATCAGAATCTGACATTATATTTCACAATTTTGTTTAAAAATCAAAGCTGACTTGAAGTTTCACAAATCCCTATTTTGACCATTAATGGTTGAGAGAAAGTGATTGCTATGAACATGATTTTGGTCAAATATTATTTTACCTTATTACAATATCTATTAATTTTCCTAGAAAATGTTAAATAAATGAAAAAGGAATATACTATGACAAAATCTCACCGTCAAGCGCAATATAATTTAAATTATGTTTTGCAGCTTCAACCTCTTTAGGATCTTCTTGTGTCCAATCTCTTAATTCAAACAGGTCTTTTTGTCTGAACTCTGCATTATCATCAAATCGAAACTTAGCATCAAGACTGAAATCTGAAAAAAAAAAAAAAAATCATACAAATAAATCACAACTCTAATAGATTCATTCTTTATATATGTATATAGATTGTGTGCACATACAATCTCCATTTGAGTCTTCAGCATAAGGGTTTATTTCAATAAGAAGTGCGTCTTTTTTAACAAAGAGGTCATACATATTCAATAACATCTGAGCTGTCTGTTCTTTTTTATCAGATAGGCCTACCTTGACTGCAATGTCTTCGGCTGTTTGTTTAGACAGGCCTAGAAAAAATAAATAAGAATATACAGCATATTACCTTCCCAATTATATACAATATCTATTATTAATTAACTTTTAAGGCATTAATAATGCTATGATAGATAAATGAAATATGAATATTTATGAAACATGAATCAGTTTTCTAATAACTATATAAACAGGAATAGTACAAACCAAACTAGATAAAGAAATTTTGCCATATCAAAAGTTAAAGAGGGCAATGTTACAGGCAGAAATTATTATATATAATGGCCACAGTGGTGTACACAACTAATAATTTAAATAAAATATTGTTAGTTGATTATAATTTTAAAATAGTTTTTATAAACATCACTTCCTGAAAGTAAATCAAATCAAATAAATTATCTAGTTTGGAACAAAAGATGCATATAATGTTTGGTAAACTTTAAAGAGGTTTAATGGGAACCATTATTTTCTAAGTTAAACGTTTTTGAATAAAATAAGGAAAATACCTGTTGTAATGTCAATGGGAATGTAAAGAATAGCATCTGGATTCTCTGCAGCTACTTCTTCAATGTTTATACCACCCTGAGAGGAAGCAATAACAACTGGACCCTAAAAAAAACAAAAACAAAAATAAATACATCAATTAAGGAATTCCATAATACAATGTCGGTCTCAATGTGAAACTGCATAACTGACAAACAAAAACTTAAAAGGGTATATAATTTTTTTTAAAAATAAATACTAGCAAGTGGAGCGGCATAGCTCAGTAAGGCACTGCGCTCCAATGCTCAAGGTCCAAGTTTCGAGTCTACCTGAGACAGGTAATTATTTATTCTGATATTCCATCAGCTTAATATATTCTGATATTCCACAAGCCATGGATCAACCTTATGATTACAAGATCCTTCTAAGAAAAATCCAGCCTATATAAACTGAATACCCTCAATTAAAGAATTAATTAAGGAGAAAACCTGGCGGTTGAGCATGATCTAAAGATCTCTGCACAACCATTGATTATGAGGTAGGTAAGAAAATAAACTGAACCCAAAACAAAGGTTTTGATCAGATTTTAACATTGGCAAAGCAGGACATCAATGACCAGGGAGGAGGTGGTTGGAGGTTTTCGATTAAACATTTGGTCCAAATTTTGATTATTAACCATTATCTGTCATTTTATATTACATCTCTGAACATTAATTTAGCCATATGAATGGACTTGAAGAAAAATGTTATCTCTTTTTGTTATATGTCTCAAATCAAATCAAGGATATGATCTGGTATATTCATTAAACGGTCAGCCATCCAACACATATAAAATCATACCATATTTCATCTTTGACTAATGATAGTTGATCTGCATAATTATGATAAGATTAACACACATAAAAAAAATTCTAATTAAAACTAGATATATCTTATTAATATATATCTCTAAATAACTAATAAAACATACACAGTAGGTTTTAAAATTATGAACTGTGATGGCTCCAACATACAACAATTACTTAAAAAATCCAAATTTCAGGAACATTATATCTAAATCACCACCTTCTTTAAAATTTAATTGAATTATTTTGTTAAAAGCCTTGAAATATAAGATTTTGAAAGTAATGAAACAAATGACAAAGCTTATGAGATGAAATAATAAATTTCTTGGCTCATAAAAATATTTACTAAATTACTTACACTAAATGCTCTTTCCATCATTATTGCGAAATAGTATTCTTTACGGGGAAATTTCCTTTCAGTAACCATTACTGAGTTACAAATACGACCTTTCTCTCCAGTTTGCTTGGTTATCAAGTAATCACCTATCATTTTACCAGTTGTATTTGCAGCTTCCTCAGGGCTGTGAACATACATTATTATTTTAAAAAACTAAAAAAGCCTTATATATCTTTTTTAAAATTAAATTATTATGTAAAATTTCCCTAAATATTTTTATAACTGTTTAATGGGAAAATATTTAGTTTCGATAAAAATGAAAATAAAGAATAAAATATCTTTGTTTTAGTTGTCATAACATACTACAAAAAAATATCAAAATTACAACATCTGATTTATCTACATATCAAAGCATCATTCTAGAGATATCATGTAAGCCATAAGAAATAATACAGCAATAATCCATTTACAATAAGATGGTTGAGACAAGATTAATCTAAAATGAAGTGATTTTGCTTTTAATCCTTATTTTTATGAGTTTATACTTTAACTACATTCTCTCAAAAGATTAATATTTTATACTTTCAGTTCTATAACATATAATCATTTTCTTTCTGATTAATTCTACTTTTACTTCAATAATAAATACTCAATATGTGATAGTAAATATATGTTACAATATGTACATGATGTTTGTTAAAATAAAAAAGGATTTTATAGTATGTTTGCCTGCACCACAAAAATGTGAGAACCCCGATGCATTGAAATCATGTGAAACAAAATGGATTAAGCTGGTTTCATCATTTCATATTATATATAAATTTAAAGAGATTAAACCTAATATCAGTTGGGAGAGCTGTTTAAATGAAACAAGGTTTCGGTATCTGTTTGAATTAAACAGGTTTCAGTATGTTTAAATTAAACTGCTTTTGTGCCTGTTTAAATTTAATAGATTCAGTGTTTCCTTCTTTTCCTATCGGGATCGCTGTCTCCACCTACTAACCTGTAAGGTGAGTTGTCTTGGCTAGGTTCCTAAACTCAGCACTGAGTTCATTGATGGATTCATTTTGCTCTGTTTAAAGATCTATTCGATGGCATCGATGAGCTCAGTGCTGATTTTAACAACTTGCCCTCTGCTAATGGAACAAAATCCTTGTATCTGTTTAATCTCAAGTGAAACAGTTTACTGTTGCTGTTTAATGAAAGAAACTGTTTAAATTAAACAGATTGCTACTAAACACACCACCATTATATGAGACATTATTTTTTGTACATTATCCTAGAACTAAATCCTTGTATGCAACAATATTGCTTATAACTGATTACTTTAACACATATTAGTAAATATATGTTAAAATAAGCAAATATACAATCATGGTCTTTTGTTCAGATTTTATTTGCTTTAAGTTCTTTCAATTGTATACACTATTCAGAAAGTTGAATGTTATTTAAATAACAAATGGTTATCATTAGATGCACCCACACTAAAAGATTTGTCCTGAAGTTGTTTGCATATAGTAAATTACTTAACAAGAAAGCAACCATAAAAATTATCTTGAGTTGAATATACCCAATCAATTTCCTAACTACTAAAACAACTCCTGGGCCATATTGTTGAGTTTATGGAATATAAACAAGGCATCCAACATTAAGGCCTTTCCCAGGATAGAGATCAAAATATATAAAAGTATCAAGTTTTTTTATGTGTTTAACAAAAAAAGGTCACTGAATATTATATATTTACTTATATCAATAAATCATGACATACGACATTTGTAAATCCAAGAAGAATATAGTAGTTTATTGCAAAAAGTCACCAAATAATATTTCATAAAATTAAAACATTAAGTATATAATAACTATATAAAGTTTATAATAGATATCATCAAGTACATAGTCAGTATATAAGTAATTAAATAAGTTTTCTATCAGTTAAATTAGAACATTGGGCACTTAGTGTAACTATTTACAATAAATAAAAAAACTAGTCATTTTGATGGACACAATGCTTTTTTGAATGAATATTAAAGACTGAAAATCATCATAAGGTACTTAAAAGTCTAGTTCTATCAAAAATACACTAAGTAATAACTTTTGGCGATAAACTGATTATATTAATAAATAAACATCCTATATAAAAAATTACCAAACTCTAATAATTATTCCAATTTGAAAATAAACAGTAAATTGGTGTCTCAAATATATTAATTTCATACCCCCAATGAAAAAAAAAAAAAAGAACAAACAAATTTTGCCAAAGATGTTTTTTTTTTACCAATTAATCGCATTATACTGTAAGTGATAATTTATAGTGCAATAAAAACTAAAAAATAACATTAACTTTCATTAAGAATTTGTAACTAAAATGGAATGATAATATTTCAAACTGAAAAAAATCTACAAATAATTTACTTACGTGAAAACCATCTTCACTCCGCCTTTAAGACCTCCTTTGAAATGTCCTTTTCCTCGACCTCCAGCAAGAACTTGAGCTTTTAGGACTATATCTTTGATTCCTAACTTCTGTGCTATTTCGGAAGCTTCCTGAGCACTTTTGGCAACACCAAATTTTGGCACAGGAATACCAGCATCATTGAGAAGAGTATAACTTATGTGTTCATGAACATTCAGATTTCTTCTCTGTTCATAAGTTTGCTGTAAAGCAGGGCTATTGGCAAATATCTGAAAAGTAGTAGGATAGTAGATTGACAAGTGTAAACTTATTTAAATTTCATTTTAATCAATGAAATCACAAAAAGTTACCTTAAGTGATGTTTTAGAAACAGAATTCGTAACATAGAAGACAGCCCTATTAAGAATATTTGCCATATTTTTTAGATTTAATTAAATCAACTACAAAAATATATTAGAAAAATAACACAGTTAAACAAGAACTATAACTTTTATTTTTCAAATATAAGCTTAGACTAGATACAATAATCAGACTGGACCTTATTGATAAATCCAAGTTTCAGAAACTGTCAAACAATCTTGAGATTATCTTTGAAAATTTTAGAAGGCCACTGAAAATTAATACTCGACCTATCAGTGTTGCCCAGAACTAATTGATAACACAGCATTCCCTCAAGTAATTTTAGATAATTATAATTATATAAATAATCATATTTAAAAAAATTATAAGTGGTAAAATTATTATTTATTTTTAATAACAATTAATCTACTTTCATTGAATAAATATTTTTATCAACAATTTTCACCGACCTAATATGTGATTTGAACCTAACCCATTTTCAGTTTACAACTTTAGTTGATATTTAATTTTTTGTTAATATAATGGAATAGAATTTCTAATGTAGAAATACTGAAGTTCTATTTTCGTCGCAAGAGCAATCTCCACTAGTTATCTAATTACTTTATCTTATCTCGAAATCAAATGTTCGAGACCGGCTCTTAATCTCATAACAGATTATCATAATGTCAATCTATTGGTTTCATGCTGATAGAAATTTTCAATTCCGAGGTTTTTAAACTCCACCATAAATACAAAGTTTTTATACATACGATATATCAAAATTAAATGTTTTATTGAAATTCTTTAAAATTAATTTTCTGCTACTGTCATCAACACTTCTCAAATCGATGTCGTATTTAAAGAAATCTTCCACGCGGATCATAATTTCGAGAACACTTCTGTTTATCAAGACTTGTCGTTTTTGCTTCTACCTATCATATTTGCTGGTCGATAAATGATTGGACCTGTTTTCCATCCATTCATTGCGGAGCTTTCTAAAGACCTAAATCTAAACCTCTGAGCCTCCCTAAAACCACAACTCTCTGTGATTTACATACTCTCAGCCATGAAAACATTTTACATTCCCTGAGACGGAGAGAAATGTATTTTCACTCTTCCATTACAGGCGTCTTCACTTCTGTTCTCTGTATTCTTCTTACCCATGCGTAAACTTCTACTTTTCGTCACCGACCTTCTCCTTGGATTTGTGAGGAAACATCCTTCACACAAAACATCACAATTCTTTCTCGAAATGTACTGCAAATCTAAGAACAGAACTCTCAGAACTTCCATCAAGCAAGGAAGCGACAAAATAACTCTCACTTCCCAAATTCCATCAGGAGCAGCTCCGATTGGAAAATCAGATATTCCATAGCCGTGGATTGCAGAGTGCAACCAGAATATTTGCCAATTAGATACAAGAACGTGGAATTAAACTGTTCCTCGTAAAAACAAAACATCTAGGATGGGGACTGTTTGTACGGAGAGCCTCACTTAATAAATGAACTTGGCGAAGAACCTACACATATCTACCGCATATACAGAGCTCTACATACTTGAGTCTAATGGTGTCGGTTCGAACAAAGCCTGGACGAGTTGAAATTTATTTTTTTGCGGTCCCACTCACTAGCGGATCCAGGATTTAATTTTGAGGGAGAGCTTCAGCCCGAAAGCTTTTTTTTTTTTCATAAAAATAACGATAATTACTTTGCAAAAAAAGAAAGAAACTAACTACCTATATGAAATGGTGTTTAAGTGATTCCTAAAGTCCTTTTAAATGTAATTACATAAACAATAATACTTTAAGAGATAATTTTTAAATATTTTTTTCCATAAAATACGGTTATATTTTACCATTTTGGGGGGCTTCATCCCCAAAGCCCTCCTCCTTCCTCGTAGATCCGCCCGTGGTCCCATGGAATGAATCATGAATCAAATCTTTCCACTCTGGTTAGAATAGGTTTCATTGTACCTTTAGAACAGCCCTCTCCAGTATGCCGTAAATGGCAAAATAGATATCGATAATTATAACAGAAACGGAAAAAAAAAAGTAGTAACATTCTGAAAGTAAATTTTATTCGCTATAATTTCGGATAGGACAAAGCTTTGAGTGCGACCCACCGTTGTCGAGATATGAGTGAAAACCGTCGTCTCCGGATATTTTCAGATACACTAGGTAATTTTCGAAATTTTATATAAAGTATGATGGTGCGATCTTGTGCCCAACCGTCGTTTTGGAATGGTATTTGAAAGTATTTTCGAAACTCAAAACCTTCGAAGTTGAAGGAGATGCATTTCTGATGCATTGTGACTGAGCACAATTTACTCAAGGAACTTTTTCATTGTGTGATAAGAACAATAAATAAATTACAAATCAATCAATAGATTCCAGGGGTCAAGTCCATTCAGTAACCCTTATCATACGAAAATGACAAATCTCACAAAAGTAAACTTGTAAACGTCGTATATCTAATCGTAGACACTCAACTAGTTATCTCAATGGGCCAGTAAACAAAATGTCTATATTCTGTAGCAATCTATAATCTGGTACTTTAATGAACTTAATTTGCTACTGAAACAGATATATCGATAGACAGTAGCCAGTGAAAACCGCGTAACTCCATTTACGTAAATTTAAAAAGAGAAAAAATAAGTGTCAAAATAACTGTATAAAGTGACAGTAATTTAGATCTTAGTTTATACGACAGTCATGATTAAAAGTATTCGTACACTAGTTTTAAAACAAATAAATTAAAAAATATTATTATTATTATTATTATATTAAATTAAAAAAATATTATTAGCAGAGAATAATTTGAAATGATAAAATCGCTTAATATTAACTTCGACACTTAATCAAATAATATTTTGATCATATAAACCGGTTATTATTTTTATATAAATTATTCAATAAAAAAATTCTAAAACAAATCCGCTACCGTCAATAGGCGTGGAGTGTTAAGACTAAGATGATTGTGGCAGAAAAGCAAGATTAAAAATCATAATTTTAATAATAACTTATACATTGACACTGTATATATGTTGAATAAATGTTTTCGAGCATCATGTTTAAAATATTATTTTAAAACTGTACTACTACAATCCACGGATAGTTTTGAATTCACTACGTAAGGAAGAAAGAAGTATTTAAGCTTTAAAACATTTTAGTACGTTTTAACAAAATAATTCTCATGACAAACAGTTTGATATAAATTTAAAGATTAAAATAAATATCAACAATTTTAAATATAAATCGGACATCTATTTCTATTTCTGTTAATTATAATAGGCCTAAGTGAAGTCAGCCAGGACATTTCTTAATTTGATGTGATTTATGAGCACTTTATTCAATCATGTATTTATCTACGTATATTCATCTAATTAATTTGTATCCATCTAATAATAATTCAAGATTTTTGTTTTATCTTGGACTGCCATGCTTATTTTTATCTCGTCAACCGCACAATAGCTTCGGCAGCTGCTTCCAGGTCATCAATAGACTTCAATGGTAACTTGGTGCTTTCTAAAACCTCTTTCCCTTGTTTCACATTTGTACCCTGAAATAAAGAAATAAGATTCACAAAACGTTGCAGAAAGCACAATCTGTATATAATAAATCGTTGGAAAAATGAAGATTTCAGAAAAATGAACATCTAACGAATAAAATCATAGAAGGTAGTGGAGAGTGACGGAAAAAATATGAATAATAATTTCAGAAAACTATAATTAATTAACAAAAACTAAATGTTTCATTTAGTAATTAGAAACTTTAGTTTATATAAAAATTAAATGAAGATTTCAAACCTAGTGGCACCTTTTATAATTATTTTCTGGTTTGACAAATCAAAAATATATCATGCCCCGAATTGCCGTTCCGGAACTGTATAAAAACATGTATCGTACTTTTGTAGGGATTACGTAAAGTGCATGACACTGCAATATTTCAGTGTTTACGAGTAAAAAAAAAAATTGATATAAGCTTTAATACTCGACCATAGTGAATATCATTACGTTTATGAATATCAAATAATAAAAAAACAATAAAAATTTTTTTTAAAAAAAATCAAGAATATTTTTCACACATGTGACACGTATAAAAATACCTCATCCTTGAATGAATTTCGTGTTTCTATAATGTATATATTGCATTCTGGTTGAAACATTTTAATATAGTGAAATTCGATCCATAGATTACTTAACACATTTCAACTAATGCAAAAAGGGAACATTAACATACTTAAAAATATCCATTCGTTAAACCTTAATTTAAAGAGCGTATCCAGGAGGTGGATGGAGGTGATTAATTTTAATGTGAGATATTACTTTTATTTCGCAATTAGTTTCTTTTATAACACTGATATGGGTCATTTAAAAACGTTGGTCACATTAACGTCACTGAATAATAATAGGGTCAAATCACAACTAAAAGTAGTTAATTTTTCATTATCTGCATCTTTTGGATGCATGATTAGCGTTCAGCGTTTAGTAAAAATTTTAATTGTAATTATTATAATTATATCAGTCATAAAATAAAATTTGTAATGCTGTTTTCTTATTCCATAGTACTGTCACAACCCAGATGGGGAGGAAGTAAGGTGTATATCTTGAACAGGCCTAATGAGGGGATCCCACTTCATATTCTAACCAAACGGAGCAAGATCGGACCTGTCTTTTGCTCTGATCGGGGTTTCAATACTCGGGTTACCGTGAAAGGATGTGAGGGCTAATATTCATGTACAAAAATATTGATTAATTCTTCACCTGACAGAGCCATTTTAAAGAGGGTCGTGTTGAACCTCACTTCTTTTGGGGGCATGGTGGCCGAATGGGCTAACACATATACAATATAAGTTTTGCCTGGTAATCTGCTAACTTGAAGATTAAGATTTGAATACACATGTCTGCACTACGGCCCACATTGTTCGGAAAAGGCAGAACAAACCTGGGAAATTTTAAATTTAGGCAAGATATCTGAATTAAGGCCATTCTTAATTAACATATACTAAAACCAGTTTGGTAAACCACCTCTAACCGTTATTAGTATTGTTATTATTTTTACTTGCACCAACGACCGCCTAGGTCCTACTGTAATCAAAAAGTTCTTTAAATCCTCTGCCAATGATGAATACTAAAAAAACAGCTGCTGTAACTTACGGGCTTGGTAATTATCTGGAAAATTCAGTCAAGAAAATCTACAAGATAAAAATGCCATGTATACATTAATAAATTAATTAATTAATATCTAATATAATTTATTCCTTTTCGTAATAGTAAACTGAGGGAAAAGTTTTGAAATAAATAAACCGAAAACAATTGCGAAGGAACAGATTCAAGAAAAATTCAAATAAATGTTGTAACTAAATATTGATAATAGGACATTGTTTTCAGCTCACTAGAGTTTATTTTGTTTTATTTTCATTTACTTGTGGGCTGATTTGCTCTGCCTCTCTCATAACACTTATTTTCTAGTCTATCTATGTTCTCCTAATAGTAAAATAGGTAACATACATCTACAATTAATTGGGCAAATAATCTTATACAATACATCTTCATTTTTACAACTTATTACATATAAAATATATATTACATTTATTGTTTAAAAAAATAATAATAACAGTTATTCTTACCATAATTATTTTAGTCTTATAATTTTACAATGTTTTAGTCTTATAATTTTGTTTTTATAATGATACTATTCATTTCAAAATGATTTATATATGTTTGTGTTAATGATGATACATGCTATGATAACATTAGCGACTTTCAAGTCGAAAACTTCTCTGTCTTATTTTTATTTATTTTTTCTCGAAATGTAATGTGATCAAAATTTTTAAATGACCCATATATCGCTGCTAATAATATTTTTTCATAAATTAGTTCTTTGTTTTTCTTGATACGTTATTAAAAATAATGGTCCGCGTTGTAGGGAAGCTGTTGCCCTCTCATTCTTCCTCTGGATATGTTACTGATTTACCTGCAATCGTATGACCACGGGAACATTCAATTTTGATCCCTTGAGTGCCAAAACAATTCCATTTGCAATTATGTCACATCTATTAATACCACCAAATATATTAACCAGTACTCCTTTGACCTGTAAAGAAATATCTAAATAATATCTTAGCTGTATATTAATATTGGAATTCCAAACCGTATAAAGATTGGGTATGTATAAATGTAGTTACGAGTTTCAGTAAAACTATGTTATTGCTATGGAGCAATACTTGGAAAATCATTTGCTTCTGAGCTTACATTTTTACTTTCACTTACCTATCTAAATATGTAATATATAGTAAGGGTAAGTATTGCGATCGTGAAAATTTTCGAATCTGAGTTTTCAACGGAAATACACGTTTTGAGGTACACTGAGTCTAAATAACCAGGTACCGCAAAATGATCTGCGTGTACGTGTGAACAGCATAGCTCAACAACGAAAAGTAGTACGAAACTGAAATTTTGTAATTAAGGTTTGTTTATGGCTCGGATGTGGCATAAATATTTTCATTAAAATCGGCTAACCGGAAGTGCCGCTTTATATTATCGATTTTACACATTTTTACAATTTTCTTGAAAACGGCTCTAGTGATTATGTATCACAAAATGGTCTGTGTGTATGTATGTGAACTGGATTGCGTTTTTTGAGATTTTTATAAGCCTGAGATAGCATTTTTTAATACGATGTAAGTTTTATTCTCATTGATGTTCTCTAGATGGGCTTAATAAATGGCGAATTTTCAATATTAGCTTGCTATAACGTACCTTTAATTTTTTTAATTTGAAATAATTAACCATTCCACATTTATCTTTGATATAAAAATAGTTAAATATAAAATATGAAAGAATTTTATAATTAACGAAAGGAGAAATAAGAGATCGTAACGGATAATAGTTGTAATGGAGCAACCAAAAGAATACGAGCGCGCCCGAGTTCGCCAGAGAGATTTGAACAGGCTTCCATAAGTAGCATGAACTTAATATAATACGGACTCCGACAATGTTATGTATATATACATATGTGGTTTTCATAAATGTTTTCGTTGGTTTTATTTAATACTTATTTGTATAGATTACAGCGATATAAAAATTAAAATTTGTGTAAATAAGAGTAATTAAACAAATAAAAGTAATTAATAACAATGAAATGTAAATAAATATAATAGCGTCTATAATTTTTATTTTCACTTTCCGTTTGTATGAAAATACTTAATAAAAATAAATAAGGTCGTTTGATGCGCGCACCAGATTTGTTTTATTATTTTAACATTAGTTGGGAAATAAGGTGAAAGGTTAATTTAGTATTGTCTTCCAAAAAAGTGTTAATTAAGTGTAAATACCTAATTTTTGTGCAACAAAAGTGTTTTATCAAGACAAGATTGCTAAGAACAAAACACCAAACAAAGATTGAGCGGATTTCACCGCCAACAATGGTGGAATCATCTCAAACTGAGGTAAGTAACATGGACTTTAGGAACAGTGATATAAACAATGAAGACGGCTCCTGGGAACTGGTTATTGGTCGTAAGAGACCTATGATAGATTCGAGCGAGCCAAGAGCTCAAAAAAGACCGACAGAATCTATCCCAACCTCGAACAGTTTTCAGGTTCTAACCAACATTACTAAGTTACAAACAGAAGTTAGAAGAGCGCCTCAAAACAATAAAACTCCACCAATTTTTATAAACGGTGTTGAAAATTACCATGCATTAATCTCATTTCTAGAAAACGAAACGGGTCCTAATATGTTTAAAATTAAGTCTACATTGAAAGGTGTCACTGTATACCCAGAAAATCCTGACGTTTATCGAAAATTAAATTCTAGCCTGCGAAATAAAGGCGCCGACTTCCATACCTACCAACTTCCACAGGACAAATGCCCAAGGATTGTTGTTAAACATCTTTACCATGGAACACCAATCGATATCATTAAAGAGGCATTAAAAAAATTGGGTTACGAAGCCACCAATGTAGTTAACGTCATATCTAGATTCAAAAAACCCCTTCCTATGTTCTTTGTGGACATTACAAAAGAGACATTTAGAGAAGAAATTTTTAGTATTGAATTTCTTTATTATTCACGTATTAAAATTGAGGAACCGCGTCAAAACAGAAATATTCCTCAGTGTGTTCGGTGCCAGCAATATGGGCACACTAAAACTTATTGCAACCATCGACCACGATGCGTAAAGTGCGGTGAATATCATGAAACCAGCTCATGTTTGAAAACGAGAGACCCCCACGCGAAATGCGCCAACTGTGCCGGTCAGCACCCCGCTAATTACAGAGGCTGCCAGACGCTGAAAGATCTCAGGTTTCAGCGCAATGCAAGAAATCGTCTTCAGCGTTCCACAGTAGCAGAGCTAGCGCAGGGACCTCCAGGCATGCATGAATTCCCTCCAATACGGCAACATCACAACCAAGGGGAACCACAGATCATCGCAGGACCTCCGCAACAACAAAATCAAACATCATCTAGTTCAGTACCCCCGAACCAGAAAACATGTACAGGTACGAGGAGAGGCATTACCCAACCGATACCTCCGGTAGATAATGGCTCTTTTCAATTATTTAATATAATTAATGGATTAAATAACCTAATCCAGCCCCTTTTCATTCTTCTTCAACAACTGTCACAGATTACACAGGTCTGGTGTCCAAATTATGGCCCGCAATAATTTAACTGTATTGCTCCTTGTCAGTTCTTCTATGGAATGCCAACGGACTGAAACAGCACAGTACTGAACTCGACTTATACTTGCACGAAAAACGGATCGACGTAGCACTCATTACAGAAACACACCTGACATCCCGATCAAAAATTTACATCCAGGATTACACAATTTACAGAACTGATCACCCAGATAAAACTGCACATGGAGGAACAGCTATACTCGTCAAAAATTCACTGAAACACAATACCGTAGACTTATCCATTACACCCGACATACAATCGACAGGAATAACACTATACACTAAACACTACACTATAACATTTGCCTCAGTTTACTGTCCCCCTAGGTACAAGCTTACACCCACGATGTTTTCTGAGTTCTTCAAACGCCTCGGAAGATGCTTCATCGCAAGTGGAGACTATAATGCTAAGCATCAAGGCTGGGGCTCAAGGTTGTGTACTCCAAGAGGCAGAAATCTCTGGTCTGTTCTCCATGAAATTTCATTAGACACTGTAACACCAAATTCACGAACTTATTGGCCCACCTCCAGACGCAAAACTCCCGACTTACTTGATTTCTTTATTACAAAAGGACTAAGAACCGTACCATTTGCCGTCAATGCAACCTCCGATCTTTGTTCTGATCACTCCTCAGTGCACATGGTTCTCTTCGATGAGCCTTCCGAAGCATAAAAAAGACCTAGGCTCATAAAAGGCTGCATGGACTGGGACGCATATAGAGACTATTTGAACACCAATCTTTCCGTTCCAGGTTCAATTAAAAATCATGAGGAATTAGAAGAAGCTGTTGAAAAATTCACAAAAATCATACAAGATGCAGCATGGGCCTCATCAACATCCAGGCCACAAAAAGCAGCGAACTTACCCCATTATCCAATGTACATAAGGGACTTGATTAGAGCAAAGAGAAGAGCACGAAAGTATGGCAGACTAATAGACTTCCTTCAGACCGACAAACTTTTAACAGATTGAACAACGAACTTAAAAGACATATTCAAAAATTCAAAAGCACAAACTACGACAATTTTATTAACAAACTTTCGACGGACGATGGAAGTTTATGGAGATATACAAGGAATCTTTTAAAGCATCGTGAGGTGTCAGCACCCCTACGAAGAGAGGATGGCTCTTGGGCTGTTTCGGACGAGGAAAGATCTGAACTCTTTGCTAACCATCTTTCCACTGTTTTTAAACCACATACAGACTTAATTAATACAGAACACGATATTTTTGTACATAATAACTTAGACATACCGCTACAGCTCACACTACCACCACCTCCTTTCATACCATCACAAGTTGCACAAGAAATTAGACAATTGCCCAAAATAAAAACCCCTGGTCATGACTTGATAACTGCTGAGGCGCTCCAGCAAATGCCAAGGAAAGCTCTAAGGTTTCTTACCACAATCTTCAATTGCATTCTCAGGACCACCAAATTTCCTATACAATGGAAATACTCACACATAACCATGATTAAAAAGCCAAACAAAGACACTAATAACCCTTCTTCATATCGACCGATTAGTTTACTTCCAGTATGTTCTAAGTTATTCGAAAAACTATTGTACCCACGACTATTACATATATTAACAGACAGATGAACCATTGGCAACGCTGTGGGCCAAGGGAGCATCGATTGGAAGCCATACCTAGCGTTTTAGCCTTAACCGGCTTCCAACCTAACTCCCCGGACCGGGTACGCCACAAAGAATGCAGGCTCACAACCGGAGCCCACGGAATAAGACAACTCCTACTACCATAACTTCCGTCCACTCGCTACACACTGTACCAGAAGATAGCCTGAACAACGCCAAGACCATCTGTACACTGGTGTCGTGCAGCGAGTAGTCGTAAACACAACGACCACTACGACCGCCACGGCCGAACAGTGCAAGCACTCTCGCCGTCCACCCATAGCGCCGCCGGGGCTCCGGCGACGCCCCGTAGTACCAATTTGATCGGGAAGCTGCTTCCCTGACCTCAGAGCACGATTGGTCTCAGGCTCCGCAATCAGTAGATCGCTACGGCTTTACATTGCCTGCCGATGTACAGGAGGATGCCTGCACCTCCGCAGCCAATGAGGGACACGACTCAAACCTAAGGGTTCGAGACGATGACCGTCCCCGTATATATTAACAGACAGACAGATTATTCCTGACCATCAATTCGGGTTTCGAAAATTACATTCAACAACACAACAATTGCACAGAGTGACTGACTACATCTCTACAGCACTAGAGCGGAAATTATATGCAACCGGAGTATTTCTGGATGTCGCCCAAGCGTTCGACAAAGTATGGCATCAGGGACTTCTCTTCAAGCTTAAGACCATACTTCCACATACTTACTACTTAATTCTCCATTCCTTTCTCTCAGATAGATTTTTCTCCGTTCGACATGGCCAAGATCTATCCTCAATTCGATCAGTTTTAGCTGGTGTACCTCAGGGATCAATCCTAGCCGCACTACTGTACATCACATACACACACGACATTCCTCAAAGTATCCACACTCTTACAGCAACCTACGCAGACGACACTTCTATCATTACCAGGCACGACAATCCTACAGAGGCATCACTCAACTTACAACATCACTTACAAATTATACTCGATTGGTGTAAACTTTGGAAAACTAAAATAAATTATCAAAAGTCACAGCACATCACATTTACTCTAAGACTAGAAACATGCCCTCCTGTATACTTAGACAACATACCGATTCCACAAACAGACAGAGTACAATACCTAGACCTTACGTTCGATAGGAGAATGACATGGGGTCCACATGTGAAGAAAAAACGAATCACATTAAATCTAAGACTAAAATTGTTACATACACTGTTAAGACTACCTTCCAAATTAAAAGTAAGACAGAAACTAAGTATTTACACGTATCTTTTAAAACCTCTTTGGACTAACGAACTACAAATATACGGAATTGCAAAACCAACTCACATAAATAAACTTCAAACTTTTCAGTCTAAGATACTACGACTAATCACTCAAGCACCATGGTACGTAAACAATCACACTTTACACACCGACCTACACGTTCCGACAGTCAATGAACATATACGAACGTACTACAAACGATTTCATAACATGTTAAACGGGCACTCCAACCAGCTGGTAAAAAAAATGGCCACAACTAGTATGCCCGAGAACTCCAGAAGACGACTGAAAAGGGTCTGGATGAGGGATCTGCTTAAATAATGTTAGTAAATAAAAGCCATGGAAGGGATACCGCTGGGTATTGCTATTCCTCATGCCTATCAAGCCTTTTTATTTATTTATTTTTTATTTTATTTTATTTTTCTCTCATTACTAAGCCAGCACATCTGCTGATTGTCAATAATAATTGACAGGTGCGGATAAATAAATGTAAGTGCAAAAAAAAAAAAAACATTAGTTGAATTCTGGCAATACTAGAGGCAAACCAGAAATACTACTGCGTGAAAGGCTGTGGAATCCTAACATTGTGCTGTGTAACAACCAAGATAAAAAAGTAAAAAAATAAATAAAAATGATCATTTCAACTATAATTCAATTGGTTATATTGATATACTAGCTATTTAGAAATGATTGCTGAAGTTTAGTATTTAAATCATCAATACATAAACTAAATTTCACCACACTATTTACTCATTTTATTGTTGCTTCGTTTTTCAAAATAGATTCCGGTCGTTAACCAGTTAATGAGACAAACATGGCCATGCATGCACTCATTTTGTACGGTCCACGATCGTATACAGGTTTGGGAAATTTAATGTTGAGCGCACACCTAGTCTATAATCAGCATAGTTTTTACATGTGAAAAATGGCAATTCATAGTTTAAGAATTTTTATTGGACATCTACAATGATATGAATGTAATGAGGTTAAGATCTCCGAGACAATGTAACTCGGAGCAACCCATCAAGAAGCTACTATGCAACAATGAATCCCTTAATAGTTGCAAAGAGATTACGTGGAAGGCCAAAAAGCACATCTGCTAGGATAGATCGAATCAACAAAGGTGCTAGAGGGCTGCATGCAGCAAACTAAAAAATAGTTGTACAAGAGGCTGGTTCAGGCGACCAAAGATGTGCTATGCCTGTAAAGCCAACTTAAGAAAGAAGATACTTAGATCATCAAACCAAAAACTAATCCAAATTATTTATCAAATCACACAGTTTACCTTCTCGTGTGAAAGAATAATTCTAAATCCTTCTTTTATTTGCTCCGTTTGACTTCCTCCACCGACATCTAAAAAATTAGCAGGATTTCCGCCATGAAGTTTTATTATGTCGCATGTAGCCATTGCTAATCCTGCTCCGTTAACCATACAGCCAATGGTACCTAACGGAATAAAATTTAATCAATTTTTATTTAAATATTATATCTCGATTATATGAAATCGTTTTTATTGAATGTCATATTTTATTTTTCAATATCAACAAATTAAAATGCTGGGATAAAGACTTGAAATTTATTATTTCCCTGCTTACCACTAGCGGATCCAGGATTTAATTTTTTTGGTGGGAGGAGGAGCATCAGACCGAAAGATTTTTTCCATAAATAACGATAATTAATTTGAAAAAAACAGAAACTACCTATATGACATTGTGTTTAAGTGAGTCTCAGCCAACCCATCCCATTGATCCTCGTTCCCGGCTAGTCTTGGATAGTGTTTCCTCTTGCTGCTGCTTGTTTTCCAATGTTTTCCGAGTACATGCAACCGGGTCTGCCATGAAGACATCTTCTTTCTGGTCAGGCTTGCAAGTACCACCAGGCTTTTCTGGTATCATCCATTCTACAGATGTCCGTACCATTTTAGTTTCTGTTCTTGCATGATGTTGCCCACTGATTTAACACCCTAAGCTTTTCGAATTCTTTCTTTTCTGACGAATTTTTTTCTGGTCCTACTAACTATTCTTCGGATAAATCTCATTTCCGCTGATGTTATCCTACTTATATGTTCGTCGAGGGTTTCCAGCTTTCTTATCTGTATAGCAAAACTGGGAGGAACACAGATTTTAATACAAGAATTTTGAAATTTCTTTTAATTTCTTCTCCCTATTATAGTGTTGGATATCCGATGGTATAGTCCATTGGTCCTGTTCTGTTATATGACAGTGCGCTGTATACTTAACTCAGAAGACCGGGGATCGCTAAATCCTACCAGTGGAGCACGTCCACTACCTCTTGTGTGAATATGATTACAAAAGCATCATAAATAAGTAATAACAAGTAGTATTGAAATACATGTTAGTATTATTGCAAAACGATTCTAAAAACTCTTTAACTGGTTTTCAGCGAAGTAAATAAAGCCAATAAGTCGAACGGAATTACTATCAAAATTTTTATTTCCATTCTTTACCCATGCACATCATATCTCAGTCTCTCCCGGAAGGGTTTTCGGAAAACACTTCGTATTTCTCAATCTCTGCTTCTGGATCTGATTCGCTCTTCGCCGTTAGTAAACATCTACTGTATTGTAATTAACTTACCTTATCAAGTTCCTTATATTTAATAGCTTATAGCTGTCATATACTTGGTCAGATGTCATTTATATACTTTAGTATAAAGGGTGACAAAGTATACATCTGACAATCTAACCCTAAAACAAAATCTTCCAGGAAGTCTAACTTTGTATCGCCAATGAATCTATTTCAGCGCTCCTCATCCGCTGATTAGATCCATTTGATTGGTCAAAAATTATACAACGTTTCCATCAGATGGACATCCAACGTTTCCATCTGATTAGGAGAAAGATATTCCTTATTGTTCCACACAAGATGGATCTTAAATAAGATATTATTACTTAGTTTGTAAGAAATGTGTATTTAAATGTAAATGAAGCATTTCTTAGATAGGTTAATATCTAGAAATATTTATATAAGAATAATTCAACAGAGGGACTCAATTGATAGAAGAATATAGGAATAGAAACCGTGGAATAAGTGGAATCATTTAGACAGTTTGAGTAAAATATTAAAAGTAGATGGAAATATTTAAACAACATATATTTCACGGTCTAAAAAAGAAGAAAGTTATGAAGTAATATTTAATCGGGACGTAACCTTAACAGATTGTGTTCTATCTCGATGGGTCAACCTATAAGGGGAATTATTCGAGTTACCGGACGGGTAAAAATTGGTAATGCTTTTTGAAGATTCAAAACAACAATATGTCGAGAAACAAATAAATCCAAGCAGAGCTTCCTGAAATCAGGTAAGATGAGATGGTTTGAGGCAGGGACTAAGCGTGTTGAGGTGTTACCAGCTTTGGTTTGAAATTTAATAGATATATATTATTGAAATTTATTTTCACACATAGTGGATCTCGATCTTTTCATCATCGTTAAAATAGGTTTCATCATAACTCTAGAACAACATATCCTTCCACAGAACGCGAATCGTTCGATCTGCGATCTCTTTGTGAGGATCGCGTTCTGTGTGCATGAGCCATTATATTTTCGACCTAAGGTTGTTGCGAGGAGGAAAGGAAACATTGATCTTTGCTTTTCATCAATTCAACTCAACATTTTGTCGAGAGAAAAATTCTTGAGAATAAAAAAAGGAATATGATAGTTGCACTTAACTTTTTCTTAATTTAAATTAGTATACGACAGTAATAAAAATGAGAAAATGTTCAAAGTAATGAAGGTGTTAAACGTTCGAAAGAAATTTAGTTAAACTCCAATTTCTCATAAGCAGAATAAAAAATAGCAACCACCCAGAACTTAAAAGGAGAAGTACTTCAGTTGCTAAGAAGTGTAACTTGGTCTAGTAAAGTTCGAAAATAGAGCTTAATTTTAATAATAGAAAGAGTAGGACCCTATTTTCCTGAGTCTTTATGCATGCATGCTGATGCTGCAAAGTGCTGGTCAACCATACCCGAAAGTACCCCATGCATTCCATCATTTGACTGAAAGATAATTAGAAAACAATTACAATGTTATAAGAGAAGGAACTATGCTTTCTATCGGTACTTCAATCTAAATATTACTGGAATCGTATTTTTAAGTGTTTGATATAATAATAATATAGTGTATAAATAATAAAGTGATATAGAAAATAATAAAGTGTATTTTAATTTTAATCAAACTAGTAAACTAATTTTGATATGTTTCATGAGTCATTATCTACTTGAATACCGTACCATCCAGTGCAACATAGTTGAGGCCCAAATCTCCAGCAGCAACATCCTTAGGATCTTCTTGAGTTACATCCCTGTACTCAAACAATTTTTTTTGGCGATATTTAGCGCTGTCGTCAAATCGCAATTTAGCATCCAGGCAGAACACTGAAAGGCATTAAGAGACAATCTGAAATTATTGGAGAAGAAAATCGTTGAATTATTTTTATGTTTAATCGGCCTTAAACTATTAAGTAGAATTTTATATAAGAACATATTTATTTGTAATTCTATAATATAATATAGTTCAAGCTATGATATCTCTTAAGGCCGAAAAAAAAATCTAAATATGAATGTAAAAGGATAAATAATAATACAAAATAAATCAACACATCATTCTACAGAGATATAACACAAAAAATACATCGGCGATGATCTGTAAAAAATATGAACCTAAATATCAATACAATGAAACATCACTACTTTTCACGAGATATAGCAATACTTTGATTCTTTTAAAATGTAATTATATTTCAATAATAATTATTTTTCTGGAGAGCATATGTGAACAGACCGTTAAGGAAGTGATGAAAAAGATAATGAGGAATACATTCTGTAGATATATAGGAGAGAAAATAAAAAATAAATCTTTTTTTATAAAAATAACGTAAAAAATAAAGGATCACTTTAAATTACAGTTAGAAAGGGGGAATGACAACGGAATTCATTCAGAGGTTGTTTTCTAAGGATGTCAGTATTAAAAATAAGGAAATAAATGAAATTAATTTAAATACACCTAAACTATTTTATTTTCTATTAATTTTACATGTCTTTTTTATTCATTTATAACTATTTTAAAATTTTTGCCGTAAATTAGTTTTATATTACATTGAGTTTTACAGTTTTATTTATTTGTCAGGAAACCTTCTCAACTCCTCTCTCAGTTTTTGCCTATTTTATAGCGGAATCTCTCTGATTATTCACGTAATACAGTTAAAGTGTACATCAGAGCAGTTGATATTTACAGTTGACATCTTTTTTTTTTGTTATTTTTAATTTTTTTTTTTTTTTTTCCTGTTTCCTTTTCTCTTATGATATGCGGTATGATCAGCAAGTGATGGCCAGTAAGGTGCCAAAGAGGACTCGGTCAGAAGGTGTTAGTACACCACATGATTCACCAGCCAAACAAAGGACTCATCGCTGCCTACGAGAAATACCTCCAGTGACCAAAGTGAACACTTCAGAACCAGAACCTCAGCCCCAACCAAGTACGTCTTAGCAAGAAATGATTGAAGAATCGCCTTTCTTTACTCCAACCCCCTACCAAGTGCTTCAAAATGACCGAGAAGTAATGGAGTCTGCAGCAATACCCAGAGAACCAAAGCCTCCTCCGATATTTGTGAAAAATATCATAAATTTCCAGATGTTCTGCACCCAACTAAATAAAATCTGCTCTGGCAGTTATTCATGTCTTAACAGGACCAATGACACCAAAATAACACCTAATTCTGATGAATCCTACCGAAAAATAGTGAAGTACTTATCAGAAACAAATGCGAAATTTCACCAGCTGAGGCAGGAAAGAGTAGTTACGGGTAGTGATAAGAAATTTACACTCCTCAACCCCCACTGAAGTTATTAAAGAAGAACTAACGACGCTTGGTTTCAATGTACGCCAGGTAACAAACGTTTTGAAGGAGGACAGGGAACAGCCAGGATTACGAAATAGGATCCCACTACCATTGTTTTTCGTGGACTTGGAGCCATCACCAGGTATCGAAAAAAATATATGATATCACAAGAATATACTACACAATGGTAAAAGTTGAGAAGCCATACCCCAAGAGAGATATCGTGCAATGCCATAATTCTCAGACCTATGGTCACACGAAGACATATTGCCACCATCTGCCGTGTTGCATGAAGTGCGGTGAACAGCACAAATCTGTAGAGTGCACCAAACCTATACAAGATCCAGCAGTATGTGCCCTATGCTTGGAGGGACACCCGGCCAACTACAAAGGCTGCCAAATTTACAAGAATCTCAAAACCAGACACCAGAAAAACCGGATTTAAGATAAAGCACTAAGAACAAGAAGAGAGAGAGAGAGAGAGACTTCCAGAATTGTAAACAATGATGTATCATTCTCCCAACTACTTAGAGGTAAGACTTCAACCGATAAATGTGAAGCCCTGCCACAGCAACAACCTCAACCCCAACCTCAAAATCCTCTTCATCCTAATATACCTAACCATCAACAACAAATTCCTCATATTCCTCCTCCTTCAAATGCAATAGATCTCACAAGTTTGTTAGCATCTTTCCTCACCGATTTCAAATCCCTTGTTACTCCACTCATATCACTCCTCACAAATCTCGTATCTCATCCCTCCTTTAAAAAATCCTTAAATGACTCACATCCCTAAACTCATATCCATTCTCCTTTGGAATGCGAATGGTGTTAGAAATCATACAGACGAACTATCTACTTTACTACTTGACAAGAACATTGATGTGGCACTAATTACTGAAACTCGACTAACCACTAAACAGCACTTCAAAATACCACGATACTTGACATATCGTACTGACCACAATGAGGAAAAGCACATGCCGGTACTGCTGTAATTGTACACCAATCCCTCTCCCATCACGTACTCCCATTACCTATACATGATTTCATACAGTCCACCGCTATCGTGATAAAAACCTTCTCTTTTCCGGTTACTCTTGCATCAGCGTATTGCCCTCCTAACCGATCCATATCCAATGGCCAATCCACTTCTCTCCTCGACTCCTTAGGACATCACTTCATCTTGGGTGCAGACCTAAATGCCAAGCACCAACAATGGGGTTCGAGAACCACGAATTCTCGTGGCCGAACCCTGCTGTCTGCACTCAATTCCCAACGTTTTCACCTCCTTTTCACCAACTCTCCTACCTACTGGCCCACAGATCCCAACCGTAATCCTGATCTTCTTGATTTCTTTATCCACAGCGGCTTAAGTCCCCTCAATTGTTCCATTACACGTCTAAATGAACTTTCCTCTGACCATAGTTATCTAATCCTTAATGTTTCACTTGAACCCGTTCTCAAACCTTCTCCACCGTCATTCATTAGGGGCCCAGTAAATTGGGACCTTTTCCGCCAAATCATCTCCGATAAAATTGATCTCAACATATCCCTCAAAACTCCCGATGACTTTGATAGTGCCGTAAATTCCTTTACTACCACAATCCAACAAGCCGCATGGATTGTCCAAAAGACTTCTCTAGAATTCCTAAAAAGACCATTCTACTCCAACACCTCCTTGACCTAATCCACACCAAACGCCGTGCCAGATTATTGTGGCAACGTACCCGACATCCTACCGACCGCTGCTCCTATAATTATTACTGCAAAAAATTAAAACTGGAATTAGCCACCTTCAGATCACAATCCTTCAACTCCTACCTATCCTCCCTCTCTTCTTGCGACAATTCCCTTTGGAAAACCACAACAAAAATCCTAAATCCTCACCACATTTCCCATGCCCTCCGACGAGATGATGGTTCCTGGGCAGCATCTGACGAAGATAAAGCTGAGGAGTTCGCCATTCATCTATCCAATACATTTATTTCACATTCGGAATCCCATCCTGCCCACACCGTAACAGTAGAAGAACTCCTTACATCACCAATCCCACTTTTCTTGCCCCCAAACGCTATTCATCCTTTTAAATTTAACTGAAATGTTAAATTTCAATTTAAAAAACTAATCCCCCGTAAAGCTCCTGGACATGATCTTACCTCTCAAAACCTTCGACAACTTCCATCCAAAGCAGTCATATCTCTTATATATATCTACAATTGTATCCTACGCACCACCCACTTCTCTATGTTATGGAAACATTCCACTATTATCCTTTTCCCAAAACCAGGCAAACCTCCCAATATCAACATCCTATAGACCAATTATCCTACTCCCAATCCTTTCAAAATTTTTTGAAAAGATCCTTTTGAAACGAATTCTACCCATTATAGAATTCCAAAATATCCCTTCCCATCAGTTTGGTTTTCGCTCTCAACATTCTACTGTTCAACAAGGACTCCGAGTTGTTGATCATATTTCCTCAGCCCTAGAAAACAAGGAATACTGTTCGGGTGCATTTCTGGACATTGCACTGGCATTTGACCGGGTATGGCACTCCGGACTGCTCTTCAAGCTTAAAATCCATTTACCTCAGTCCTTGTGCCTAGTCCTCCGATCCTTCCTCTTTGACCGCTCCTTTCGAGTTCGCTGTGGGACAGAATTGTCCAATATCTACTCCGTTAAAGCCGGTGTTCCACAAGGCAGCGTCTTGGGTCCCAGGCTTTACATCCTCTTTAATGCTGACATCCCTGTTCATCCCGATACTTTCCTTGCAAAATTCGCTGACGACACCGCAATCTTATCATCCAACTCTGATCCCGAAATAGCATCCTTAAATATCCAAAGCCACCTCACCTTGATTGAGAACTGGTGTAATAACTGGCGCATTAAAGTTAATGAATCTAAATGCCAACGTATTACCTTTACACTCCGACACAATTCCTGTCCACCAGTACTCTTTAATTCCATCCAACTTCCTTATTCAGACACAGTCTGGTATCTTGGCTTTCATTTAGACCGAACACTAACGTGAAACCCGCATACTAGACTCAAATGACAAGAACTCAACCGACGATACGGCCAACTATACCGACTACTAAGCAGAAAATCTAAACTTTCCATTGAAAACAAGCTACTGATCTACAAGACAATACTGAAACCTATTTGGACTTACGGACTAGAACTGTGAGAATCAGCAAAATTTTCTATCATCAAGCGCATCCAATCCTTCCAGTCAAAAGTCCTTCGAACAATAGTCGATGCTCCTTCCTATGTAATCAACAAAACCCTACATCATGACCTCAACATCCCATTTGTCCTAGACCTTATCCCAGAAAAATTCTCCAAATTTCACCAGAACCTTACGTATCACCCAAATCCTCTTGCACAATCCCTATCAAGCACCTCCCATCCCTATAATTCTCCAAGAAGGTTGAAACGGCAGTGGCCTCGCGACCTTTTGCAGATTGTATAAATTGGAGTTCTGGCAATAGCCAGATTCTTCACTCAAGACATGAGTGTATGTGGCTAAAGTGCTCTCGATCAATCTCCGCTCGATCAATTAGTACCAGTGACGCGGTTGGGAGAGTAGCTCAGGGTTCTCATGGAGTTCCCTCGCCTGATTGTATATAGGTATACATGTGTTTTTTTTTTTTTTGCTTAGTTTTAATTTTCTTATTTTTTAGGTTATTTTATTTTGTTATCTTTTGTATCTACTTTTGATTATTATTTTGTTTCTATTTATTTTATTTGTTTGTAAATATAGTGTGAATGTCATCTTACCTCACTATAACCAATGTCCAAGAGACAGATTTTTATAATACTCAATAAAAAAAAAAATGTTTTGAAAGCAAAAAATGTTCCAGGAGATCTGGTCACAGCTAATAAATCGCTTTATCAGGAAGCGGAAGGAACCGCGAGGATCAATGAAAGGGAGTCCAAGCCTTTTCCCACAGAAAGTGTGAGGCAGGGAGTCGGCCTCAGTCCCCTCTTATTCATCATATTAATGGATGACATCCATAAAATTTGTAAGCACCTTACTGCACTGTAAGCACCTTATGGTTCAAAGATTACTATATGCCGATGACATCGCACTGATAGCAGATACGAGAAACAACCTGCAATAGGCTGTTGTGGAATGGAAGAGCTCCTCCGCAAATGAATGGCTATTAACACCTCCAAAACAAGATATTAACTCTTTCAAGAGAGGAAAAAGAGGAAATCGAGTTGACCTGTAATGGCGAGGTTCACGAGTTTGTATAGGAATTTACCAATTTGGGGGCAGTCTGATTTATAAAGTCAGCCAGGTTTATTACCCTATCTGAAACACCAAAGTGGGACACGGAGACGTTAGTAAAGAAACTAAAATGCACACATACAAGCCAGGGTACCTTACCAACCCTGCTTTTCGAAGTGAATGTTGGTTTATGCTGATGAGATGAAGTTTCATCGGGGATTAGCTGGAGGTAGTGGAACAAAAGACTAAGCTTGAAAATCGACAAATGAAGTGATTTGGCCATGTTTGACGGAGGGAGGATGAAAGAGAACCTCGGGAAACGATGGAAGCTCGACCCACTAGGAGGATATGAAATGAAATGAAAAAATAATTTTATTCTGGGACTACTGTCCCCTAAGAATAATAACAGAGTTACAAATTTATGGATATAATAAAAATACAAACTAATTTACTGTTAATTGTTATTTCAATTGTGATTGATTATACATGAGGATTGAAATTATACATTGTACAGAAGCAAGTATTTTACATGTTAGGGGAAGTTTGAATGTGCAGTAGGTGTTGGAACAGGAGTTGTTTGAAAGAATTTGTGGACGAGGATTGATGCATGGAGGTAGGAAGTGAGTCCCTTAAGGAAGCAGTACGAATGACGAACGATTTGCTGAAGGAGGAAGTTTTATGGGAGGGAATATATAAGTTTATAGGTTGAGACCTAGTATTGAGACAGTGGATAGAGGAGCGTAGAGTAAGGAGTTCCAGGATGTAGGGAAGGTTTTTGGTTCTGAAGACTTGGAAAAGGAAAACACCAAGGAGGAATTGTCGTCGGGAAGTAGGATAAAGCCACTTCAACTCGGTGTACCAGAGTGAAACATGTGAACGCCTGGGGATCCCGAAAATTTATTTTATGAAACAATTCATGAGTCTCTTTAGTCTCATTTCCACCCTAGCAGATAGCCCTCCATACACCAAACAGCCATAGTCGAAGTGGGGGAATACAAGGGAGGTTACAAGAAGCTGTCTGGTTTTTAGAGGAATACAATCACGGAATCTTAGAAGTTGTTTAAGGGCAGTTATGGATTTTCGGATAATATTACTCCTAGGTTTTTGACTGTAGGGAGAAAATGGATGGGACGGTTATTGAGGTTAAGTAGAGGAAAGTAAGGAAGGGAGCTGATGAGATGTCTGGTTCCGATGATAATAGCCTTGGTTTTATCTGCATTCAGCTTTAATTCATTTATTTCTGCCCATCTGTTGATGCAGTCGATGTCCTCTTGTAGCCTCCGGGCAGCCTCAGGCATCTCAGAAGGTTGGAATGATTGGTATATTTGGAAATCATCGGCATATAGGTGGTAACTGGAGTGTTGAATGCCGTTAAGAAGGTCACTAATATAGATGTAGAAAAGGGTCGGGGAGAGTGAGGAACCCTGAGGAACACCTCGTGTTAATTGAAGAGGTGATAATGGAGGTTTATTCGATATTGTAACTGTCTGAGATCGATTGGATAAGAAGGATAGGAACCATTTTAGGACGCTATTTGATATGGGCAAGCTTTGGAGTTTGGAAAGAAGGATCTCATGATTAACGGAATCAAACGCTTTGGAAAAGTCAAAAAGAATTAGGGTGGAAATTTTCTGTTTATCTATGGCGGATTGGAGGTCTTGGGAATCCTTAGCAAGGCAGACTGGGTGGAATACTGGGAACGGAAACCAGATTGTAAAGGATTGAGGAGATATTTTGATCGAGGAAGCTGTTCAATTGAGAGTTAACTAATCTTTCTAGAGGCTTGGATAGAATGGAGATGGGTCTGAAGTCGGAAGCTAAGCTATGAAAGGATACTGCGAAGCTGTCCCAGAATTCCCTACCAAGATTATATATAGCAGATTGGAGGAAAGAGAGAAAATGGCTGCGTTGGATCAAGGCTTCTCGACGGTAGTAATTTCATCTGAGGTAGACAAAGGCGAAGAAGTTCTGATAAAAGATCTTATTGTACCATTGTGCTTTTAGATAAAGAGTTTTAATCTATCAGATATAAATGTCCTTTTGCGTTATAGGAATTGTCAATACATGATTCACCAACTGGCACATTCAATAAGCTATTTTTTTTAAGTATAGATAAAATTAATGTTATTATTATAATTGGTTGCGGGTTAAGTCCATTGTGTAAATTCTGTCCTAAATCGGCTTTCGGCCTTGTTTTTCCCGATTAAATTTGGAGTATTTCCGATAATTTATTTTCGCAAGCAATCAGTAACCTATTTCAATTACTAATGGTGTTGTATTTTTCCAACACGGTCTGATTATATGGGGCTATCCAGAGTTAAACTTCTTAAAATTATTTTTCTATTTGGGTATCACAAACCTTAATTAAATAAAACTTGAGAATAAGAGTCGTCCGATTTTAACTGTAAACTTTAACTTTTGGAAAAAAAAAAATGATTGACTGAATATTTTAAATCTGCATTTCTTGGGGGCTATGGAACCTCAGTACTACTTCAGGCAATTAGCAGAATCGTAAGCCTTTTTGGAATCGTAGTAAATCTCATGAAATCTATGTATGAATTATTTCTCTTCAATATAGGAATAGTCCACTAATTTTATAATTTACACAGTTCTTACGTTCACCATTCTGGTCTTCGATTAAGGGATTAACTTCAACCATTGTAGCATCTTTAGTAATAAATAGCTTGTACATGTTAGAGACTAATTTTACTACTTCATCTTTTTTTGAAGAGATATTAAATAATTCAGCAATTTTTAAAGCTGTATTTTTTTCCACTCCTAGAAAATAATTGTATTATACTTAACACTTCATTCTCAGTTTTAAATATTTTTTTATTTTGATATATATTAAGTTATATCCTAAACATTTTTCATGTATTCAGTAGAATCTTTTGCGTTGTTGGCAGAAAAATAAGTTATTAAAACAACATGAGAGCGATAACTCCGTTTTAAAAATAGTTCGTGTTATTTAATGCCGCAAACCATAAGTTTGCGTTGATTAAATTATTTGACCATAAAAGATGCAACTTAATGTTCCAAAGGAGAAGCATTAATAATCAAACCAACAACAAAGGTTATAAAAAATTATTTTTTAATAAAATAGCAGAGAGCCGGAATCTCAGCATTTGAGTGATCGCGGTACAGTTAGGTTAGAGTACATATTAAACTTCATTGTGAAAAAATACAGACCTTTGTATATATCAATGGGAAAATAATGTATTGCTTTAGGATTTTTTGCAGCTACTTCTTCAATTTCAACACCACCTTCCGCTGAAGCCATCATCACTGGTCCCTATTATTAAAATTCAATATAAATTTAGGAATGTAATGAATCTGTTTCTCACCACGATCTTACTTTTACATAAAATTGACTACGAGACAACATATCTTTGTTGGTAGTAGTCCATTCTAGAGATTTTCATCAACTCGATTAATTATCATTAAAATCGATTACTATTGAGCAGACGAGTTTATTTTTGTTTTGAGAACCTCCAATATGAACCCAACATAAGAAATTATGAAGAACTCACATCGAAGGATCTCTCCATCATGATGCATATATAAAATTCTTTCTTTGATTTTTTTCTTTCAGCTACCATTAACTTCTTGCACAATAAGCCCTTTTCACCTGTTTGCTTTGTTACAAGAACTTCTCCAAGCATCTTACTACCAATCTGCACAGCTTCATCGACACTGAGAAAATATAACAATCTCATTAGAAACTTGAATCTATCTATGTACTTGTTGATATATTTGTAAATAATTAATATCTTTGCTAGGGGTGACCTTCCCTCCCAAGGTCGATGGCTCATGAATCCTTTCTCCCCCCGCCTCCTTCTCCCAAATTATTTTATTGCTCTCCTCTTTCTAATATCAGTGGAAGCTCAAGTATAATTTTATAACTCATAGGTCATATAAATTAACTTTCACTGGTCTGTTATATGTTTTCCTCTTGCCACCTGGTTTGAAACTTTTCATTTCGAAAATTCGAAATAATAACATTCCCGAAATGTGCCCCCCTCAAAAATCAAACCCCCTTCTGGACACCTCTGCTCTGTGTCAAGGCCTCCATTATTTTATTTACTATTGATCTGTGCTAAAACCCATGCAGGCTGGGTATATCATATATTTTATTTGGAGAGATTTATTATTTGGGATTTAACTATAAATGTGGAACCAAAATTTACCATTATTTTTGAAAACATGAAAAGTAGCGGGAGAGGAGATTTTCAATTGCGGTTATAAATATTTTCACTTCTAAGAGTTAAGTTTAAACGAACGATTCTTAGCATGTGTTAAGGCGCGTTTAAATATTTCACAAACTATGGGACAAACAAATATATATAAATGCTCATTTCACTATGCTAGTATTTTTGTTTCTCGATTTTGATATTTTTCGTCTGATGTAAGTATTAGGAAAAATAAAATTAATAGTTTGTTTTAGTAATAATAATTTCGTTGTTGGAGTAAGTTAGATAATTGTGTTTCCTATAGTTTCTGAAATGACTAAACGCACCTTTAAGATATAATAGAGTTATAGAAGAAGCATGAGTCGTCGTGTAACATCAAGCTGAATACAGTTACAGTCATGTTCTCAATAAATAATAAATAAATCAATTAATGGCCAATGTGCATAAAATGAAATAATAATACTTATAGCCGTGTTTCAAAGGAAAATGCCAAATTCATCAATTTATTTGCTTGCATTAATATGAAAGCTAATTGAATGCTAATTTTTCACAGTTCTTTATATGAATCAATATCTTATAAATTGACCTCGTTATAACACTCTATATAATTTAATTACGTACGAATTAACAAGCTTAACTCCTCCTTGCATTCCATTTTTAAAAGTTCCTTTCCCTCGCCCTCCAGTTAGGACTTGTGCTTTTAATACAATATCGTTTGTACCTAAATCTTGGGCTAGTTTTTTTATTTGATCTTTTTGGTCAGCTATTCCATGCTTCGGAACTGGTAGTTCGACCTCTTGTAGAAGTTTGTAGCTTATGTATTCGTGTACGTTCAAGTGGCGCTTCAAAACGTATTGAACCTGGTTCTGAAAAAATATGTACCGTTATTTTAAATACAGCAACAAGCAAACATAGTCATCATATACTGTACTTTCATTTTATTTGATTAAGAATCAACTATTGTAAGAAATTGCTCTTACTTCAACCCTCCTTAGGCCTCTCAAAAATGAATATAGAAACCAAGAATTTGTATACAATTTATGGCCAATTGAAAAACTGACATAAACTTCTGTTATACAATTGTGGACTGCTATATAGCTAAGTCAACTAGGGGTACGCATCACACAACTTTCACTTACTACCCTACCTTAAGAAGGAATATTTTCATGTGTTGAGAAGTGAAAATAAAAATTATAGACGCCCATTTAACTAATTACTAGTAAAAAAAAAAAAGAAGAAGCAATTCTTAAATCTAAATTTGAGAATATGTCCAGTTATAGGAGACATTAGTGCATACCTAGAAATTTTTCGAACATTTAAACATACAAAAATAATTTTAACTACCTCCAGATGGACTATGCCGGTTTAAATTAATACGAATTTATCTTTAGCAATGGCTGCTAAAAAGTTGTCAGAAATCAATTTTCCAGAAGATATCGAAGATTTTTTAAATCTCTGTATTTGTAACAATTTGATTTAAAAACTCCTATTTTTGTAAGCAAAAAATAAAAAAGATTCGAAGCAAAACAAATTTTAGAAATGATTATATTTTTTTTTAATTAAGCAGAATGACGGTAAAAAGTCTATAAAGTTTCAAGAAAAAAAATATCAGCTATCAGCTCGAAACAATTAACAAAGTTTTCAATTAAACTATTAACTAAAAACCGAATAAAATCTTCATTCTGAAACTAAAAATATTCTGGGAGGTATGTTCAGCTAGGAGTTGCTGAACACACCTCCCTGAAGAAGACCTGCAAAGTCGGGTCGAAACGTTGGCTTTTAATAAAATAGTTTTGCAGCTATTTAGCCTATTTATGACCGCCACCCCGAACCATCTCCTTGAATAAATATTTAAATTTTGAGATATCCATTAACTTCACTGACTCATATCAGACAGGAAAATCCTATCTAAATTTGGACAGTATATAACTGAGGGGTTCTGCTAAACCCTCAAAAATTAAGAAAATTCAGACTTTTCAATCCAAAGTATTGCGAAGGATAGTTGACGCATCGTTTCATGTTGCAGTTGAAATAATACATAAGAGCTTATAGCCCTGGAGCCAGTGCCCGAAAATCGACCTCATCGCAGGCGAAGGTTTGATTGTAAATTACGAAAGTGTATGTTATTCTGAGTAAAATGAACTTTGTCTGCCGTTCCAGAGCCGCTGCTTTCAAAAATATCGGCAGATTTAAAGAATATTAGGCCTGTAATTTGAGAATCGAAAAGGGAAATCCATTGCGAAAAATGTGGGAAAAGTTTTTATTTTTTTAACTTTTATATATGGGTTTAGATATGTAAAAAAAATATTGCTTACACGGGCCACCAAGGAAAAACTTTTAACTGACAAAGTAGTCAGATTTTTTTTCACCTATAACTCCTTAATGTAGCGTCAATAAATCAAAGAACGTTAAATTTGGTAACGGGGTAAGGTATAAAACCACGGTCAACCAACGCTGAGTTTTACCAAATTGGTCCAAAACTGAGATAAATGGCCCTACAACTTGGAGATGAGTTCCTGGAGAGGGAAACGCCTTAAAATCAAAGTTCTAGAGCATCAAATTTTGCGTCCAGTGAATACCAAATAATTTAATTTAGGTCATTTACTCCGAACAAAATCGGTAATTTTCCGAAGGTTAAAATTTGGTAATGAAGGTAAACGTGATTTTCAATATTTCAAGAGTATTGGTGTCTATTCTACCACAAACGGATCCAGGATTTAATTTTTTTTTGGGGGGGAGGGGGGGCTTCAGCCCTAAAGCTTTTTTTTTTCTTAAAAATGACAATTACTTTGGAAAAAAAAGAAAGAAACTAACTATCTATATGAAATGGTGTTTAAGTGATTCCTTAAGTCCTTTTAAATATAATTAGACGAACAATAATACTTAAAGACATAATTTTTTAATATTTTTTCCATAAAACATGGTTATATTTTACCATTTTTTTTGGGGGGGGGGAGAGGGCTTCAGCTCGAAAGCCCCCCTCCGTGTATTCTGCTGAGTTATTTCTGTTACATGCAGCACAAGCCTCATTTCCACCTCTCAGCAGTGAAGGATTTTGATAAAGGATGTGTCAAAAGATACCGAATTTCATAAAGGAATAACGCATCCCGATTCCAGATATATAACTGGCCTACAATAAAAATTTCAGTTCATTAGACCCAACATTTGATGCTCTGCAACTTTGATTCAATGAGTTTTTCTTTTTAAGGAACTCATTTCCAGGTTGCCCGGACCATTCATAGTAATTTGTGTGTTTTTGTCAAATTTGATTAAAATCAGTGTTGATTGATCATGGTTTTATACCTTATCAGGTAACCAAATTATAACCTTCTTTAATACGCACAATTTAACCTTTTTTTAATCTATTAAAGAGTACACTTTTAGCTTGGATGCATCTTTTAAGAATTATGATTAAAAAACAAAAAAATCTGACTTTTTTGGCTGTAAAAAGTTCCCCCTTGGTGGCCCGCATTAGCAATTTTGCTTTTAACATGTCTAAACAAGTTACAAAAATAAAAAGTTATTAACCGCACTGCTTAATGTTTTGTTAATTAATTTTCATAAGAAAATAATCATATGGTCAAGATATTTTCTTTCACCAACCCATATTTTTCATATCAAGATAAATTAATACTATAATATATTAATATGATATATTCATATCCATATATGATTAAATGTAAAAATTAATAAAACTAATTGGAAATTGGTTTCATTTAAAGTAACTTTTGTTGGGCTAATTTTACTGAATTTCATATGGAATGTAATGGATGCAAAATCAAAAATGTATCATTATTTTCACCTTAAATACTAGTTGTGCTAATTTGAAAACTAAGACAATACAAACTATTTTAGAAGACAAAGTTAAGATGGCTCATTTCAGTATGAATAAAGACAATCATGAGAAAAAATTAGGGGACTGCAGTGGATGGATGAACGCATGAAAAGGCTGAATAAAAGAAGTTTTTAAAATGAGAACGGGCACAAAGTATTAAGATTATATTTGTTTATCATTCTGGATTGAATTTACTAAACTTACTTGATAAGATGAGCATGCTTTATAAATAACTGCTGGCTTCATACAAAATTTAAAACATTTCAAAATTATTTATCCGGGAGAGTAAAATCAACCCAACCATTAAAAATTAGCTTGTTTGATTTTTAAGAATAATACTTATAACATATACATACCTTCTGAGCGAATAAATTGGGAAGAAGCTTCTTAAATGGATTTTTTACAACACAAAGCATATTGAAACTTTTAAAAAATGATTTAAAATATTATTATATAATAATCATACATATGGTATGATACATAAGATATGATTATTTTGATAAATATTATATTTATAATAGATCTGTTATATTTATAATAGATAAATAAAGATTACTTTGATTAATATATTTATACATTATCACAAAATGAAGCTAAATTAATGAATAATTAATTGTTAATTACCAATAAAAATATTAATTCATCCTTTTAAGAGGTTACTCACCTTATAATCAACTAATAAAATTTTAATAAATAGTTTCACCTTTATTTTTAAACTTCTAATTTTTCATATTAAAACAGGACACAGTAGAGGTAAAATTTTTAATTCGGACAAATTACTAATTTAAAAGGGCAAGTAGGCTACCACAAGCAGAGCATTGCAACCTGATGGAAGATTTTGGAATTTGGAAAACTGACTCAATTTAATTCATTTTTAACAAACCATTGTTCCAGACAAACTTGTGCCTACTGACTTTCTCAAACTTAGTTCAGCACTATTGTGCCATCGACCAAATAATCGATACTAATGCAGCCTTCTTCTTTTCCTAAGGAGTAGATTAACAACATATCCATTGGTACTTTCACAACCAAAAATACTACATCAGGTTACAAGAAAGATGATTCAACCAACAAAAACTAAAAATAATTTTTTACCTACACTGAAAGACACATTTTACAAATGTATACAGGAGCGACCCTACTACAGATAACTATGATTAATAACAAAGAAAACTGAAATTTTCTGCCTTCTCTCAAAAAATACTGTGGGATACATTGATATCGTTTGGGGCATCAGGCCTTCCCTAATCATGAAGTAGGGGGAATCAAATCTGTATGCTATAATTGATCAGAAGGGGGTGTTCATCTGTGAAGTGATTAAATCAAATTAAGGTTGACATAAAATAAACATTATATGCTGCATTGAGTTTAGTCTGTTAGTGTTTATTCTAATTGATGAGATAGATGTCTTGAGTCTTCCATTGAGGGACTGTACATACATGTAGTGTTAAAGGCTGGTGTGCTGACATCTGAATGTTTTGTCATGTGCTGTCTCTTCCTGGCCATGTCTTTGTGCTTGAAGCTAGCTAGACATATTTCAGTTATGCTTGGTCACGGAGACCATTTTGTAGACTATCTCAGACTCAAACTAGCCGAGTTGTACTTTTACCGTTCTGGTCCTAGGTCACCAGGTAGGGCTACAGTTGCTCATCTTCACCAATAGATGGCGATGCTCCAATGGCCATTAAAATGGCGCTACTGTTATGCTCTATTCGAGGCGCTTAAAATTATGGCTAAAGTGAGTGGCCTTAACAGTTATAATAGTATAAAAAAAGTTAAATTGGTGAATTATAAGAGACTAGGCATATTGTTGTTAATTATAGTAATAAATAAGAACAACTGTATTTATTGTAACAAATAAAAACTTAAAACCATCATACAATAAAGTTAGAGAATAGTCACATAAATTAATATTCATACATAAGAAACTAAGCTTGAATTACTTATTAAAAAAATCATGCAATAATGGAAAATAAAAATGCATGTGAATTGAATAAAATACTGAGAAGTATAAACTTGTAGCAATAACTATAATTCCTTTGTAATTGGTAATTGGTTATAGAGAAGAATAGTTGGGGTGCTCAGTCAAAAAAGGAAGGCAAAAAATAAATTATAATATTTATTTTTTACATATGCCGACGTTTCGACCTGAAGTTCAGGCCTTCATCAGGGCTAAGAAAATAACCAGATAACAAGGTATGAGAAACATAAGTAATGATGGTAAAAAAGATAATAAAAAATGAGAAAATAAAATTAAAATTAGAAAAATAAAATAGATAGATATAAAGTAAAATGAAATTGTTAGAATAATGACTAAGAACTAAGAGATAAATAATAAAAACTGTTACATAGTGTGGAATGATGAAGTAGGCATAATCAAAAAAGGGGTGACAAAAGTGTTACATTGGGAATCTTAGAATAAAATGTAAACATAAAAAAGAAATATAAAGTTATATAAGAAATTAAATAAAATAAATAGTAAAATTAAAAACATTGAGAATGGAGTAGTTAGATAGAAAATTGAGATATTGTAAAGTCTATCAAGATGTACAGACAATGTATAATATAATAAAGAGTTAACAACAGAGAAAAGGAATGAAAGGAAGGAGGGAAGAAATTGAGAAAGCTGAAATAAGAAAGAAATAAAAGAAGTACTACCTTTCTCCTTAAGTGTCAAGGGGAGAATAAAGTCGTTACAAGGGAGGGGGAGAGAGAAGGAATGTGGAGGTGGCGTCATCTCTAACGGTTATCGAACGAAGTTTGAACTAAACGCTAGAAGCCTAAATAGGTACGAGAGATATATTATTTAGAAAAATTATGGAATATTGAACGAAAGTTAATAGAAAGTGAAAGAAAAATTCAAAAGAAAATGGAGAAAAATAACTATTGAGTAATGAGGAAGAAAAATTGAAATAAAAATATATCATATATACATAAATATACATATATATATATATACACACACACATACATACATGCATATATATATATATATATATATATTATATATATATATATATATATATATATATATATAAGGGAGTTGTCAGCAAAAAGGAAAGGAATATAACTATGGATGTTTTACCGCTTCAAAATTATCCGAACATTCTCTCTCCCTCAATCATTCATTTGATTTCGACAAAACTTCGTCCGATAACCGTTAGAGATGATGCCACCTCCACATCCCTTCTCTCTCCCCCTCCCTTGTAACGACTTTATTCTCCCCTTGACACTAAAGGAGAAAGGTAGTACTTCTTTTATTTCTTTCTTATTTCAGCTTTCTCAATTTCTTCCCTCCTTCCTTTCATTCCTGTTCTCTGTTGTTAACTCTTTATTATATTATAAATTGTCTGTACATCTTGATAGACTTTACAATATCTGAATTTTCTATCTAACTACTCCATTCTCAATGTTTTTAATTTTACTATTTATTTTATTTTCATTTCTTATATAACTTTATATTTCTTTTTTATGTTTACATTTTATTCTAAGATTCCCAATGTAACACTTTTGTCACCCCTTTTTTGATTATGCCTACTTCATCATTCCACACTATGTAACAGTTTTTATTATTTATCTCTTAGTTCTTAGTCATTATTCTAACAATTTCATTTTACTTTATATCTATCTATTTTATTTTTCTAATTTTAATTTTATTTTCTCATTTTTTATTATCTTTTTACCATCATTACTTATGTTTCTCATACCTTGTTATCTGGTTATTTTCTTAGCCCTGATGATGGCCTGAACTTCAGGTCGAAACGTCGGCATATGTAAAAAATAAATATTATAATTTATTTTTTGCCTTCCTTTTATGACTGAGCACCCCAACTATTCTTCTCTTCATTATAATTCCTTTGGTTATTAAAAATCTAAAAACATCTAAGATTTTTTTTAATTACAAAAACCATTAATTAAACTACTATTACATTTTTAATTCTTGTGGTATATATAAAATTTGCTGATTAAAACATATAATTTATACTTCCAGTTTAATTCAATTTACTTGGATCAACACTAATCGATAGGATTCAAGATAAATTTCTTGAATCTATGATGCAGTGTGCACCAAGTGTGTCTCGGCATAGGGCTGCATTTAGCCGGTTCATCGATAAGAGTTTCTCTGGATGAATTATGCAGGCGAAGAGCTTTGTTCTCCTGCATGTGATGAATGTGCTGTTGAATTCTTCTATTCAAGTAGTAGTTACTGAAAGAGTAAACAACATAATTGAATACTAAAAATTAATCAAATGGTATTTTAATAAAATACTGCTGTATTACATGGAACTTTTTAATTCCGTTTTAAAAGACTTTCATCTAAATATTTTTTCTAATAAAAACTGTATAACGTATAATATATAAATGACTGTATAAACAATGAATGAATGAACCATGTCACAATGAGGAATCATTTAATTTGATGGAATAAACAGATATTTCCATTTACTTAAGTAGTATAGATAAAACAAGAAGCACTCTCTGGTCCAATATAATCACACATTATTATTTTGTGATTTTACTTTCTCTTACCTATATATTTAATATATAGTAAGGGAAAGTATTGAGATTGTGAAAATTTTCGAATCTGAGTTGTTAACAGAAATACAGGTTTGGAAGTCCCCTGAGTCCAAATAACTAAGTCCTGCAAAATGGTCTGTGTATGTAATCAGTCTAGCTAAAAAACAAACAGTCGTACGAAAGTGAAATTGCACATTTAATGTTTTAATATGCTCGAGGTGTTACAGCAACTTTTTTTGTCAAAATCGACCATTTTTAAGATTTTCTCAAAAACGGTTTTAACGATGTTGATTAAACTTAGTGTAGAATGTATAATTAAATGGTATTTAATATCATTTAGATCTTGTCCCCATTGATGTCACTTTCCAAGGCTCAAATGCCCAATGTTCAACATGTCTTTCTTTAAAGTACCTTTAATTTGGTTTATTTTAAATAATTAACTATTTCTGATTGATATGAATAATGAAAAAAGGCTAAATATAAGTTTTGAAAGAATTTAATAATTGAATACAGGAGAAAACAGGAAAAATACTTCTTTAGCTCAAAAATGAATATTTGCAAATAATAGTCAGAAGGTATACGTATAATATATATCGTTGGAAAGAAGAGAATTTTAGAAAAAACAATATCTGATACAGAAAGTAATGGTGAATAAAAAAAAAAATATAAATAATAATTTCTGAAGACTATTATTATTTAACAAATCACTTGTTATCAAGTTAAATGGAATTTACTAATTAAATGTAAACTTTTAAAAGTAAAAAAAAAAGTATTTAAAATCCACCTAATCAAGCCAATGTGACATTGTTTAAAAACTATTTATAGTTTTTGAAAAAATACTACTTGGTATGATGGATTGGGAAACTCCAGGCTCTCTTGCCAATCCAAGATACTTCATGTTGTTCAATTGAATGGCAAGACAAAACTGAGAGACAAAGTCATTTTGTATACAAGGGATATCAACTTTAATTGAATTAAAAAATATTATAGACAACCTAACATATTAATTTAAAACAATTAATTACAATGTTTTTCCATCCATCGAATCTGTTAGATTATAGGTTTAGGTTTGTGCCACTTTAAATTTTCTTTTAGGACTGTATAAAATATCTAATAATATAAATGATTGTGGGGAAAAGCGGATATATCAACCTTAAATTATAAATTCAAATTTCATACCACTTTTCGTAGACCCTTCACATACACACACTAACTATATTGTAAAACGTGTTTTTTATGGACTTAGGGAACCTCCAAACTGTTTGGACTTAATTCGAAATTGTTCACGGTCACAATACTTCTTGCTGAATGTTTCATATATAGTAAGTGAAATGAGAGTATGATAGTAGAGCGAGCTAACGCGTGTGCAAAACACGTGTTGCCAGGCAACTAACTAGATGATAAGGTGGAGTTTACAAAATATAAAATAACAAGAGTTCATGTCCCAGTGCTCTTGCTCTCTCCTCTGGCCCTGTAGCATAAAGGGCGAGGAAAAAACAAAACAAAAAATAGTTAAGTGAAAGCAGATAAATAAAACAGTTCATTACGATTTTCAAGAAAATGAAATTGTTTATTTTTTAAGAATTTCTTAAATAGCTGAGACCAATGGTGGATATAACATTTAGTGTTCTTTGAATCCTTTCCTCCAAAAAATTTTTTTTTTTATTAACGAAATTTACAACTGTAATTAATAATAAATACAACAAGTAAATATGGACAAGTAATATGAAATGTACAACATGAAGAGAAACTACCCATTGGTAGCATTCCAGTTATATTTCTATATTAGGTCCCGAGGCCATCTTCTTTTCAGACGCCTCGGAGGGTTATCAGGAATAGAAGAGGAAGCAAGGTTGGAAACGAGAGGATTCGGATGGTTCAAAAGTTTATTATGAAAGGACAGGTACCTGGATTGAGCTAAATCGGAAACATATGGTACATTAAGATCAGTATGGATGATTTTATTTGTGACAAAGTAGGGAGCATTAAGGATTTTGGATTGTAGGGATTGGATACGAGAGGAATTTGATGGTTTAGTAGAGCCCCAAAGCTCGATCCCGTAAGCCCAAATAGGCCTTATTATAGTAATATATATGAGTCTTTTGTAAATAGTTGGCAGTTTAGAGCGTTTGTCTAGTAAGTGCTGGAGTAGTCGGAAACGTCGGGCAGTTTCTAGTCGTTTCAGTCTGGTATGGGGGTTCCAAGTGAGTCGTTTGTCCAGGTGGAGTCCTAGGTATCGGATTTGGTCAACAGGGATAAGTGGGGTATTGTTAAAGGATACTGTAAGACAGGAAGTCATAGCTTTACGCCTCCAAAAAGTTAAAATATAATTTAGAAGATAATGATACACATGTGGATAACATTGTTTGTTATTTTTGGATTGTTGTGGATATTGGGATTGTATTTCTTTCAATGTGGTTTTAATCCACTTGTTTTATTAATAGTTTCAAAATTATAATTATCTCCAACATAAGGTCGACCGCTACACCAGGTTGGCAACCCAGGGCATATCATGTGCACAGATTTTCTGGCCCTAAAGCCGGCACTGGCATGGACATTTTAATGAAACTTAGTGCATGTTTCTTACCAACTGAGTATAAACTTTTTAGATGTGATCACATTATAGTGATACACCAATTTTTTAGTGAAATTATGGGGGTCCAATTATCAAATAATATTAGAATTAGGTACACTATTGAAAGGTAGGTGTAGTAGACAGTAATATTAAATAAAGAATTTTTAGACTAACACAAATACATTCTTAAAAATTAGAAAATATACTACGAATTTACAATTAAATAAAAACAATTATTGAAATGGAAACATTAATATAAAAATTAACAAAAAATATTAACTTACAATCTATATGTATTTGGAAGAACAGACTTTCGTGAATTAGAAGAATATGATCGATTCGATCTGCCTGATCGATTCGATCTGCCAGATCGATTCGAGGGTACCGAACGATAAGATGTGTGAGACCTGACTGAAGATGTCCTAGAGCAGTAAGAACAAAGAGATCCTCTACTCCCAACTGAGCCAGGACCTCTTTTAGGAATAGGGGCACGGTTCTGCTTATCAAATTGTTGTAAATAATTTGCTGTCAAGGGGTAAGTGTTTCCAGAATAACTTCTTCTGTAAAGGAAAAAAAAAAAAAAAAAAAAAAAAAAGATGAATTGTGAAATAAATATGACTATCTTAAGAGTTATAATTAAAAGTTAACAAATTTAAAATACAGATAAAGAATAAAATAAATAGCCATAAAAGGTAAATTAAACAAATATATAGCTTTATTTAGAAAATTATTTCAAAGAAGAGGAACAACAAAAACTATCACAATTAGAAACCACAGTCATATGAGAAGACAGTAACTGTTTCCCAATTGGAACTGTAACTTATAATAACTACTTCCTGATTGGGTACTTTCATCAATTTTCAATTTTTATTCATCACTTAAGATTAGGTAAAAAGAAAAAAAAACATGTACAATTACAACCCGTGAAGGATCTTGGATTTAGTACTACTTAGGGAAATATTGTTTCTTGGTCAACGGTTGTGCAAGGAAGGTCTCCTGATCCCAGGATTGATCCACGGCTAATGAAATATAAGAAATTATTAATCTGCTATCGAAGATTAGGTAATACAAAGAAAAATGCAAAAATTCCATCATTTTTCAGTGCATATTTGCAAATATAATTACTATAAAAGAATATTGGTAGGGATGGGGCTACAGCACGAAAGTGGAAACTTTGTTATGTCATGCTTTTCCAGCATCTAGTTCATCCTAGTTCACTGTCTTAAAATAATGTTTCTAGCTACAAATCTTTTATCAAAGAAATATATTTCATTTTTTCTCAACTTGTTGTCTCTGAATATAAATGCCTATTTATAAATTAGGGCTAATATATAATAAATACCATCTTGTTAGGCTACCGTGTAAGTCATGTCACGGTAGACAAAGGCCCCACTCTCAATCGCACTATTATTGTAAGTTTTTAGCTAAATATGAACCTTTTTTTTTTCATTATTTGAAAAGTGTATAATCTTATATAGGTTCTTTATTAATTAAATTCTGCTGCAGCTCAAATTTATGTGATTTGTTTTCCATGTAAATATTCATAATTTTCTATTATTCATTTTAATCTAAAAATTATTTTCTATATTCATATGCAACTGGTTATCCTAATTGAATTCTGCTGCAGGTCAAATTTATGTATTTGTTTTCCATGTAAGCATTCATAATTTTCTATAACTCATTTTAATCTAAAAATGATTTTCTATATTCATAAGCAATGGTTATCCTAACTCTATAGATGTCATAAATTAGATAACTAATGAATCACCAACGAGTCACAAATATCACAGAAGTCAAGTAAAAATACCACACATACTAGATATTTAAGACATAAAAATAAAATAAAATAAACTTATAAATTGGCAAATAGCATCATTTTCAAATTACACCAGCTGATAGATACTGAACATTAATATGCAATTGAAAAATATCATCGATTAACAAGATACTAAAAGCAGTCTTAAGATTTGTTTTTAATTGAAGCTTAATGTCTTGTATGTACTCCAAGTAGTGTAAGTAGGAGAGCTTACTAACCAATCTGGGTCAGAGTGATAAGGACAATAATCTTCCACAAAATAAGTCATACCTTCCAGAACAGAACCGAACTAGCAAACTTTCTGGCTCGATAATACAGAGGTAGTGCCTCAACACGCTCGGCCTCTTATCAAAGATTTAACATAAAGCGTAATTGTTAAAATCAAATCAGTCCCAGTAAAAATATCTGTAAATAAAATCACTTCGAGAGCATGAAATACAGAAAATCTATTAATAACCTGAATCATGAGATTTCTTTAACTACTATGCTTAGGTTCTGTGTAATGCTTCTTAAGACACTCATCCAATCTAACATGCTTTAACAGCCTATCACCAATATTAAAAAAGACTGTGCTGAAAATTATAAGTACTGATTCAATGACAATAACATGTCTTTATTTATTTCATTGCTACACTGTCTTATCAATGTATAAACTAAACTACTTTAGCAGTTTAGTTGGAATTTCAAATGTACGTGCAACATCTCACGGCTGCACAACAAAAACAATTAATTTTTTTATAATTAGTTTTGTAGAAAGCATAAATATCAGTTTTCTGTTTGGCCTCCTAGTGCTTGACTATATTTCTTGTGTGTGAAGGCCATTTAGGAGTGGATTCTCTTAACCTAAGGTCTATATGGGAAACGTCCAGTGAACTCTTCCACTTTTACACAAAATTTTTGTGAAAATAGTTTTGTTCGGTGATTACTTGGAGGAAATCATTCTATATGAGTATGAAGAGTCTGATTCTATTAGTAGTGTCTCAAAGGTGGTGCAGTCATTGAAATATCAACTTAAGAGTATTTAAACAGTCATCTTCACTATGGAATCTAACTATCTCCACCGAGAAGTATGGATGGTATGACTAATAATTAGCACTAAGTGAAATTTGAACACTGTAATGTACACAGATATTAGGATTAAAATTTCAACTTACACATCCTGGAAGCGAGGAACATTAGACTTTCTCCATACCTGAAAAAAAAAAAATATATTGATATAAAATAATGGTCATCAAAAATACTATCCTTATGGATGAAAAAAAAATTGTATCTTAGGTATGCTAAGTACTTACTTTGACCTTATAATTATTATTCCCAAGTATCCCTTGCCTGAAACCTCTTTTCATCTTCAGAAGTGGGATTCCTGGATACCGTCTTTGTATCTGAAATAATTTTGAGTCAAATTTTTAAATTAGGCATAAAGATACTCTCCTGATGAAGTTATAATTTAAGCCAGAATTCTTAAAAGGGGCCATAAGACCCTTCACATTACGGTAAGAACACTGATATTGCAGAAATGTAATTAAAATACAAAGTTAATTTGGATTGCAGCAGTACTTCAATTTATTCACTATTATTTTATTACTATCATAAAAATTATAAATTGCATCAAATAATCCACATTATTAAAGGGGTTGTTGATTATTGTAAGTAGACAATACAAAAAAAATTTGTATATTTCTATAATATATTTGTATATTTATTTATATTTATCAATCCAAGAAAGAGACAGTTTCAATGAGTTTGTTCACAATGTTATTTATATATAAAAAGAAGTAATAATGATGGGGGATTTGAGCTGACCTCATTAATGTTAAACATTCTGCAAGGGTAGTTGGGAATTGATCATCTATATCTACTTTCGGGCACACTCAGATTGGTTCACGATTCCTTTAATAGTATGATCTAGAAGCTAGCTGTCAACTGGGAGTAGAACTTTGGAACTAGTACCTAATAATGTACTCTAATAAAATTACTAAATAAAAACTCTCATTAATTGATTGAGTTATAAAAAATCAAGACCATATACAGTGGCCAGCAAAAGTTTTCATACATGAATTAAGACAAGTTAAAAAAATCAGCAGCAACAAATCTTTCCTACATATATTTTCTTAATTAAACACCTAACAATAATTTCAATACCACTCTTATCAATTTTCCCAATAACATTAGACTTCCAATAAATACAAATATTTTCAATACAAACTAAAGTATAAAATATATTTGTTAATATATCTGGTGCATGCAACTCACTACTTTCATTTACTTTGAATAGAAATTATTTTCTGGCAACGTTGGGCTATTATAAAACTTTTGATAATTATTTTTAACTGAGCTAAAGCTTAAAAATCATTAATACCATTAAAGTAACAAAAATCCTATTTATTTTATCAATGGCTGATTATGGATTGTAAGACTATTAGTTATTAAACCGTTATTTTCCACTGCCAAGTTTACCAAAATGGAATTAAGAATAGAAACTTGAATGGAATTTTCGTCACTCTCTGTTACCTTATACTACTTTATTCATTAGACTTTATTTTTTCTAAAATTCTCTGCTTTCCAACGATATATTATATGTATACCTTCTGACTATTATTTTCATTTTTGACCTGAATAAGCATTTTTATTTTTTTGTCCTTTATTCAATTATAAAATTATTTCAAAAGTTATATTTAGCATTTTTTCATAACTCTTAACAATGAAAAATAGTTAATTATTTAAAATAAACCAAATTTTTTAAAAACTTATTTATTCAGAATTATTACAATCTGTCACAATTAAGGACATTTATAATAGTGTTCAGAGAGCACATTCACAATAAATAAAATAAATATTACATAAAAATAATAATACTAACAGTAAATGTATATAAACTAAAAAAAAAATAAACTAAACAAAATGAAACTAAACTAACCAAAATAGCTACCCAAATACACACATGCTTCATTAGAATATCTGAAAAAATCGTTCACTCAAGATCTCTGAGCCTGGATTTTCTTTCTCCCCACTCGTGGAAGGGAAGGCAGGACTTTAAAAGATCTCAATCAGCCACATTACTGGTATCAAGGACCAGTAGAGGCTGAGCAAAGGCGCTATAATCATAAATACATGGCTTGAGTGGAGAATCTGGCATTGCCAAAACTCTAATATATACTTATTCAAGAAAGGTCTCTGGGCCACTGCAGCTTCAACCTTCGAGGAGGATTATAGGGATGGGTGGTGCTGGATAGGAATAGTGCAAGGGGATTCGGATGATCAGTAAGGTTTTACTGAATTTTTCTGGGATAAGATCTAGGACAAATGGAATATTAAGGTCACAGTGTAGGGTTTTGTTGGTTATATAGAATGGAGTATTTTGCCACTTTGTATTTTGGGTGTATGGTACATTGCCACAATGATCTGGTGTGTCGTTTCATATGGATTAGGTCAAGAAGATGATGTGATAAATTGTTATTCTGAGGAATTCTTGGGGACAGTCCAAGCAGCTTGTTGAATAGAAGTGGTCAAGAAACTTACGACATAGTCAAGATCATGGGGGGTTTCCAGGGATATATTGAGGTCAATTCTGTCGGAAAAGGTTCTAGTTAACGGGGCCTCTAATGAATAAAATAAACCAAATTAAAGATACTTTAGAGGAAGATATTTTGAACATTGGACATTTAAGCCTTGTTAAGAGACACCAATAGGGATAAGACCTCAATGGTATTAAAGATTACTTAATTAAATATTGATACACTGAGTTTAATCAAAATTGTTTTATCATAGAGCCGTTTTTGAGAAAATCATAAAAATGAGGTACATAGATGATATCAAGTGCAACTTCTGGTTAGCCGATTTTGACGAAAAAGTTGCTGTAATATCCCAGGCATATAAAAACCTTAAATTGACAATTTCACTTACGTACGACTTTTCGTTTCTGAGCTAGACTATTAAAACAAAAACAAAAAAACACACAGGCGCACGCAGAACATTTTGCGGGACTTGGTTATTTTGACTCAAGGGATCTCAAAATGTGTATTTCTCTTGAAAACAGATTCGAAAATTTTCACAATCACAATACTTTTCTTTATTATATATTTCATATACAGGTAAGTGAAAGTAAAAATGAAGGACTGTATTTAAAATTTTGAGTAAAATAAATAAATGAATTACTGTATGATATAACTTTGCATGAAAACTTTTGCTGCATTAAAATTCTTATTTTAAAACTTAATTTTTAATCAAAACTATATGTAAATAAAAAAAAAATTAAAATATATGTACCTTAGGGGCAGAGGCTAAGTAAACAAATAAAAATATAAATTTATTTATGTGTGTATTTATTGTTAGGCAAATATTTTTGAGAAAATTTATAAGGTGGTATTTAAGTTATTATTAGGTGTTTAAATAAAAAAATTATGAACTTAAAAATTGTTGATTTTATATCTTCTATCAGCCCATGTATAAAAACTTTTGCTGGCCACAACATATTCATTTTTATATGATTTACGCCAATAAAACAAAAAACATAAACAATCCAAATAGTTCTATATATGATATGAAAGTTCTACATATGATTTGAGAAACTTACATGACCATTTCTTCTGTGGTTGTACTTTGTCATATTACGGTATTGTAACCATTGGTGCTGTGACAAGCCAGGAACCCTGTAATCAAATAAAATTAAAACCAAATACACCATGTACTAAAAAAAATAAAAATAAACGGAATTTCCAATATTGTTAACAGACTTGCCTTCTCGGAATGAATTTAGAATTTTCTGGTAAGAACTTTGTAGAATTCATTGAAACCATTGGAGTCTCATGTATCATATCATCATGGATATTTTCCAGACTACTACTATTACTGGTTCTTAAGATGCCCTTTTTCTTTTGTTCTTGTAAAATTATTTCATCTAGGAAAAAAGATTTGCTTTCATTCATAAAACAACTCATCAGCCATTTTAATACAAGAAGGAAAATATTATATCATACAAAAACAAAAAAATTTCAATAATGCCTAGGTTTCACGGTTAATAATAGACTTCTTGACAAAAGAACGAATTTCAGTGATATAGTTTATCCCCGTAATTCCTTTACCTAATAATTATTTATAATAACCAATTTAGAGCAATACTACAGTAGTGTCAGATCTGGTAGACCAGATCACTTTGATCTCACTGCTCTTGAAATATTGAAACTATTAGTGTGTCCAAAAGTATATAGAAACTTCCTAACTTTCCTATTTACAAATAATTTTGTAAACATACTTATGTTTTATTATACTCAAAACATCCACAAATTTATGTTTCCAACCAACAAAATCACAACTCCTGGTGCTTCTTAATCTTGCCCTCTTCTACCACTGAGCAGTGTGAGGTGTTCCTGCTGGTTCAGCCTTTTCCACATCTGGTTGTGTCTGTTCCAGTCCATTCCCCTACTGCTGAATGCCTCCTGGGGTGCTCCTTCACGAATGTTTCTGGGCCCTTCTTGACCTTCTTCACTCAATTCTTGTTTTAGTATGTAGTTTTGGCAATTCTTTTCACATGATGAAACCACCTTAGCTGGTCCTCTTTGATTATATGTGTGACCAGTTTTATTTTCAGATTACTTCTAATTGTTACATTTCCGAGCCTATTCATTCTTGTTTTTTCTTCCAACCTCCTCAGGTACTTCATCTCCATTGCTTGTATTTGGCTTCTAGGTCTTGATTTCAGAATCCTAGACTCACTAGCGAAAGTCAGTATGGGTATGAATGATCTTATATAAAAATTTTTTAAACCTTTTTAGAGATTTTTTTCCAGGAAACCAGACTTGAGTAAATGGAAACATTTACTGGCCAATTTTTTTCTTTCTCTGTCCATCCAGCCTTTTTCATTGAGATGAGCCCCCAAATACATGAAGTCACTGACTTGTTCCAACTTCTCTCCTTTAAGCCAAACCCTTCCATCCTCATTACTTTTGTTTTGCTGGTGTTAATCTCCATGTTTAACAATTGCAATTCTTCATGTAGATTTCTTGTTATTCCCAAATACTACTGTCATCAGTACAGACAAAGACTATGAGGTAAATAGGGTTCAATTCTATATGGTCCAGCCAAAATGGCTTTTTTTAAGGCCATGCTAAAGACCATTCTAAACAGTAGTGAGCTAAGACTACAGCCCTGCCTTATTCCTTGGGTGCTCTTGAACTAGTGCAAGTAGTTGTTAATTCTTACCATGTTTCTTTGCTTTTTATGTTTTTCTTTGTATAGTCCTTGCCTAACCTGTCAAAAGACATATGGGCTTGACCAGCGTCATCATTCCAGAAACTGTATCATCATGTGATCTAGGCTGATATGTCATTCAGAAATGATACTACTTCCTCAGCCTCATTTCTGAATCTAAATATCTGTAAGCACCATTGAACATGTGTTAACAGTCTGAATTTCACCAGAATAAGCTTTTGATTCAGTGAGGTAGCCAAAAAACTACACTGCCCATCCCATTTACTTTAACCAACAGAATACAATACAATGAAATGGACTTGTAACAGTTGCAGAAACAATAAAGGTTCAATTATCAACTTAATAAATCCTTATTATTATGTTTTTAAAAATATGGTAATATTGTACTGTTCATCTTGTCCAGCAGGCCAAGATCTCTTGTTCCCAGTAAAAAAGATATTCTAAGAATAGACAATTGAAAATCTATTGTCTATTGTGACTTAAAACTTCAGAAAAATCCCTACTAGACCTTTTTAGTTAAAATTGAGGCCATAATCGGCTATAATTTCACTGCATTTGACTCCAGATTGCTCTTAAGCTATAAAAAAAAAAATACAACAGATCCTTTTCAGTGGAGTTCAGGATCTAGCCAACAGTTCAGTAATTTCTATGAACTTTGAAACACCCTCAAGATTCCATCTATGGTATGATCACAAGCCATTGATGAAAGTGGAATTACATTTATACAGCAGTACCAAAATATATATAAGATCTTGGTATAGATACAGCCATTGTGGTGGCCAAGTGTGTTAAACTTTAACTTTCTCGAGTCTAACCACGCCATTTCGAATCCGAGCTGCGGAGATTAAAATTTATTTTGTGACAGAACCAAGCAATGCATCTTGGCTTTCTTACCCTGGTTAGAATAGGTTTGGATGTACCTCCAGAACAACCTCTTGCATGCCAGAAATAGTGAAGTACAGATATTAAGAGAAAAAAATGGGTGTAGGTACAGTTAGACTTGTTTCATTGAATATAAAAAACATTGTTGATTACAAGTGGAATTTTAACTTTACAATAAAAAAAAAAAAGAAGAAAGGCTTGTGAGGATGAAAATCTCAGAAAAATCCTTGGACTTAAAAACTGGAAAGTATTTTCAAACATTAGCGATGACTAGAGGTACAAGCCACAGCAGGTCCTGACTCACACAGAGTTATAGCAGTAGTTAATTATAAGCTAAAGTGCAATAAAAAAAACTTTGCAACCAAACAGAATTTTCTTCATAATCTAATATTTAGAAAATAGAGAAACTGATTATATCACATTAGAAACTAAGTTTGGCATAAACATTCAAAGGCCAAAGTTTGTGATCTAGTGAATATTTATAGTTTACTATTTATTCAATAGAATTGATTACCCAGATCAAAATTGAGTCCTATGGAAAATTTTATCGGTGTAAAGCAACTCATTGTTAAGAGTGTAAAAAATATATAGGGTGTTTCGTAATTGCACGGCGCTATTTTAGGTATGTGTTCACTAACACAAAATAAACCAAAAAAGTTCATATTAACATATATCTCAAACTCATTTATTAAACAGATATCAAAGGTTAAAGATTTATTATTTATTGACTACATTAAGATAGACTGTACAAAGTTTAACGCGTTTAATACTAAATAACAGGTTTTAGTCACCTGATGAACAAATGAACGATAAGCAATGACAATAGTTGCTCATCTGTTTGTCTAGTTCTGTGTATTTTAGTGAGTGAATACTCTGACACAGTTAAATTTATGATTATCATGGGAGACACCATAAATTTAATCACTTTTGCAGAACAGGCATGCTTTTAACTTATGGCGAGGTACATAGAAACGGTGCTACTGCTGTTAGAAGATATCGTGAAAAATTTTCTAACCGAAGAATACCAAATCGTAAAACGTTTGAGTCCATTGAAAGACGCCTTAGAGAAAATGGCACGCTAAAAACTATACGAGTAAACGCCAGTCAAGATTTCGACAAACTGTAAACGTTGAAGAAGAAATACTCGGTGCTATTCAGTCATCTACAACAACTAGTACCAGAAGATCGTCACGTCATTTCGGTGTTTCCTCTACCAGCATATGGCGAACTTTACACAAACAACAATTGTATCCATTTCATGTATCGAGTAGGCAAGATTTGTTACCACAAGATTATAACAAGCACAAAAATTTCTCCCAGTGGTTAATTCGAGAATGCACAAGAGATACTAACTTTCTGAACTGCATTTTGGTTACTGATGAATCTTACTTTACAAGAAACAGGATTCTTGATTTTCTAAATATCCATACCTGGGCTGAAGAAAACCCTCATCTGACTGCTGTTGGACACTACCAACATACCTTTTCTTGAAATGTCTAGGGTGGTCTTCTAAGTGACATCATTCTTTATGCCACTTAGGCTGTCAGATATATCTTACTTGCACTTTTTTCAAAATAATCTTTATGAATTCCTAGAAGATATCCCACTAGGAATTAGGCAAAGGCTGTGGTTTATGCATGACGGTGCTCCAGCTCACTTTTCTAATAGTGTCACTGATTATTTAAATGCAACTTATGAAGATCGACGGCTTGGTCGAAACGGACCTGTTAAATAACCACCACAATCTCCAGATTTAACGCCATTAATCATTTTGTGTGGGGCTGGATGAAGTCTATGGTTTATTCTGCAGCAGTTGGCATGCAAGAAGATGACCGAATCTTATGCAAAATAAGAAGATGAAGAATCTTATGCAAGAAGATGGCCGGTGGAGCACCGTTTGTAAATAATTACCGAGCTTAGAAATCGGATTGTGGAAGTCGCACTAACTATCAAGTACCATCCTGATACTATACGAAGAGCCAGAGAAGCATGGATACGTCATACTGAATGTTGCATTCAACATACGGAGGCCACTTTGAACAGTTACTCTAAATGTTGTCATAATAATAAATAATAAATCTTAAGCCTTTGATAAATAAGTTTGAATTATATGTTAATATGAACTTTTTTGTTTATTTTGTGTTAGTGAACACATACCTAAAATAGTGCTGTGCAATTACGAAACACCCTGCATATATATAAATGACTTCAACACCTGTCCTAAGCAAAAAAAAATTATTATAATTTGTCGAGATACAAATTTGTCTTTAACCACGTCTATTCAAAAATGTGAGAATGAAAGCTCACTATAAATCTTAAAAACGATTATTCTAAACAGCACATTATAAAGGCAACAGAAAATGAAGAGTCCCCTTGAATGAGTTATAAATTCGATTGAAATATTATTTAAAATAGTTACAGATATGTAATTTATTTGCGACAAAATAAAAGCTTATTAAAACTTTTGTACACTTACCGAGACTCATTTCCATTTTACTTGAGAATGTGTCCATTATGAAACAGTACACTCAACAAACGATGAACTATCTAATAAAACCACAAGCGTCCCTCCGCCTAGTAAGCAGGAAAGAACTTACTAACAATGTTGCCAAACTAAACAATATTTCACTTCCTATTCTTTTTTTAATTAATTAGACTTAATATTAATTATGTATTATAAAAATTTAATCATGATAAAATAATAATTCTTTTCATCACTTAAATTTTCTATTGAGGAAAATAATAAAAAGTATAAGATTATGTCTCATACCGAATTCAGCGAGTTAGTCCTTGTAACTCAACTTAGTTTTTAATATCAAATTAAACATGAACTTTTGACACATATGCATTTTATAGAAGGAAGTGAGCCGCAAAGTAACTATCAGGGGTTTTTCCAAAGTAATTATCGTTATTTTTGTGAAAAAAAAAATCTTTCCGGCTGAAGCCCCCCAAAATTAAATACTGGATCCGCTAATGCTCTTGTTTGAAACTTTTCATTTCGAAAATTCATACATACATACATATTTATTGTTTATTAATTAACAAATTCGATTACTTAAACTTTCTGAAGCTGAAACCCACCCTAAAATGGTAAAATATAACCACATTTAACGGAAAAAAAAATATTAAAAACTACCTCTTAAAGTATTCTTGTCACTAGCGGATCCAGCCGGGGGGCGCGCCCCCCTCTCCTGGGAGATGGAAAAAATTCAAAAAAAGTTTTAAAAAACAGCTATTTAAAGAAAAGAGAAATGCAGGAAAAATTAATCCTCTCAGAAGAATTTCCTAATGTGATTTTTTAAAAATTATTATTGTGAACAGCACTAATGATTTCTGCCAGGAGGCACGCCCCTTGCCCCTCCGGTTAGTGGAAAATAATCTTGAAAAAAAATCAAAAAAGCAATTATTTAAAGGAAAGAGAAATGTAGGGAAAATTCATCCTCATAGACAAAGCCAGGGGCGCGTCCTCCGCCCCCCCCCCTCCCCGGATGGTGGAAAATAATCTTTAAAAAAAACAAAAAAAAAACAACAAACAACTAGTTAAAGAAAAGAGAAATATAGAAAAAAATCATCCTCTAAGACGAATTTTCTTATAAAAAAAATTATAATCGTGACCAGTACTAGCGGATTCAGACGAGGATCGCGCCCATTTCTTCCTTTGATGGTAGAAAAAAAGTTCAAAAAAACAGCTGTTTAATGAAAAGAGAAATATACGGAAAATTCATCCTCATAGATAAATTTTCTAATGTAATATAAAAAAAAATTATTATTGTGAAGATCAATGGTGATTTCTGCCAGGGGGCGCTCCTGCTTCCTGGACGCTGGACGAAAATTCTGAAGTAGTTCCAAAAAGCAGACATTTAAAGAAAAGAGAAATATAGAATTAGCCTTCAGTGAGGAATTTTCTGTTATATTAAAAAAAATTATTATCCTGACCAGCCTCACGGTTTGTCATACACGTCACCTCACCACGCTCTGGATCAACTTACGGTCGGCCTTCAGATCATGGCGAGATTTTGTGAAACAAAGAATAGAATGTAAGAGCAAAAGTTGGCTGGGAGGGTGAAATGGGGCAGTTTTAGACCGCCGCACAGTGGGACGAGTAAGGGAAGACTCGAGATATTGGCTAAATCAATTTTTTTTTAAATTGAACTTTTCTATAAAAATAGTGAATAATGAATATTCTGCCAACTAAAACTACTCTCATGAATTCCAGAAGGTGTAAAAAAAAAAGAGTTTATAGGTTAAAGTTTTAAGTTTAAGGTTAAACAAATAATATATATAATTGATTAAGCCGATGTTGCGAGTTTTCCCTTATTCGTCCTACTCTGCGCCGTGAGCTGCGAAGACTTGTACTCCTGTTGCTGTTTGTTTCGCTAGTGCTAGTAGCGATATCTACGGGATTGTGAGGGTGTGACACTTAACTTAAAATCTTGCAAATTCCTATTAACAAGTGAAAAAGAATAAATAATTCACAATTATTGTAATATTGGATAAAATAAAATAGTCTTTTAGTTATTCTGGAAAGAATCCCTTTAGAATAGTTAACAAGGACAGAAATGTGGGCTTTTGAGCCTCAGGTATATATATTTAGAAAGTTAACTATTAGATATAATATAGAATAAAGAAAAATCTTCTAGATTAAATTGATTAAGAAAAAAATAAATTAATGAAAGAACAATGAGATGAAAATAAACTAATAATATATATATACAGAAGTTTATATTTGCAATTTTAGAGGGACTGGATGGAAAGAAAGTAATTGTATAGGCGGGATTTAAAAGTAGGGAGAGTATTGGAGCGACAGATGTCGGGAGGGATGAAGTTTCAAAGGGATGAGGATCAAATAATAAACGATTTATCGAAAGCAGCGTTTCGGTGGGCCATTATATATAAATCTGAAGACCGGGAACGGGTATTGCGGGAGTGGACAGAGGATTTAAATTGAAGGAGCTCGGAGATGTATGAAGGACAGCGGGAGTGAATGACTTGGAAGAGGAAGGATGCCAGGAAATACTTACGGCGGTAGGAAGGATAAAGCCATTTCAACTCTTCATAGAAACATGAAACATAGGCGTCTCTTGGGATCCCGAAGATGAATCGTACAAAGCTATTTCTCCAACGTTTTAGTTTAGCCTCGAGATCCCTAGAGACGCCTCCATATACCATGCAGCAATAGTCGAAGTGGGGAAATAATAAGGAGGTAACCAGGAGTCTACGGATTTCAAAAGGAAAAAGGTGCCGGAGGCTATTTAAGTGTTTTAGTGTGGAAAAGGTACGTCGGGAGATATTGGATACATGTTTTTTCCAGAAAAGGGTTTGATCGAAGATTATTCCAAGGTTTTTGATGGTGGAATAAAATTTGATGGTATTATCATGTAGGAACAAGGTTGGAATGTTAGGAACAGTTTTGAGGAGGTGATTGAAGCCTATTAGGATTGCCTTGGTCTTTTCTGCATTCAACTTCAGCTTGTTAGCTGCTGCCCAGTCATATATTCTATGGCGGCTAATAGGTTAGAAGGGGGGAAGGAAAGGTATATTTGGAAATCGTCAGCATAGATGTGGTATTGGGAGTGATGGATCAGGAGGGCGAGGTCATTAATGTAAATAGCAAACAGAATAGGAGACAAGGAGGAACCCTGAGAGACACCACAGGAGAGGGGAAGTTTCTTTGAAAGAGGTTGATCTGGGACGACTCCACACTGGGATCGATCGGAAAGGAAGGGTTTGAACCAACGCAGGACACTGTTGGATAGAGGAAGATTTTTTAATTTGGTAAGAAGGATGTTATGGTCAACTGTATCAAACGCTTTGGAAAAATCTAGAAGGATGAGGATAGTAAGGTTTTGGTGTTCAATGGAGTTTTGGAGGTCATGGGTTATTTTAATGAGGGCAGGTTGCGTTGAATAGCCGGGTCGGAAGCCAGATTGGAATGGATTGATGAGAGAACGTTCTTCTAGAAAGATGGAAACTTGATTTTGGGCAAGGCGTTCCAGTGGTTTTGAGAGGTTGGAAAGTAGAGAAATAGGACGGAAGTCATTCAGTGAGGAAGGTTTAGATGTTTTATTCAAAGGTCGGACTAGTGCAATTTTCCAGGAAGAGGGAAATATGGAATTTTGCAATGAAAAGTTGTAGATATGTAAAGTACTGGAATAAGAGTAGGAAGGCTGGATTTTATTAGTTTTACTGGAATATTGTCAGGACCATAATCATTGGTGTGGGATTTTAGGATAATGGAAAGTAACACACATGGGAAAAAGAGAAGTTTTCAGGATTGAAATTGTGGTGTTCAATATCATGAGTAGGAAAATGATATAGGCGCCGAGTATTAGTTTGTTTACTATCAATTCCATCTAACCCGAACAATTACAAGCACGACCGTTTAAAAGTGTAGTTGTAGTTGGCTCGCGCATGCTGTTTGAGGCCAATTCGTTAATACAAAGGAGCCATCAAACAGAGCCTGAATGCTTCTAGACATTTTACCAAACAATTGTGTTTCTGCTCAGTTTTCTTATTTGTTCTTTATTTTAAAAACAATTATGGGCAAATTAAAAATATATCAATGATATCAAATAACCATTGACAGGTGGACAAAATATCTATCTATCTATACTACATCTACCTATCTACAACCAGCTTAACGAGTCATGGCCTTCACCAACAGGATCCGCCAGGTGTCCCTGCTTTGTGCTGCCACCATCCAGTCTCGAACTCCTAGCTTCCTGCCATCTTTGCCCACACTGTCCCTCCATCTTAACTTTGGTCTTTCTATTCGTCGCGCTCCATGCAGGATTTCAACCAGCGCCTTCTTTGGGATCATGTCTTCTCTCATTCTGGCCACATGACCTGCCCATCTGGGACGGTCTACTCTTATAAAATGGAATATTGGCCTCATTAAAACGCTAGTAGATCTCCTGATTTTTCCTCCTCCACTCACCCTCACTGGACCATAAATTCTTATTAGAATTTTTCGTTCAAATACCATGAATCGGAAATTTTTGGAATTTCAGTTACCAAAACTGGTAGATACTATGAATTTCCTGCGATTAAAGTATAAATATAAAAATTAAACGTTTACATAAAAAAAAATCTGATATACAATTTTTAAAGTGAATTGTATATGGAGTTAAAGCTTAAAGCTTACAGATAACAAATCATAAAGATCATTAAAATAACAAAAAGTCTATTTATTATTTCCACGGTAGGGTCTATTTATTCTTTCAAAAGTTATATTTAGTATTTTTTCGTAACTCTGAATAATGTGGGATGAATAACTTTTTAAAATAAACCATATTAATGGTACTTTAGAGGAAGACGTATATGAACATTGGGCATTTAAGAACTGTAAATTGACATCATGTGGGATAAGACCTGATTGGTATACCACTTAATTATACAATGACACCGAATTTAATTAAAAACGTCTCTAACCGTTTTCGAGAAAATTGTGAAAATGTGTTTCAGCGTTGATATAAAGTGGCACTTCCGTTTAGCCGATTTTGAGGAAAAAGTTACTGCCACATCTAAGGCAAATATCTATCTTGAATACGTAATATCAGTTTCGTATGACTTTTCGTCTTCGAGCTAGACTGCTAACATACACACAGACCATTTTT